GCCGGGCAAACCACTCGCGCAGCTCCTGTGGAGAGAGTGGCTCCCGCCGAGACGAAGCACCCGGAGAACCTCCAGGCTCAGCACCGCCAGACGCCACACGAGCCGGCCCAGCTCCCTCAGGCTCCGCACCCCCAAGCTCAGCACCTCCAGGCGTGGCACCCCCAGGCTCAGCACCCCCAGGCGTAGCACCCCCAGGCTCAGCACCCCCAGGCTCAGCACCCCCAGTAGTAGCACCCCCAGGCTCAGCACCCCCAGGCTCAGGACCCCCAGTAGTAGCACCCTCAGGCTCAGCACCCCCAGGCGTAGCACCCACACGCTCAGCACCCCCAGAGTCAGCACCCCCAGGCTCAGCACCCTCAGCAGCACCAGAGTCACCAGTAACCTCGACAGGCTCGACTGCGTCTACCTGGGACACACCGAAGGGGCAGGACCCTGAGGGGGGAGGGGGTCTACCGGGGGGGACCTGGTACAAGGAAGAGCGGTGGCGGGGGGAGGGACGGAGTGCGGTAGGGGAAGAGGCGGTAGTAGAGGACCGACTCGTCAAACGTGACGTCCTGGGAGGACAGAACACGGCGAGAGGTGGGGTGGTAGAACTGCCACCCTGGCGCGTCAGGGGGGAAGCCAAGGAAGACGCAAGGAGCAGCACGAGGGGACAGCTTGTCCGCAGACAAGTCGCGGACAAACGCCCGAGATCCCCAGACACGGAACGCAGACGCATCGCCAACCTTCCCCGTCCACAGCAAGGCTGGGGAGGTCTCCGGCATGGAGACCCTGGGGTGAAGGTTGATCTGATGCGCCGCGTACCGAACCGCAAACGGCCACAGAAAATGGGGGGCAGCCGCATGCATCATGGACGTACGGGCGACGTCCATGACCATGCCAATGCGGCGCTCAGCAATCCCATTTTGCTGTGGAGAGTCCGGAAGCGTGAAGGTCTGGCGGATGCCTCGTGCACGACAGTAGGCTCGCAGAAGGCCAGAGGAGAACTCTCCACCTCTGTCAGAGTGCAGACGCAGAACAGGAAAGTCCGAGCCGAAGCTCTGCCTGAGCTGGAGACGAGCTGCGCGGATCCAGTCGATCAACACCTCAGTGATATCACCCTTGCTGCGCAAGGGGAAGACTGTGGTGTAACGCGAGTAGTCGTCAACCACCAGCAGGAAGTAGCGCTCGTGACCCTGTCCACGGACGCGGGCCGGGCCCCACATGTCCATGTGAAGCGTCTGCAGCGGGGCCTCTGTCGGAGGAAACTGGGAGGAGTGAGGGGCAGCCCGCTGCCGCCCCTCGACACAGGGGACGCAGGTAGGGCCAGGCCCCGGAGGAAGGGGAGGGAGGGACCGGGGAAGACCAGAGACAAGGACACGGGAGGCCATGCCTCGGAGACGAAGCAGGGAGGGGTGACCAAGGCGGTGGTGCCAGAGGAGAGTCTCGTGAGACAGGAGGCGACACGAACAGGGGGCAGACTCAGGACCAGACCTGGACGCTGCAGCAAACACCTGACCCGACGCAGCTACCCGACCAGACGCAGTGACTGGAGGAGACGCAGTGGTCAGTGTGTACAGGCTCGACCCCGGCCGACGTGTAAACGTGGCCAGGTGTCGGCCTGTCCGAGCGTCCGTGCAGTGGGTCACCCGCTGACTCGCAGGAGTGAACTGGTGAACCCCCGCATCCTGTAGGTCAGCACCACTCACCAAGTTCGTAGAGAACGAGGGGGGTAAAGACCAGACAGGGTGCCAGAGGGGGCCGCCGGACACGGGAGGACAGTGGAGAAGTGAGCAAGGACAGGACCCCCAGAGGGGTCTGCCAGGGAGACCGCAACCGGCCGACTGAGCGGCGTAAGCGTGGTGCGGTCTCGAAAGAAGGAGCGGGAAGCACCCGAGTCAAGAGTGAAGGGTGTGTAAGGCCTGAGACGACGTGGTACACTGAGAGAGCAGACTCACCAGCACCTGGGGCAGCAGACGCACTAGCACCTGAGAGCAGCAGCCTCACCAGCACCTAGAGCAGCAGCCTCAATGCCCGGGTCCAGGCAGAACACACAGGTAACAGTCACACTCATCACTAGTAGGCAATGCATACATGGCAGTGAGGATAGCATCATAGTCAAGAGTATAGATATCTACCCGCAGCCGAAGCAGCTCCACCCAGTCGGGGAGCTCAGCCGCGTCGCCAAGCTCCGTACGCCAGGCGTCGCTCAGACGGGCGAAGCAGCGGACTCTGCGTGACCCAACGTCCCGCAAGGCTGACCAGTCCGAGCACCAGTGCAAATGACGTACGGACAGCGAGCAGTACCCCCGTGACCCGTCACGCTGAGCGTACCACTCACGAAAGCTGCTGGGGCGAAAGGACTTGCTCGCGGACGACGCTGAAGCTGCAACCTGGCCACTACAAGAAGCTGCCGAACTACTCACTCCAGGACGACTCCCACTACGGCCACCCCGACAACCCCAAATAGCGTACCACTCACGAAGCTGTTGGGGGGTGAGGGACTCACGCGGGCGACGCTTGCAGCTGCACCTGGCCACTACAAGCAGCTGTGGAACTACTCACTCCAGGAACGACTCCCACTACGGCCACCCCGACAACCCCAACTAGCGTACCACGCACGAAGCTGTTGGGGGGTGAGGGACTCACGCGGGCGACGCTGGAGCTGCATCTGTGCCATGCCAGGAGCAGCAGTAGCAGTAGAAAGAGCAGCAGCAGTAAGAGCAGCAGTAACAGCAGTACGGGCAGGGCAGTGCTCACCAGTGGCGCGAAGGGCAGGCGTACGACGGCGGCAACGGCGAGGCCGCTACCACTGTAGAGCGAGAGCTCCGCGGCAGCTGCAAGGGGTGGCCTGCTCCAGGGGGCGGCAGTTGTAGGGGCGACTGCTCCAAAGGCGGCTGCTCCAGGGGCGGCTGCTGCAAGTGGCGGCTGCTCCGGGGGCGGCTGCTGCAGTGGCGGCTGCTCCAGGGGGCGGCTGCTGCAGTGGCGGCTGCTCCAGGGGCGGCTGCTGCAGTGGCGGCTGCTCCAGGGGCGGCTCGGCTGCTGGGCGACTCGGCGGCTCAGCTGCTCGGAGACGGCTCGGCGGCTCTCGGCTGCTCGCTAGGGGGCGCGACGGGGCCCGGGTAGGGGCAGCGACGGGGCCGCTAGGGGCGGGGAGCGGCGACGGGGGCCGCTAGGGGCGGCGACGGGGCCGCGTAGGGGCGGCTACGAGGCCCGCGTAGGGGCGGTGACAGGGGCCGCGTAGGGAGGGAAGCTGCGACGGGGCCGCTAGGGGCGGCGACGGGGCCGCGTAGGGGCGGCTACGAGGCCGCGTAGGGGCGGCGACGGGCCGCGTAGGGAGGGAGGCGGCGACGGGGGCCGCTAGGGGCGGCGACGGGGCCGCGTAGGGGCGGCGACAGGGCCGCGTAGGGAGGGAGGAGGCGACGGGGCCGTTAGGGGGCGGCGACGGGGCCGCGTAGGGGCGGCGACGGGGCCGCTAGGGGCGGCGACGGGGGCCGCGTAGGGGCGGCGACGGGGCCGCGTAGGGAGGGGAAGCGGCGACGGGGCCGCTAGGGGCGGCGACGGGGCCGCGTAAGGGCGGCGACGGGGCCGCGTAGGGGCGGCTACGGGGCCGCGTAGGGAGGGGAGCGGCGACGGGGCCGCTAGGGGCGGCGACGGGGCTGCTAGGGGCGGCAACGGGGCCGCGTAGGGGCGGCGACGGGGCCGCGTAGGGGCGGCGACGGGGCCGCGTAGGGAGGGGAGCGGCTACGGGGCCGCTAGGGGCGGCGACGGGGCCGCGTAGGGGCGGCGACGGGGCCGCTAGGGGCGGCGACGGGGCCGCTAAGGGTGGCGCGAGGGGCCGTGGAGAGGGGCCTCTAAGAGAGCTCGACAGAAGGGCGGCCACAAGGCGCGCCTCGGGCAGGAGCGACTGTCGCTCCGGTCAGAAAAAAAAAGGTTTCAGTGGTGGGCCCAAGGAAGCGTTCCCACTAGGGAACCTGCTCTATACCATGTGAAGAAATTAGGAATGGATTGACTAAGGAAAGTTGGGTACAAAAGCAAACCCTAGAAAACTGTACCCCATATGTGCTACCCACTATAGCCCTACAGTAGCTATGTCATATAAATCTGACAGCCAAGAGGGGTGGGAGAGAACAGGAGAGTGTGTGAGGGTGGAAGAAGTGGGGGCGTAGCTCCTTGGTTGCGATGTAGAGAGTGCTGTTTGGAGGACGAGCGAGGGGAGCTTCTGCAGGAGGCTGGGGAGGACAGGGGACGCAGGTGGAAGAGGAGAGAGAGAGACAGCTATTTGGAGGCATCACAGAACTAGAAGTGGTTGTCTTATTCGTTGGTTGCGATGTAGAGAGCGCTGTTTGGCGGGACGAGCGATGGGAGCTTCTGCAGGAGGCTGGGGAGGACAGGGGACGCAGGTGGAAGAGGAGAGAGAGAGACAGCTATTTGGAGGCATCACAGAACTAGAAGTGGTTGTCTGATTCGTTGTTGCGATGTAGAGAGCGCTGTTTGGCGGGACAAGCGATGGGAGCTTCTGTAGGAGACTGGGCTGAGAGGGGCGGCACGGGCAGGGCAGACTGTCACTTCAGAAATTTCTCACAAGCAGCTCACACTTCAGGCCGTGTGCCATGGTCCAACAGAGGCCAGTGCGTGGCATGAGGTGGCCGGGTGTCGCCGACCCCATCGCCGCACGTGCACATAGGCAAAGGGGTGCTGCTGCGACCAGCTATATGGGAGCCACACTTCAAGCCAGAGACGGTGCAGCTTCAATTGGGAACTCACGCTTCGGGCCGCGTGTCTCGATCCAGATGGGGCCAGCGGGTGGCATTCAGCTTGTCCCCCCGCCGCACGTGCACATTGTCAAAACGGCGCTGCTGCAGCCACCCATGTTACAGTCACCCTTGACAGGGGATATCTAACAGGGCACTCACGCTTCAGGTCTGGTGTCTCGATCCAGGTGCGGCCAGCGCCTAGCGTCCAGCTTGTCTCCCCGCCGCACGTGTATGTAGTCAAAGCGGTGTGGGCCGCCCATGGAATCAGCCATGGCGTGTGGCGAGGCGGGTGAATGCGTCATTGGGGAAGAGAAACTCCGGGTCGAATGTGATGTTGTCCTGGTTCTGGGATGGGGATGGGGATGGGGATGGGGATGGGGATGGGATGGGGATGGGATGGGGATGGGATGGGGATGGGGATGGGGATGGGGATGGGGATGGGGATGGGGATGGGATGGGGATGGGATGGGGATGGGGATGGGGATGGGGATGGGGATGGGGATGGGATGGGGATGGGATGGGGATGGGGATGGGGAATGGGGGATGGGGATGGGGATGGGGATGGGGATGGGGATGGGGATGGGGATGGGGGATGGGGATGGGGATGGGGATGGATGGGGATGGGGACAGGGGTATGGGTGGACACATGTATACAGGGGAGGGTATGTGTGGGATTCGCACTGAGGCGGGTGAAGGCATCGTTGGGGACGAAGGTGATGTTGTCCCTGGTTCTGGGATGGGGATGGGGATGGGGATGGGGGATGGGGATGGGATGGGGATGGGATGGGGATGGGATGGGGATGGGGATGGGGATGGATGGGGATGGGGATGGGGATGGGGATGGGGATGGGGATGGGGATGGGATGGGGATGGGGATGGGGATGGGGATGGGATGGGGATGGGGACAGGGGTATGGGTGGACACATGTGTACAGGGGAGGGTATGTGTGGGATTCGCACTGAGGCGGGTGAAGGCATCGTTGGGGACGAAGGTGATGTTGTCCTGGTTCTGGGGAATGGGATGGGGATGGGGATGGGGATGGGGATGGGGATGGGGATGGGGATGGGGATGGAGATGGGAATGGGGATGGGGATGGGGATGGGGATGGGGATGGGGGATGGGGATGGGAATGGGGATGGGGATGGGGATAGGGATGGGGATGGAGGATGGGAATGGGGATGGGGATGGGGATGGGGATGGGGATGGGGATGGGGATGGAGGATGGGAATGGGGATGGGGATGGGGATGGGGATGGGGATGGGGATGGGGATGGAGATGGAGATGGAGACATGTGCATGGATAGCACACAGGTGCGGGGATGTATGGTAACGTGAGAGTGCAGACAGCTTGTTACTGCATCACACATGCACATATGTGCATGCATGAATGCATGGGCACGTGCACGTAGTCAAAGCGGTGAGGGCCGCCCATGGCGTGAGCGAGATGGGTGAACGCATCGTTGGGTGAACCCATACCCGTACTGCCCCTCCTGCGGAGCGCGCACCACCAGAAACACGTTCCTCTCGTTTGACAAGTCTCATTCTATTCTCCCACCCCACCTCCTACTCACCTGCTTGGGCTCCTTATCGCACAGCATGACTGCGTACTGTCCCTCTCTCCCACATTCCACTCATCCCACTCTCCCACGCCCCTCCATTCACCTGCTTGTGCTCCTTATCGCACAGCATGACTGCGTACTGTCCCTCTCTCCCACATTCCACTCATCCCACTCTCCCACGCCCCTCCATTCACCTGCTTGTGCTCCTTATCGCACAGCATGACTGCGTACTGTCCCTCTCTCCCACATTCCACTCATCCCACTCTCCCACGCCCCTCCATTCACCTGCTTGTGCTCCTTATCACACAGCATGAACCCATACTGCCCCTCCTCCGGTGCACGCACCACCAGAAGCACGTTCCTCCAAATCGCCAGCTCCCCTGTGCGCGGCCCTATGGGGAACTTGCGATCATATCATACACACGACGCCCTTCCACGCACCTGCATGTGCTCCTTATCGCACAGCATGAACCCGTACTGCCCCTCCTCCGGTGCACGCACCACCAGAAACACGTTCCTCCACACAGCTAGCTTCTCCGTGCGTGGCCCGATGGGGGACTTGCGCATGGGTATGACGTCCCACTCCCACGAACCGAAGCGAGCCTGAAAATGCTCCAGGAAAATTATTGGCTGCCGGCTGGGGCGGGGGGAAACGGAAGAGGGAAAAGGCATGGGGTGGGCATGACGTCCCACGAGCCGAATCGAGCCAAGAAATGATCCATCAGGACTTATTGGCTGCTGCCTGGGGGGGGGGGCGAAAGGGGAGAGGAGGACGCAGAGAGGGGAATGAGGAACTTGCCCATGGTCATGACGTTCCACTCCCACGAGCGACATCCCGCTCCCACGAGGCAAAGCGAGCCTGAGAATGCTCCATGCGGACCATTGGCTGCTGGGTGGGGGGTGATGAAAGGGGGTTGGGCATGACGTCCCACCCACTCCCACGAGCCGAATAGAGCCTGAAAATGCACCATCAGGATTATCGGTTGCTGGCTGCGGGGGAATGAAAGGGGGAGGGCGGAAACCGGGGGGATACAGAAGGGGGAGCTTGCGCATGGGCATGACGTCCGACTCCCACTCCCACTCCATGAGGACAACTGGCTGCTGGCAGGGGGGGGATGAAGAGGGGTGGGGGAATCGAGGGGAAAACAGAAGCGGGAAAAGGTCATGGGCATGGGCATGGGCATGGGCATAGGCATAGGCATGGGCATGGGCAAGGGCATGGGCATGGGCATGGGCATGGGCATAGGCATAGGCATGGGCATGGGCATGGGCATGACGTCCCACTCCCGCGCCCCAAAGAGCAGCATGAAACACTGCATGAGTACGACATGACACCCCACACCGCATCCCACCCCACCCCACCTCACTGCACCGCACCGCATCATGGTGGTGAAATTGTAACACAGCCCCACGTGCCCATGCTCGTCCTTCCTGCAATACCCAGAGCACACGCCCTCTCAGCCACGCAGTACCCCACCGCACCCCACCGCACCCAACCCCACCCCACTGCTGGTGAGGTTATAGAACAGCCACACGTGCCCATGCTCATCATCCCCCCGCTCCTGAGTGCGCTTGATGAAAGCAATGGCGTGTGTTTCAGCACCTAACACACCACACCGCAGCACACCGCAGCACACCGCAGCACAGCACAGCACAGCACAGCACACCACAGCACACCATACCGCACTGCACCGCACAACACCATTCCCTCTCCTCTCCCCCCCGCACCTCATCATAGTTGTGAGGTTGTAATACAGCCCCACGTGTCCATGCTCGTCCCTTACCCGAAGCACACGCCCTCCCGGCCACACATTACCACACCCCACCGCACCGCACCTCATCATAGTCGTGAGATTATAGTACAGCCCCACGTGTCCATGCTCGTCCTGCCCCGTCCGCGTGTGCGCCTGGTACAAGCAACGGTCAGTCACTAACACCAGCGCGCCTTTCAGCGCCACTCGAGGCGCCTAACACACACCGTTCTGCACCGCAACAAACCACGCCACACCACACCAAACCGAGCTGCAGCTGCACACTCCCTTCCCTCGTCCCCTCCCTCACCTCATCATGCTGGTGACGTTGCAATACAGCCCACGTGCCCACGCTCGCCCCTGTTGGTATTACCCCACAGAACATACCTTTAAGCCACACAGTACCACACCCAACCCCACCGCACCACACCTCATCATGGTGGTGACGTTGTAATACAGCCCCACGTGCCCATGCTCGTCCCTCCCCGTCCGCGAGTGCACCTGGTGCAAGCAACGGTCAGTCACCAACACCAGCGCGCGCGCCGAAGCGCCTTTGCCTCCGCCGCCGCACAGCGCAGCGACCACGACCAGTGCGACTGCCCCACGCAACGGTCAGTGGCGGAGGATAGCAGGTAGTATCGCTCCCCGCGCGCCACGGCGCGCGTTACCTCGTCGCGATACACGCGCCGCTGCTGCTCCCACGCCTCTTTGTCCGATTTCCGGATTTCCGATTTCCGGATTTCCGGTTTCCGGATTTCCAATGTCCGATTTTCGGAATTCCGATTTCCCACGACGTTTTCGGATTTTTTCTCTCCGCCTGCCGTTTCCGCCCTCTGCGCCTCCGGCAGCTGCGCCGGGCTGCGCGCGCGCGAGGCGAGGAGCCCCCGCCGCGAGGAGCCCCCCGGGCTGCTGCGCCGAGCTGCGCGCCTTTGGCTGCTGCGCCGGGATGCGCGCCCCCGGCAGCTGCGCCGAGCTGCGCGCCTTTGGCTGCTGCGCCGGGATGCGCGCCCCCGGCAGCTGCGCCGGGCTGCGCGCGTACGAGGCGAGGAGCCCCGCCGCGACGAACGCCGCGACGACCGCGAGGAGAAGAAGAGCGCGACGAATCGGTGCGTCGCGAGTGTTAGGAGTGAGCGGTACGGGGATGGAGCCGGTCCCGCGGCGAGAGGGGATTCGCTGGTATGACTTGCGGTAGCGGGGCCCGCGGAGGGTCGCGCGGACGGGGAAAGAGCGGCACGCGGGCGGAGCACAGCTGCGTCGCGCAACCCCATGCGATACGGTCGCCACCAGTCGCCCACCGTTGTCGCCGCCACCAAGTGCGATGATTCCCAGAACACCGGATGATGAATGAAAAAATGTCATTTTTAAAGCCGCGGTGCAGATATCCGGGCTCCAGTTCAAACTATTATAGTTTGAAAGCCGCGTAACCCAGTATACACAGGAAAGCGAGCAGGGAGAGGTTTCTGCCAGCGGGGGAAGGGCGTGCGGAAAAGTCCTTCGCAGTATGATGTGTGTGGGGGGGAAACGGGGGAGGGCTCGGGGAAAAGCTCCGCTCAACGAGTTGAGGGGGAGCGCATGCAGCAAACTTGAAAATTCAAACTTGAACTCAAAACAACTCAAACTCGGCAAACTCTCACGCTTGAACTAGGTTCTTACTAACTTGAAGTGCGTTTTCCGAGCTACGCAGAGCCATTTCCGCTAAGATTTCTCGCGTTTCATGGTCTATTGATGTGCTCACGAATATCTGCGCAATTTCCTACCTCGTAAACACCTTTTTGTCGTATTCGAAGCGCATTGCGCTCGTTTTCCTCCGTTGCCGTCCTTATTCCTCTCCCGCCCCTCCATTCCTCACGTATCTGCGGTAGCAAAGGCGCAACGGTAGCGACAGGCAGGAATGGGTGCGACGGTGGCGAGCAGCGGGGCGACGATAGCGAGCGGTGCGGCGACGATAGCGAGCAGCGGGGCGACGATATGAGCAGCGGGGGTGACGATAGCGAGCAGCAGGGCGACGATAGCGAGCACCAGGGCGACGATAGCGAGCTCCAGGGCGACGATAGCGAGCATCAGGGCGACGATAGCAAGCACCAGGGCGACGATAGCGAGCAGCGGGGCGAAGCATCTGTGCGACGGTGGCGAAGCATCTCGCGTCCCCCTCCATATTTATTCCTCTCCAATGCCTCCCCCTTTCCGATCCCTTGCCCGGTCCTCAGCGTCAACTTCTCTTGGGCAGTGCCCTCCCTGTTTTCCTCTCCCTTTCCCCCTGTCCTCCTCTCCCTTTCCCCCTGTCCTCCTCTCGTCCTCCTCTCCCTTTCCCCCTGTCCTCCTCTCCCTTTCCCCTTGTCCTCCTCTCCCTTTCCCCCTATCCTCCTCTCCCTTTCCCCCTGTCCTCCTCTCCCTTTCCCCCTGTCCTCCTCTCCCTTTCCCCCTGTCCTCCTCTCCATTTCCCCTGTCCTCCTCTCCATTTCCCCCTGTCCTCCTCTCCATTTCCCCCTGTCATCCTCTCCCTTTCCCCCTGTCCTCCTCTCCCTTTCCCCCAGTCCTCCTCTCCATTTCCCCCTGTCCTTCTCTCCCTTTCCCCCTGTCCTTCTCTCCCTTTCCCCCTGTCCTTCCCTCCCACCTTTCCTCCCCCTCTCTCACATCCCTTCCCTTTCCTACTGTCCTCTCCCACCATTCACGCTTCTCTCAGCCATCCCTTTCCCCCCTCCCCTGCCCCTCGCCTTCCCCCACTACCGTCCCTTCCCTTTCCACTACGTTCTCTCGTTCAATTCAGCCAACAGTACCAGCTTTGCTTGGCCACTGAAGGCTGTCTATCATATCTCAGTTTCCATGCTCTCTTCAATTTCCCTACCTAACATTCTTCAATAATGCGCAACGTTTCCTTCCCCTTTTCCCCTCCCCCCTCCTCCCTGTAAATGGACAGCTGCACCAATAGTGGATCGGAGTGTAAAAATCGGCTCTCCTTGGATTATGCCATGTTGTTTGCTTGCGATCCTTTGCATGATAAGGATTTCAATATGACATTCCAAGTCTTGCAGGTCTGTACAGTTGATGTTCTTTCTCCCCATTAGAAATAATACTCTTGCAAATGGATGGATAAATAAACCAAAATAAACCTTGTAAGTGAAATATGTATTTTGCAAAGTTTTTATGAAACATAAGGTTTATCGTTTTGCAATGTGGAGGTGTTATTGGCAGAACAATCAGCGAAAGGGAGTATGGGGGTGTTGATGTGGTCCCATTTCCCGTTTCGTGTGTGTTCCCCCCTTCCCTTCCCCCCACCCCTTCCCCCCCACTTTCCTTTCGAGGTTCGCGACATTCGCCTTGGATGTTTTCATCGCAACACAACTTACACACTCGCTAGCCAATTGACTACCAGTACGGAACAAGACAAAACCCGGCTTGTCACTGTTCCTAAGATAGTTGCACCGCGGCTTTAAGAAGAAAAGAACCGTATTGCGAGAAGTAACTTCTAGGGAAATTTCACTACTTAGTGCGACCTTGGTCCTGTGGCTACAGAAGTCAAAATAAGGACCATAGCTGGTGGCTCATTTTGTCATTCGGGAATTGTGGCCAGAGTTGAACCCCTTAAAGCTGCAGTATACATTTGTCAGCCGGGTTTAGGGTTTTTATTGTGTGCCTCACAGCTTTGGGGCAACTTTTCAAATTTCAAAAGTTTTTGAACCCAACCTTTCAATTGTATACTGCAGCTTTAAGGGCGACGTCGGGTTTGCACATTTCCCACACATTTACAGTTCTGGTATCGTGGCTCAGGACGGTTCCACACGGTGAGAAGCGGTTTTGAAAGTTTACCGTTTTGCACCGTGACGAATCGAAGTCAACCGCAGTGAGCGTACAGAAGTTGTGCAACCTGACGTCGCCCTTACGCTGCATTCTGGGCTGGTACGAAAGTGTCGTAGTAAACAGGAGATTACTGGCGAGGCGATCCCGAAGCTGGGGATGTCGGGGTGCGACGGCCAAGTTTGGCGAAGGAGCGGCATGCGGGCGGAGCACAGCTGCATCGCGCAACCCCATACGACACTGTCGCCAGGGTCGCATGTGGCCCAAATGGCAAGTGCGATTATTCGGGGATCGCTGAGCGATGAGCGAAATTTCCATGTGTAATAGTGAAGTACTGTACAAGGGGATTTCCAAGCCGCGTTGGTTTGGTGGGATGGCAAGGGTCGAAACCGTCGATGGTGTCGTCAAGCAAGTCCTTCAGAGTCGAGCCGCTGACAGGTGGTGTATAAGCCATTGAGGCGCGGACACGTGTGGGACCCTTCAACCACAAAAGTCGAATCTGGTGACAGAGCCAAAAGGTCCCACCGAGAATTGAATTCGGCCATTCAGATTCAGAGTCTGACATCATAACCACTAGATCATGGGACCGATGCGTCAATGGAAAGAAGAAATATTAAATTCGTAATAAATAGCGCGAATCCACCTTCCCCCGGTATCTATCTCGAGCAGGGAGGTTGGGAGGTTTGGGGGAGGGTAGAGAGGGGGAGGGGAGAGGACAGGTGGGTGGAGGAGAGGATAGGGGGAGAGAGACGACAGGAGAGGAGGCACCGAGGGACCAGACAGGGCAGCAGCCAGCGCAGCAGCAGGGACCAGCCGGACGCACAGGCCGTACAGGCACCTCCTCCCGCATCCCAGACCTCACCTGCCGCGACGTTGGGCAGACTTTGATGGTTCTTGTGGATGTCTCCATAGCGGATCCACAGCGGGAGGGGAACGTGCAGCTGGGACGGGCGACCCCCACACAGATTGGAGTGGCAGCAGCTAGGCGGGTGCAGGAGAAGCTGCGTCACTGGGGGCCGCACTTAGAGGGGTTGCAGCCGGCACCACACTTTTACGCGTGCGTGGCTGAGACCTTTGGCCTACTGAGCGAGCCGTTGCGTCAGTTCCTGGGGCTCTGCGCGAAGAGGATAGCACAGCGGAGGAGGGATTGGGGAGGAGGGGATGACGGATCAGCACGGATATTTGAGACAGGACTCACTACACGTCTCTCCGTGGCACTGCAGCGCGCGCAGGCTCGATGCATCTTACAGCATGCGGTGCGGCAGTTGGGGGGATCCGACGACGGATGGATGCCCGCACCCGTCCCACTGGGTGCGGGGCAGGGTACCTGGAACCATATCACAGGGTGCTTCGAGAGTGTTGCCGATATGCAATATATGTATGATGCATATGTGTAGAGAGTTTAGTGGCTGTGCTTGAAACGCTGTGCCCGCGTTTGTTGTGCGGGTTGCTGCCGTGTCTGGTCCCTTGGTGCTTCCTCCTCCTTAGTCTCTTTCCCTCTCTCCTCTCCTCTTCCCACCTCCCTCTTTCTCTTCCCTTCATCTATCTTTTCTCTTCTCTTCCCACCACTCTCTTCTTTTCCCTACTACTTCTTTTCACTCCTTGACCTTTTCTTCTTCTTTCTTTCTTCTTTTCCCTACAGACAATATATGTCGTCCTCATAGAGCTCTGGTGCAGGCTGCACATGTCTTACCTTGCTCAGCCCATTGTCGGTGCGACTGGGGAAGTCGGTCTTGAGCTTCCCCACCGCCCTCCGCGCACCTGCAATCCCTCCGTCTCCGCGGAGCCGCGCGAGCCGTCAGGAGCAGCCTCAGATTGTTTCCCCTCTCCCCGCGACCGCGCGTCTCCCGCGGACGTTGTTCCGCCGCTTCCTGGTCAGCTCCACCGCCACGAGTCCGCGCCGTCCGCGCTTTCCGCCTCCGCCTGGTCCGCTCCGCGCGGATTCCTCCGCCGCGACGCCGCGGATTTGCGCTGGCAGCAACCCCGCTGGTGGAACGCGCTGACTGCGCTGACCGCGCGTATCCGCTTATCCGCTTTCGCGCGGGATCTGGCGGAAGGGGAAGCGGAGGAATCTGAGCAGGAGTTGGGTGCGGTGAAGATGGGTGAACCGTGGGATTGGCGGAAGGAATTCGAGGAGGAGGAGCTAGCTTCGCAGCAAGTCGCGGGGGGATCCGCGCTGCTGGGGCTCGGATTAGGCGGACTTACTGGCGCAATTGGCGGAAGCGGCGGAATCGGCGGAGCTAGCGGTCCCCCCGGGCGGAGAAAGTCGTCGTGGCGGGACTTGGCGGAAGCTTTGGCGGAGGCGTCGCGGAAGGTGCAGGAGGAGGTGCGGGAGTTCCGCAGCAGGGGCGGGGCGGCGGGGGATTTCTTCCGCGTGGGCAGCTGGCTCGCGCTCGCGGGGGCGGGCGGCGGAGAGGCGGACGAATGGGTGAAGCGCATGGGAAGCCAGGTGTGCAGTGCGGTGAAGGGGAGTTGGAAGGGCATGGGTGAAGGGCATGGGGAATAGGGTTAGTTCCTGTTTCCGAGAAGCTTAAAAAAGCAAGTGAATGGGGGAAGGCAAGGGTACAGGCGAGGGGTTGTTGTGCAGCAGGTGCTGTTGCTTGTAGTTGGCACTGCGGCACTGCTGAAAGCGGCTATGGGACTCATCACATCACTCGCACGGCCCACACTCACTGCTGAGGCTAAACCTCGTGCCATAATCCCCTCTCCTCCTGCCATTCCCCATGCTTACAGGCGGAAGTGGTGGCGCTGCTGAAAGCGGCCATGGAGCTCATCACTCGCACTGTCGCCACTGCAGCTGACCAGACCAGGCAAACCCTACTGCCTTTGCCCATGTGCCCATGCTCCCACCCCTACTTCTATTTCAGGCAGCAGTGGTGGCGCTGCTGAAAGCGTCTATGGAGCTCATCACTCGCACCGTCACCACTGCTCCCCCTGCTACAGCTGATACAGCCGCTACAGCTGCTACAGAAACCGGTAGAGCGTCAGACACTCATGCTACAGCACCTGGGACCGCTTCCGGGACCGTTCCTGCTACAACACACCTCACCCGCCGCAGGAGCAGCAGCAGCTGCAGCAGCAGCTACAGCAGCGGCGGCTGTAGCGAGGACGGGGAGGAGGAGTGGGAGGCGGAGGAGGAGGAGGGGGAGGGGGGCCGGGAGATGGGGAGAGTGAGGGAGATGGCGGGGGAGGGGGAAGGGCAGAGCAGAGCGGAGGGCGGGGAGACAGAGGGGCAGAGCAGGGCGGGCGGCAGGGGGGGCGGCAGAGAGGCCAATGCGGGCGGCAGAGGGGGCCGATTCGGGCGGCAGTGATGCGTCCACGTGGGTGCTATTCAGCCTGGCGCGTCTATGCGAGCCTCTAGAGAGTTTCATGCGCTATGAGTTGGCACAGCAGAAGGAGCGCGAAGGGAGGGAGCAGCAGGCTGGGGGGGGAGAGGCGGATGGTGGGGGAATGGACGGGTGGTTCTGGGGGAGGGCGTATCCGGGGACGTTTGAGGCGCTGCTTACGATGCTCACGCTGCTGCATCGCTATGCCATCACTGCTGCTATGTGAGACGGTGGTGTTCTTGTTTGACGCGCTGCTGACGATGCTGACCGTGCTGCACCGATACGCCATCACTGCTGCTATGTGAGACGGTGGGGTCGGGGTGCCAACCAGGTGCCCTCTTTGCCCTCTTCTTGTTTGAGTGTGTTCTTGTTTGACGCGCTGCTGACCATGCTCACCGTGCTGCACCGTGCTGCACCGTGCTGCACCGATACGCCATCACTGCTGCCGGGAGACGGTCAGGTTGGGGATCTGTACGCTCTTTCCCCCCGTTCTCACCCCATCCAGCCCACTCACTCTACCTCACTGCACCGTACTCCGCCCCTCCCTCTCTCTCCCCTTCCCCCATCCAGCCAGGACGTGCAGCTATCCGCTAAAGCCTCTGGGCTGGACGACGGGCTACCCCACCCTCCTCATGCCGCTCTCTCACCCACCGCCACGTCAGCATCCCTGACGCCACGTGGCACATCGGCAGCTGCCCACGTGGCAGGCGCCGCCAGGCTGGCGGACAGTGACATGGCGCTGTTCCTGCTGCTGTTCCAGATCATCGGTGCCGTGCGCTTCTTCGCTCCCCCTGAGGCTGTTGGATGCGCCGCCTTCTCAGTGTTGCTGGAAGACCAGGTGAGGATTGCTGCTGGAGGATCAGGTGGGCGTTTCAGTGAGCATCGGAGGGTGGGTGGGGTGGAGGGGCAGGTGAGCATCGGAGGGTGGGTGGGGTGGAGGGGCAGGTGAGCAGCGGAGAGAGGGAGATCATCGGGGCTGTGCGCTTCTTTGCTCCACCGGAAGCTGTTGGCTGCGCCGCGTTCTCAGTTCTGCTGGAGGACCAGGTAGGTAGTGGAGTCAGGGTTAAGGCGAGTCAACTCTTGTGGATGGAGGGTAGAGGAGCGGGTGAGTGACAGAATGAGAGAGGGAGGGCGGTCATCGGTGCCGTGCGCTTCTTTGCGCCGCCTGAGGCTGTTGGCTGTGCCGCACTCTCTGTTCTGCTGGAGGATCAGGTGGGCGGTGGAGAGAGGATTAAAGCAAGTCAAAGGGAGTTGGTGAGGGTTGCAGGGGCAGACGAGTCAAGTGAGAGCAGGTGAGCTTGTGGGTGGAGGGTTGAGTCGAGTTGTTGGCTGCGCCGCATTCCATGCTACTGGAGGATCAGGTGGGTGGGGGAGGGTGGAGGGGCAGGTGGGCAGTCGAGGGCAGGTGAGTCTATGGGTGGAGGGCTGATGAGCAGGAGGCTAATGGGCGTCTGCGCCACCTCTTCGATTCGACCACCTGTAAAGAGCAGCACACATTGAGAACGTCTACCACCGCGTTGCGGTGTCAGGCAGAGCTCCGCTTTGACTCGCCCTTGCCTCCCTTCAACCCCCCAGTCCCCCCACTCCCCCCACTTCCACCCCCACCCCTCCTGTAGCTGCATCATCTGTTTGACCATCTGTTGAGAGCAGCCGAAATTGACGACGTGTATCGCCACGCCGTGAGTGCGGGGCTGCGCGCCGAGTTGCCCTCACACTCCAATCCCCACCCCCCCCACTCTGTCCCCCACTCCCGCCCCCCTTTCTGCCCAACCCACCCACCAGCTGCGCCATCTGTTTGACCACTTACTTAAAGCACCCGACATAGATGTATATTGCCATGCACTGCGGACGGGGCTGCGCGCTGAGTCACCCTTGCTTCAACCTCCCACTCACTCCCCCTCACCCCTGCCTGCAGTTGCGACACCTGTTTGACCACCTACTAAGAGCAGCCGACATCGATGACGTGTACCGTCACGCAGTGAGAGCGGGGCTGCGCGCCGAGTTCCTCTCGCACTTCGGGCAGCGCGCGGGCGGGCACCTGAACTTTCGCGTGCTGCCCGGCGAGCGCCGCTTCTGGGTGCAGCTGGTGGAGCGGCAGCTGCGGGCAGCTTTGGTTCGGGAGAAAATTTTCGAGGAGTGGGGGGAGGGGGAGGGGGAGTGGGGAGGCGGGGGGGAGGGGGGAGGCGAGAGCTTGAAAGCTGAGCTGGCGGTTTTTGGATTCTTTGTGGCTCTTGGGCGGGCGACACGGCTGTTCCTCCAATCGGAGGGCGCCAGCGAGGCGGATGAGGGGCTGGCAACATTGCTGACGTGGGTGGTGGGGTGGTGGGGATATGTGGTATGGTGGTGATGGAATGGGTGCGGTGTGACGATGGCATGGGTGTGGTGATGATGACATGTCATGGGTGTGATGATGGTGGTGGCATGGCTTGGGTATGATGGTAGTGATGTATGGCTGTCATTGCCTTGCCTGCCCCTGCTACGCCCATCCCTTCACCCCCCTCCACCCCCCCCTCCCAGTTCCCCTCGCTCATCATTTGTTTCCCAGTCTCTTCAAGTCTAGCCCCTCCCAGTCTCTTCAAGTCTAGCCCCTCCCAGTCTCTTCAAGTCTAGCCCCTCCCAGTCTCTTCAAGTCTAGCCCCTCCCACTCTCTTCAAGTCTAGCCCCTCCCACTCTCTTCAAGTCTAGCCCCTCCCAGTCTCTTCAAGTCTAGCCCCTCCCAGTCTCTTCAAGTCTAGCCCCTCCCAGTCTCTTCAAGTCTAGCCCCTCCCAGTCTCTTCAAGTCTAGCCCCTCCCAGTCTCTTCAAGTCTAGCCCCTCCCAGTCTCGTCAAGTCTAGCCCCTCCCAGTCTCTTCAAGTCTAGCCCCTCCCAGACTCTTCAAGTCTAGCCCCTCCCAGTCTCTTCAAGTCTAGCCCCTCCCAGTCTCTTCAAGTCTAGCCCCTCCCAGACTCTTCAAGTCTAGCCCCTCCCAGTCTCTTCAAGTCTAGCCCCTCCCAGTCTCTTCAAGTCTAGCCCCTCCCACTCTCTTCAAGTCTAGCCCCTCCCAGTCTCTTCAAGTCTAGCCCCTCCCAGTCTCTTCAAGTCTAGCCCCTCCCACTCTCTTCAAGTCTAGCCCCTCCCAGTCTCTTCAAGTCTAGCCCCTCCGAGTCTCTTCAAGTCTAGCCCCTCCCAGTCTCTTCAAGTCTAGCCCCTCCCACTCTCTTCAAGTCTAGCCCCTCCCACTCTCTTCAAGTCTAGCCCCTCCCACTCTCTTCAAGTCTAGCCCCTCCCACTCTCTTCAAGTCTAGCCCCTCCCACTCTCTTCAAGTCTAGCCCCTCCCACTCTCTTCAAGTCTAGCCCCTCCCAGTCTCTTCAAGTCTAGCCCCTCCCACTCTCTTCAAGTCTAGCCCCTCCCAGTCTCTTCAAGTCTAGCCCCTCCCAGTCTCTTCAAGTCTAGCCCCTCCCAGTCTCGTCAAGTCTAGCCCCTCCCAGTCTCGTCAAGTCTAGCCCCTCCCACTCTCGTCAAGTCTAGCCCCTCCCAGTCTCGTCAAGTCTAGCCCCTCCCAGTCTCTTCAAGTCTAGCCCCTCCCAGTCTCGTCAAGTCTAGCCCCTCCCAGTCTCGTCAAGTCTAGCCCCTCCCAGTCTCTTCAAGTCTAGCCCCTCCCAGTCTCGTCAAGTCTAGCCCCTCCCACTCTCTTCAAGTCTAGCCCCTCCCACTAGTCTAGCCCCTCCCAGTCTCGTCAAGTCTAGCCCCTCCCAGTCTCTTCAAGTCTAGCCCCTCCCACTCTCTTCAAGTCTAGCCCCTCCCAGTCTCTTCAAGTCTAGCCCCTCCCAGTCTCTTCAAGTCTAGCCCCTCCCAGTCTCTTCAAGTCTAGCCCCTCCCAGTCTCTTCAATTCTAGCCCCTCCCAGTCTCTTCAAGTCTAGCCCCTCCCAGTCTCTTCAAGTCTAGCCCCTCCCAGTCTCTTCAAGTCTAGCCCCTCCCACTCTCTTCAAGTCTAGCCCCTCCCACTCTCTTCAAGTCTAGCCCCTCCCAGTCTCTTCAAGTCTAGCCCCTCCCAGTCTCTTCAAGTCTAGCCCCTCCCAGTCTCTTCAAGTCTAGCCCTCCCAGTCTCTTCAAGTCTAGCCCCTCCCAGTCTCTTCAAGTCTAGCCCCTCCCAGTCTCTTCAAGTCTAGCCCCTCCCAGTCTCTTCAAGTCTAGCCCCTCCCAGTCTCTTCAAGTCTAGCCCCTCCCAGTCTCTTCAAGTCTAGCCCCTCCCAGTCTCTTCAAGTCTAGCCCCTCCCAGTCTCTTCAAGTCTAGCCCCTCCCACTCTCTTCAAGTCTAGCCCCTCCCACTCTCTTCAAGTCTAGCCCCTCCCAGTCTCTTCAAGTCTAGCCCCTCCCAGTCTCGTCAAGTCTAGCCCCTCCCAGTCTCTTCAAGTCTAGCCCCTCCCAGTCTCTTCAAGTCTAGCCCCTCCCAGTCTCGTCAAGTCTAGCCCCTCCCAGTCTCTTCAAGTCTAGCCCCTCCCAGTCTCTTCAAGTCTAGCCCCTCCCAGTCTCTTCAAGTCTAGCCCCTCCCAGTCTCGTCAAGTCTAGCCCCTCCCAGTCTCTTCAAGTCTAGCCCCTCCAGTCTCGTCAAGTCTAGCCCCTCCCAGTCTCTTCAAGTCTAGCCCCTCCCAGTCTCGTCAAGTCTAGCCCCTCCCAGTCTCGTCAAGTCTAGCCCCTCCCAGTCTCTTCAAGTCTAGCCCCTCCCAGTCTCGTCAAGTCTAGCCCCTCCCAGTCTCTTCAAGTCTAGCCCCTCCCACTCTCTTCAAGTCTAGCCCCTCCCAGTCTCTTCAAGTCTAGCCCCTCCCAGTCTCGTAAAGTCTAGCCCCTCCCAGTCTCTTCAAGTCTAGCCCCTCCCAGTCTCTTCAAGTCTAGCCCCTCCCAGTCTCGTCAAGTCTAGCCCCTCCCAGTCTCTTCAAGTCTAGCCCCTCCTAGTCTCTTCAAGTCTAGCCCCTCCCAGTCTCTTCAAGTCTAGCCCCTCCCACTCTCTTCAAGTCTAGCCCCTCCCAGTCTCGTCAAGTCTAGCCCCTCCCAGTCTCTTCAAGTCTAGCCCCTCCCAGTCTCTTCAAGTCTAGCCCCTCCCAGTCTCGTCAAGTCTAGCCCCTCCCAGTCTCTTCAAGTCTAGCCCCTCCCAGTCTCTTCAAGTCTAGCCCCTCCCAGTCTCGTCAAGTCTAGCCCCTCCCAGTCTCTTCAAGTCTAGCCCCTCCCAGTCTCTTCAAGTCTAGCCCCTCCCAGTCTCTTCAAGTCTAGCCCCTCCCAGTCTCGTCAAGTCTAGCCCCTCCCAGTCTCTTCAAGTCTAGCCCCTCCCACTCTCTTCAAGTCTAGCCCCTTCCACTCTCGTCAAGTCTAGCCCCTCCCAGTCTCTTCAAGTCTAGCCCCTCCCACTCTCTTCAAGTCTAGCCCCTCCCACTCTCTTCTAGTCTCGCCCCTCCCAGTCTCTTCAAGTCTCGCCCCTCCCAGTCTCTTCAAGTCTCGCCCCTCCCAGTCTCTTCAAGTCGAGCCCCTCCCAGTCTCTTCAAGTCGAGCCCACTGTTTGGTAGCAAGCAGGGCCCTCGCTCGCTTCCCCTCTTCCGTTCTCCCCCCCTCCTATCCCCCTTCCTGGTCTTTGATCAATCATCTTCACCTTCCCATGACTTTCTCTGTGCCCAATCCCATCCCTACCTCCTCCCCACCCGCCGTTCCCGTCTAAGGGCACAATCACCTTGCTTTCCCTCAACTCTCCACCCATCTCCCCCCTCCTTCCCCTCCTTCCCATCCCCCCATCTCCCCACCGCCCCCAGCCACTTCGAGGGCGCAATCATATTCACCTTCCCCCAGCTGGACAACATATCCATGTACCAGGGGCTCGTGGAGGTGAGCAGGCAGCAGTGAAGGTTACAGGCAGTCGACTGTGGTAACCAGCAGTCAGGGTAACACTAGCCCTTCTTCCCGCATGCCTTTCCTTAGCTTCCATTTCTCTGCCATATCTGAATCCCGTTTGAAAATAATCTCTAGTTTTCCCCCTTCGCTCCTTCATTCCAGTGCCGCCCTGACGACCCCCCTCCTCCGTGTTCCCGCTTCTTAAGGCATTGCCTTTTCTAAGCTTTCGTTCGCCTGCCTGCCTCTTCTCCCCTTTCCCTCCTCCCAAGTGCCACCCTGACACCCACCCCTAACCCTAAATCTCTTCCCCCTGCCTTTTCTAAGCTTTCATTCGCTTCCCCTTTTCCCAGTGTCATCAGGTCTTAAGGCAAGAGCTCGCCTCCTTGCCCCTCCTCCCCCTTATTTCCCCCAAACGTCACCCTGACCTCACCCTTCCTCCCTCTCTCCCCATTCCTGCCCTAAGCTTCGTCTTCCCTCCTCCCTCTCCCCACCCTCCCCACCCCCTCAGGTCCTAAGGGAAGAGCTTGCTTGGTTGCCTTTCCTCCCCCCGCTCTCTTCCAAGCGCCACCCTCATCTCGACCCCTCCTCCCTCTCCATCCTTTTCAAGTTCTTACCTACCATTCCTCCCCTTCTCTGTCCTCCAATATCCCACTCTCAGGTTCTAAGGAAAGAGCTTGCCTGGCTGCCGCTCCTCCCCCCTCTTTCCTCCAAGCGCCACCCTGATCTCGACCCCTCCGCCCTCTCTCCCCATCCTTTCGTTAACTTGGTCTTTCTCCCCCCTTCCTCAGGTCCTGAGAGAAGAGCTCGCCTGGTTGCCGCTCCTCCCGCCCCTCTCCTCCAAGCGCCACCCTGACCTCGACCCCTCCTCCCTCTCGCCGCGCTCGGCGCAGCGGCAGCGGCACCGGCAGCGGAGGAGGCGGCGCAGACTGGTGGGTAAGGAGGTGTGCGGCATGTGGGCGAGGGATTGGGAGCGGCACTCGAGCTGGCTGCTGCAGCAGCCTGACTCGCGAGCTGCTGCTTTCATGGCCCAGGGGTGAGTATGTGTGGTTAGGGGTAAAGAAGGGAGAAGAGAAGTTGAAAGGGATGTAGAGGGGTGAAGTGGGTGTACTGGGATTAAGAGGACTGCAGAAGGTTGAAAAGGGGTGCGGTGTTGAGGGGTGAATGTTGCTGCTGATGCTGCTGGTGCTGCTGGCGACACCCCTCTCCACCCTTCGGCATGTGCTGCTGGTGCCGTGCCTGGACGGATCCATCAACCAAGCAGCTTGTGAGGTACCTCAACTCAAAGTCATCCCTCTTGTCCCCCTCCACCCTTCAACAATCCTCTGCACCCCTTCCCACCCCTCTCTTTCCCTCTCCACCCCTCCAGCATGGTTCTTCTGGGGCTGTGCCTGGAGCCATCAAGCAAGCACCAAGTGGCTGCAGAGTGAGTGGGATGGGAGAGTGACGAAGGGGAACGAGCAAGTGAGTGATTGAGCAACTGAGTTATTCAATGGGAAGAGAGTAGGTGAATGAGTGGTTAAGAGAAGCGCTGCATGTCTTTTATTTAAAATACAGGACATGCGAGTTTGCAAGTGAGTAATTGGTATGAGAAGAGAGTGAATGAGTATTCTCACTCATGCCCTTCCCATTCCCCACTCGCTCCCTTCCGCTCCCCCCCTGTCTTCCCATCCACCTCCCCTTCATCCGTTCTCCCTTCCCCTTTCCATCTTCCTGCTATTTTCCTCCTCCCCTCTCTACCCCCACAGAGTACCAGGCGTGCTGGTCCCCTCTTCTGACTCTGATTCTTCCAACGAGGCCGAGAGGCGGTTAGAGGGGTCGAGAGCGGTGGAGATGGGCGAGATGGAGGAGGTGGAGAGGGAGGCGAGGGAGAGGGAGGAGGCGCGGAGGCGGCTGGAGAAGGAACTGAGGGGGCTCAAGGTCATGGAGAGGGAACTGAAGGCGCTGAACCAGGTGAGGAGAGTGGTGATTATTGATATCGCGTGCTCGCGGCTAGAGCCGGAACTGAGAGGGCTGAAGTGAAGGTCATGGAGAGGGACTGAACTGAAGGCATTGAATCAGGTGAGGGGATCAAGGCATGGAACCAGCAAGGTGAGGAGATTGGTGATTGTTGATTGTCTATGTGGGAGGAGCGCTCTTGGCTGGAGAAGGAACTGAGGGGGCTCAAGGTCTTGGAGAGGGGATTGAAGGTGCTGAATCAGGCGAGGAGGATACTGATGAATGATGTTTTTTCCCCATCAGGATCTCTCCCCAGTGGACTAGAGTAGAGCGACTAATGGGAGTGGTGGGTCGGTCGCGCTTTCTCCCCCTCTTGCTCCCCTACCTTTGCTTCTTTCCCTCACTTTGCTCCACCTCTCTGCTTTTTGTTACGATTTCTTATCTGTGGACGAGATAGTGGCGAGGCTGATGACAGTCGTGGGTCACTCTCTGCTTATCCCTCTCTCTCTTTCCCCCTGCTCTCTTGCCCCCTGCTTTCATGCTCCTTTCTGCTTGGCAAGGCTTCCTCTCTGTGGGCGAGAGAGTGGAGAGATTGATGAGAGTGGACGGGTCGTCTTTCCCGAATTTGCTCCTCTCCCTTTGCTTCCCTGCTTTCCTGTCAGGATTTTCTCTCTGTGGGCGAGATAGTGGAGAGGCTGATGAGAGTGGTGGTTCAGTCGCGCTCTCTCATCGCTTGTTCCTCTCCCTCTATTGCTCCTCTCCCTTTTCTTTCCTGTCAGGACTTTCTGTCTGTAGACGAGATAGTGGAGAGGCTGATGAGGGTGGTGGAAGCAGAGAGTGCTGGGCTTAGGGGAGATGCTCCCTCTCACTCACACGCTCACTCCCACCCACACTCGCGTGCACACTCACACTCTCATGCGCACACACACTCGCACTCACACTCACGTTCGGCTGCTGGGAAGGCAGTTGTGCTTGCGAGGGGTGGAGCGGACACAGCAGCAGCAAGAGAAGGGGCAGGGGAAGGAGCAGGGGAGATGGTCGAGGGAGAGAGGTCAAAGGGAGAGGGAGAAGCAGGAGAGGGAGGAAGAGGGGGTGGAGATGAAGGGATTGGGGCAAGGTCGGGAGGAGGAGATACATCTGGGCCTACAGCAGCAGAGAAACACGCAGCACACTTGGTAGCAGCAGGGGCAGGTGGAGGCAAAGGGAAGGCAGCAGGGGCGGGGACGAGTGAGCGACTGGCGTTGGTGCGAGTGGAATGGGAGAGGCTGGTGCGGGTGAGGGAGGAAATTCGCGCTCTGGAGAGACGGCTGAAGATGAAAGCAGCTGTTCAGGAAGAGAGGGTGCGACGGCAGCAGGTGAGAGAAGAGGGGTTGAAATTCAGAGCAGGGCTCAACGGAACAGGGCACAAAAGAGCAGGTGTGAGGAGAGGGAGTGATTATGGCAGGTGAGAGAGAAGGGAGGGGGTGATGGCGGCAGCATGTGAGGAGAGAAGTTGACAGCTGTTTCCCCTTTCATGCTCATCACCCCTCTCTACCGTGTATATTTCCTTTGTAACCACTCGCTTTCCAACCAATCTCTCCTTGCGAATTTCCTTCCGAGGAGTCTCTTTGTAACTTGCCTCTCTCGCATGTATCTTTCTGACTCGTCACTATTCTGGTCAGGAGGAGGTGGGGGAGAAGGTGAGCCGGCAGAGGAGGCAGGCAGCAGCACGTGAGATGGAGGAGCGGATGGAGCAGCAGCAGCAGCAGCAGCAGCAGCAGCAGCAGCAGCAGCAGCAGCAGCAGCAGCAGCAGCAGCAGCAGCAGCAGCAGCAGCAGCACCAGCAGCACCACCACGGACACCACAGCCACTATCGCCTCTATAGTTGGTGCTTATGATGACCCTCCTGATCCCCACTACTCCTCCCTCCACAAGAGCCAATCGTCACACGACACGTCAGCGCTCGCTGACTCACCCTTCCCTTCCTACCTCACCTCCGCCTTCCTTTCCACTAGCACTGCCGCTCCCGTCGCCACTGATACTGCCCCTGCCGCCCCTGCCGCCCGCACCGGCCGCAGTTTTTTCTTCCAGCTGCCCGGGCAGGCTGCCCGGGAAGATTCGTCGCTTCTTTCCAGAATTGAGGGAGAGGAGGTGGATGGGGAGGAGGAGAGGGGGGACGGTAGCAGAAGTAGGGGAGGGAGCACAGAGCCGAGAGGAGTAGCGGGGAGAAGGGGGGAGATGGAAGAGATGGAGAGGGATATGAGTGTGTCAGTGGGAGGTGGTGGTGCTGACAGGGCAGGTGATGGAAAGGAAGCCAGGGGAGGTGTGGGAGTATGGGGAGGAGCAGCAATCCTGGCTGCTGGAGCAACAGGAGGAGCAAGAGGATGGGGAGGAGATGCGCAGGGGAGGCGAATGGAGGAGTATAATGATGATGACTTCTCTCCCTTCCAGTCATGCACGCCCACATCAGCGCCAGCAACGGCTGCTGCTGGTGGCGGTGGTGGTGCTAGTGCTGCTGCCGGTAGCAGCGAGCCAGGCAAAAGAGATGGAACTGCGGGGACTGGGAGGACTGATTTGATTCAGGCGCAGGCGCAGATGCAAAGACAGCCACATGTGCAGGCACAGTTGCAAGGGCGGGGGATAGGGGATGGGGGGGATGGAGCAAAGGGAGGACCGGGAGGCCGGGGAGAGGAGGAGAGGAGGAGTGAAGCAGAGAGTGCCAACAGCTCGTGGGCGTTCAGAGAGGAGTTCTTTGACGGGAGTGCATGGACAGGTGCGGCAGACGCAGATGCAGGGGCGGGGTATGGGTATGGGGCTGGGGCTGGGGATGGGAGGCATGCGGCAGCGAGCATGGGAGGGCTGGGAGCAGAGGCGAGTAGGCTGCAGCAGCTGAAGGTGCAGCTGAGGGAGCTCGAGGCACGGCTGCTGCAGCGAGGTGCTGACGTCGGTGCCGGTGCTGGTGCTGGTGCTGGTAGGGAGGGGGGAACTGGTGCTGGTGCTGGTCGGGATGGCAAGGTGGGAAGGGAAGGAAATGTGGGTGGCAGTGGTCCTGCTGCTCCTGGTGCTGCGGGTGCTGCTGCTGCTGCTGGCACGTCAGCAGCAGCATCTCCCTCCATGGAGCGTGAGGCGCCCACGCAAACGTCCCCTCCCAAGGCACCGTCCATCTTCCACCGCCTCTTTCACTCCTCCTCCTGGACCCTCCCCTCCTCCGCCTCCTCCTCCGCTGCTGCTGCTGGGGATGGTTCTGCTGCTGCTGCTGCTGCTGCTGCTGCTGGTGTTGCTCCCGCTGGTGCTGCTGGTGGTTCTACTGCTGCTGCCGCTCCTGGTGACACATGGAGTGTGGGAGGGGGGGAGGGGAGGGCCGGACGGCAGCAGCAGTGGGGGCCTGGACGAGTGGGAGGGGAGTGATGTGACGAGCCGGGCGGGGGAGGGGGAGAGGCAGGAGAAGAGCGTGATTGACCAGTCTCTGGAGCACATTCGAGAAGGCGGTGCGGTAAGAATGGGTTGGATGGGGTGGGAGAGCCGTTGAGAACGGTTAGGAGGGGGAAAGCAGGAGTAGAGCGTTATTCACCAGCTGCTCGAGCAGATTAAAGACAAGGGGGTGGATGGAATGATTGTGGGATGGGGATGGGAGAGAGGGGGTAGGCGAGATGTGGCGAGGCACGCAGCAGCACTCACTGCTTCCTCCCGTCCCCACCTTCCTCCTCATCAGGACGCATGGAGAGGCACGCAGCTGCTGAGCACAGACGTGGCAGTGGCAATGAAGATGCTGCAGCGGGCAGCACTCGGGCAGCCCCTGACTGACCGGGAGGCCAAAGTTTTGAAGCGCACGCTGACTGACGTGGCATCGGTGATCCCCATCGGCGTCCTCATGCTCATCCCGGTGGGTGCGCTGTGCCAACATATGTGTGCTAGCATGCGTGCCTCCCTCCCTAGTTCTGAGACGTGCCTTCAGCCCTAATTTATTGCTGCCCTTCAGCTCATCATCTGCATTACGAATATTGCTTGTGCCTCCCTTTTTCCTTTATCATTTCCGATTCTTCATACACGAAAGTTCTATTTTCTAAACCCATCATCTTTATCGCTAGCAGTGCGAGCAGCCATCCAGCAATCAATTGCCATTCCAGCCCACCGCCTGCTCTCTCCCATCCACCTCCACCCCCTTCTTTCCACCTCCACCGCTTCCCACCTTCCCCAGATGACGCCTGTGGGGCACGCAGCAGTCCTAGCAGCCATTCAGAGATACGCCCCGCACCTTGTAAGCCCTCGGCCCTATCCACTCATCACCCCTTCCTGTTTCGTTGCCCCGTTTCCTCATCCTCGCGCTGACTCTAAGCTGTAACTCCCACCCTGGGTGAGACCCTGCCTCTTCTCACCCCGCCCATGTAGTGAGAACTCCCCCTGCCTGCTGCTCACCCTGCTTCCTCTGCCATAACCCTGCCTGCTGTCCCCCTGCCCCGCATCCCATAGTACCCCACCTCTTTCCTCCATTTCACCAGGCGGGCTGAATCCCCATCCGCTTTCCCCTTCTGCGAGTCTCCTGACTCCTGACACCCCATCCCTTGTCCCGTCTGCTCTGGTTGTAGCATTTCTCGTCAAGTTGAGAAGATATTTCCGCAGCTTCTTCTGTAGTATTGCCCATACTGGGGCCCTAAACCATCCGTCTCTCTCTTTCCCTCTCTTTTCCGCCCTCTCCCTCGCCCCTCATCAGTTTCCCAGCTCATACAACAAGGATCGCCTCAGTTGGTCTGACTTTTGAGAATTCTCAATATTCAAACTCTTTCCCTCTCTTTTCCACCCTCTCCCTCGCCCCTCATCAGTTTCCCAGCTCATACAACGAGGATCGCCTCGATGCAGCCCGCCGCCTGGAGCAGGTAGGTAACACCTGGTGAAGGTAGCAGCTGGAGTAGGTAACGCCTGGAGCAGGTAACTCCTGGGCAGGTAACACCTCCAGCAGGTAATGACTGGAGCAGGTAACGCCTGGAGCAAATAATGCCTCATCTTTGTCCCCTCTGGTGCCTCCTTGACACATCACCTCATACACCTCCTCTCTCCCACACTCTGCCTCGTGTCAATCCAGGTGCAATCATTCGCTTCGCTTCGCAATGCAGCAGCAGCAGCCGCCGCCACTGCTTCCGCCTCCTCCTCCCATTCCCCCTCTCGTGCCGCGACACTTGGCGGCACCGGATTGGCTGGGATGATCTCCGCTGCTGTCACTGGTGCGGCCAATGCAGGCAGTGCTGCTGCTGGCAGATCACCCCATGCCATACCTCCTCTGTCTGCCTCGGCTGCTGCGGCAATTTTGGCGCGAGAAGCGCAACCGGAAGCCATAGTTCGGGTGCCGAAACAGCCTGAAGAGGTTGAGTCGCCTCCAGGCACACCCCCGAATGAGGTGGAGCTTAATGATGGGGAGGAGGGGCAGGCTATGAAGGTAATGAAGCGGACTGCGGCACTTGAGGCAGAGTGTTTACCTTAACAGCTTGACTGATTTTGTAATCATTCTGTGGAGCACATTTTTACCAATTTTGTTGGCTGACATGTGGAAGGTTTTCCCCCGTGTTGGTTTTGAGGCATACTGGGAAATCACTTCGATATACTGGTACCAATACAAGTGCTGCAAGTAATGAAGCACAGTGCTGCACGTAAGGCGCAGTGGTTACCTCGACAATATGATCATTGATCTGGTAAGTGTAACCGCTTTGTATTCCACTACCATCACAACCAGGTGGTGTTATGTGTAGTACATTCGATTGTAAACCAGTTCTACTAATACGCTGGCATTATTTTAACGTCTGTAAGGAAAGTTGTTGCCAACTTGTTTCTGGTAAGGATAGCTACCAGCTTATACCGATTCCGTGAATGAATCCTCCCTGTTCAGCATCAACAAAATATCGAGTACGAACCATTGTCACGTGAAAAGTATCTGCGACGAACAGCTACCACACAGATGCCCAGGATTTCCGATCAAACACTTGAAGCCTATTTGCTGCTGCTCTTGTGCTATCCTTAACCCATGATCTGCATGCGTGTCAGGTTTAGCAGTTCTCAATACACGACAGAGTTGTGGTGGCAGTGAAGGATGAGGCAAATCTGCACCACAATTTGATTCTCGACCAGCTGTCTGCCTGATTGAACTCCCACATCACATCTGCTGCATGCCTGTTCTGTCTGCTCCGTCTGAAATTACATGGAGGTTTCTCAGCTTGAGTGTTTTGTCCGATGCGTTTGGCTTGAGCGGTAGAAGGAATGAAAATGGCTAAAGAAAATTTGCAAGCGTAACAAAAGTGTAGTCGGAAAATACACAGGTGGTGTTTGCTCGTCTATTTACACTAGGCTCTCTCGGGCACTATGATATCCGCAACTTCCTTTCAGAAACAAATCAACATGTAGATGGAACTGACGGGTTGTTGGGGCACTCCTACTGTTTCAGCACGTATGTACAGTAAATGGGCAGACAGACGAGACGACGCGTCTTGCGATGCTCCACCACCTCCTAATCAATCATGTACGACACCACTTGCCGTTTTGTTGTAGGACCCCCCATGTCTGTTTCGTAGCCCACCGCTCCACTGAATCTTCTGGGGTTTTGAGTTGATCACGCACTGGTACTGTACTTATTCGCTCCCAGCGCAGCTACAGCGCTTCTGGCGCACTGTTACTGCCCAGTTTTCGCTTTGAGCGCAGAAACAATACGATTTCAACGCAGTTTTGATTTCATTGGTCCACACATGGCACACAACTACAAACTAAATCTGTGGATACTGTTTGCGGAAACAGTAACTATTTTATTCATGCTTTTAATGGTACATTAATATATACCCCATTCAGAAGGGGCATCAACCCTAAACACCTTCCGAATGGTGTTTAGGATTGATGCTCTATCGATATCGAAAAAATATACTCGTTGGGAAGGGCATCAACCCTAAACACCTTGCCTCCTGGTGTTTAGGGTTGATGCCTCCCTCGAAAAATATGCCACCCGATAGGGTTTATATTTGTTATGCCCGAAATATTAGCTTTTAACGGTTCGGTGGCCGTCAATCCAAGCAGGGTTGTCGGCCCGTCAATTTAGTGACCAATGAAAGCAAAACTGCGTTGAAATCGCAATAACTCTGCGCTGTGAGCGAATTCTGGGCAGTAACAGTGCCCCCAAAGCGCTGTAGCTGCGCAGGGAGCGAATAAGTTCAGTAACAGTGCACGTTCAACTAAAAACCCAATCTTCTGCCGTGTGTGACTTCATTCCTGGAATGGACTCTCTTTTACGACAATCACCCATGTCTGTTGAAAACTTTGGTCCAAGTTGGTTCATGACATCGGTTTCCTTTCGTCGCCAACTCTGGATTTCCGGGACTGATTGGTATGTACACATTTAATCGGGGTTCAGTACGTTAAAAAAAGGTTCGAACGCGGTCCTAGTGTCAGAATTATTAACCTTAATGAACTCCGAACAAAAGGTGCCCACCCGTAAGCGTCGGGAACAAAAGGAATGTGTGACGTTCCTGTAATATATTCTAGACGGGCCCAGCGTGCGCACTGGAGGCGTACACTATTTCTGCGTTGATGCTCCCCGACCCAAAAATATCTCGTCTGAACCAGAACCAGCATGCGGCCAGGCATGATACACCTAGTCCGCGGTATTTTAACCACGTGAACTGTTTTGCTTCAAACACCCTTTGTTCATTTTCGGGTAATGAGATGGGCACCCAGAGACTTCAAGGCTATTGTTTCGCAGCCAGAAGCATTTCCTTTTAAAGAAACTCACACTTAGTGCTCCGAAATAGAGGGCGGATCGGCATTGACCAGGTTTTGACTGCCGTCGCTTCACAAAGGGTATGCTATATTCTACCCTCAATAAATTTTCAAACTACTCGTATAAAAAAGTTTGACCAAGGAGAAGTACCCTCGCGCGGTTAAGATAGCGGCGGTTAAAATACCGCGGACTAGGTGTAGTCGTGAGCGACCCGTTCGATTGGTATCTCTCAACGGAATCGAGGGTGACGCTCCGTTTTGCCTGGGATGACGCTTTGGGGTGACGCTTTCGGGAGAGATACCAATCGGTAAATGGTGATGAAAAAACTGCGAAACCTTGTGCGTTCCAGCCTCCTTATCCACTCCGTCAGTTGCCCTGCACACAACCCTGTTTTCCACAAACCTGCCCCTTCTATACCCGCATTTTCGCCACTCAAATTCTCATTCAGCGTATGGTTATCCAAACCTGAAGCATATGTTGGCTTGAGTCTTTGTTCCCTCAACACCTAAATGCAACAACCTTCCGTTCCATCCAAACTGTCCTTCATCCCACACCATTTTCTTGAATATCGAAGGTGACAATAGCGTTCGAAGATCGAAGACCGTAGCTCAGTCGAAGGAATGCAGCCACCGTGTGCGACGGGAGGCGGTCTCGCTTCACCCAACGCCTTTTCTTCGATACAGCGCTTCGCGAATTGCACTGGCTGGGTCGAGCATGGGCCTTCCTTGGGACTCGTGCACAGGGACAGCCCCCAAGCTCCGCAGTCAAGCTCGACACGTCACAGGCGGTCTGCTTCGACGTCGTGTCTCTCCTTTCCCTCCGCCGCATTCACCGCTTCGCTCGCCGCAGTTTCACCCCTTCATTCGCCGGGAAGCAGATCGCCTTTCCAACCGACGACGCGCCAATCCTCTACCACACCACGTGGCCGCACCGCCCTCTGCGTGTCAGCTTTCGCGTCAATGTCGCGATGTGCTGACGAGACTATAGCGCAGCCTGATTGCGGCAGCGCCACGACATTCGGTCAGTTTCCTCCCCGCCTCCACGCGACCAATGCGGAACTCGACGAGTTTTGTGCGACGCTCCGTCCGGCTGTGCTCTCCGTCGCTCGTCGTCGCCACCGTCGCACGCCGTCGGATTCAAGCCTTCTTGGTGCATCCTATTGTGCGAGCGCTCTCCAGTCTCGCATTGTCGATGAATCTGACCCGCAGTCTGTGTTGACTGGGTTGGCCGAGTCAACGCGATCAAGCGACTCGACGGAGTCGCAGATGTTGACCGAGTCAACGGTCGTGACGCTGACTGAAACGACAACGAAGCCGCAATTCGGCGCGTCGCAGCACCCTCCCTCCTCTCCAGCGGTGCAAGCTGACACCAAAGACTTCCCTTCCCCGAAGCCTCAATTAATTCCAAAGCCAGCGCAGCCGATGCCCGCACAACTTCCGCAGCCACCGCAACCGTTCACTGAAGCGCAAGAAATCACGCGCCCATTCCCGCCGTCACATCTGGTAGAGCACGGAAGTCATGCGCAGGCGACGACTCAACGCACAGGTGCAGCAAATTGCGGCGTCAGGGGAGTGTCAAATGGCGCCCCGCGTGTCTTCCTGCGTTCCGCGTCGCACAGTCGCAACAGCAGCGGAGAGAGCAGCGAGTGGGGGGAAGTTGCGGGCGGGGAGGACTTGGCGGAGCAATACGAACTGATGCGCGCATCCTCATCGTTTGACGACGCGCGGGCTTCGGCTGAGCTGGCATGCGATCCGAAGTGGATGGACGCGGCTCGGTGTAGAATCAGCGAAGCGGCTTTGCGCGTGATGGAAACGCAGCAGGTGTTGATGGCGCTGGATGAGGATACGCGATATAGCAACCGCGATAATCGGGGTTTCCGCTCGAGTTTCTCATACGATCATCTATCCACCTCTGCATCTGCTACTTCCCACAGTGGTTTAAGAATATCGTTAGATTCATCAGCAACCGGGCCGTCGTTCAATTGGAGTCACCGCTGGTTCGCGTCGAAACAAGCGACACCTCCACCATCGTCTCACATCTCAACCGCTGATTGGAACGACATCGACGCTACTAATGAGAGCGGTTTTCCGTACCGATACACCGCCCCCGCTGCAGCACTGTCAGCCGGTGCTCAACTGGAGAGGGGTGACAATAACGGGATAAGCAAGTCCCTAGAGCGGCGTGAAATCTGCAAGCACAGATCGTACCAGGAGCCGCCAACTGTAGCGGTTCAGGCGCAAGCCTCCCCCAGCGCCATGCGCCGGAATATGTCCTTCCGCCAGCTGTCTTCCGCGTGGCAACGGAAAGACGGATCCACGTCATCCACGCCGCGAGCTTCCGCCAGCGACGGTTTTGGGACCCCTGAGTGCACTACACCCAGTCATCCAGCTAAAATTAAAACATTGTTTCCTAGAATTCGGGAATCCAAATCAGTGGCGAATTTTGCCATGATGAGTGACAACATACGCGCTATAAGCAGCAGTGACAGCCCTTGCAGCAGCTTCAACAGCCCTACACCCAGCAGCAGCAGCAGCTACAGCTTCAACAAATACAGCCCCAGCAGCAGCAACAGCAGGGAGCTGAAGGAGAGCGAGAGCACGGAGAGGAGCAAGGGGGGTAGGAGTAAAGCAATGGCAGCGATGGTGCCGGTGGTACCAAAGCAATCCCTAAGACGCACGCTGAGCAGTGCTAAGGAGAGGCTGCAGCTCCTGGGAATCAGCAAGGGGAAGTGAGGCAGCCAGAGAGATTGGTGGCGGCAGGTTAGGTGACATGCTTATATCTCTTAGTCACACACGCTCATATGTGAACGTAGTCACACGCAATTTCCAAATGCTGATTCTTTTGCAGTCCAGCTCGTATGAAGGATTCTGTGCAGCTGCTGGCTTGCGTTGCCTTGAAAGCTTAATGATTGGCTTTGTGTTCCTCTCATATTGAATTCTTCCCTCCCCCAGACTTCCGCACTTCTCCCTTCTCCTCTTCTGCTTCTACCCATGTTACCGGTTTAGATGAACAGCATACCTACCAACCAGTGCAGCATATGTAGACCAGTGAATGACACTCCTAGTTAGAATACCACCATAGATGGCAGATGCTGTTGGTACCACAAGAGAGCCATGTAGAGCCATGGGCTGACTAACACTTTGCTGCAGGCAGATTCTCCGGGGAGAGATGCCGGGCAAGGGAAGACTCAATCAGGGACACCTCACAATGCTAATACGGTAACAAAATCCCCTGTTCCAATCAACAAAGGATTGGGCACAAGAAAGTCCCCTTGCCCCTCCTTGGTTCCCTCCGGTAGCGTGGGAAAGCACCTGCAGCAAGACTTGTCCTGTGATTCAGGGCAAATATATTGACCTGGTACAAACTTATATAATCTACAATACATACATGCCCACATGCACTGGGCACATGTGTTGATATAGAGAGATGCATGGTACAGCATGCGCATGTGACTACATTAGTGCAAGCAGCTGACTGAGGCAGGGAGGGGCATCCTGGTGGGTGCGAGCCATGCAAGGAGAGCCGCAACGGTTGGTGCGAGCGATTGCAGGGTGCCAGCGTGCCGCCTGCAGTGTGGCGAACGGATACGAGCATGATTGACCGATTGAGCTCTGCAGACGGACTCTCAGGCACTAGACCAATCAAACGGACTCCGCAGGCAGACCGAGCAGGAAGGAGGACACCTCGTGCTGCAGCCACACGTTCTCCTCTCTGGTCTGGCCGACTTTTGATTCGACTCAAAAAACAAACGACATGCTAACCTGGTTGCAAGTCTTGTGCCGGCAAACTGAAGGCGATCAAATCAAACGGACTCCGCAGCGAGGCCGAGCAGGTACGAGGACACCTCGTGCTGCAGCCACACGTTCTCCTCTCGCGACAGATGCCCCCCGAAGTCAAGCTGCTTGCCGTCTGCTGCTGCCACTCGGCAGAAATACGTGGTGGTGAAGCGCCTCTCCTGAACGAGGGTACGCGGTGAGGGGTGTAGGGCGCAGGGGAGGTGATGCGAGGGAGGAGGTGATGCGAGGGATGAGGTGGTGCGAGGGAGGAGGTGATGCGAGGGAGGAGGTGATGCGAGGGATGAGGTGATGCGAGGGAGGAGGTGAAATGAGGGAGGAGGTGATGCGAGGAGTTTACCATTCCGCAGAGGGAGACTAGCTGGATGGACGTGGTGCGGATGTTGGTGTCATTGGTCCATCAAACACCCTCAACACCCCTCCGCACCCCTCAGCACCTCTCAACAAACCCCCCCCTCCTTCCAGGGCTCACAGAGTGCTGACGGGCATTTACCATTTTGCAGAGGGAGACGGAAACAATGGAAGCGGTGGGGATGGTGGTGTGGATGGTCCAATCGAACACCTCTCAGCACCCCTCAGAACCCCCCAACACCCCTCCCAGGTCTCACAGGCATTTACCATTTTGCAGAGGGAGACGTGAACAAGAGATGCGGTGGGGATGGTGGTGTGTTTTGGTCCAATCGAACACCCTTCAGCACCCCTCAGAACCCCTCAGCACCCCTCCCAGGTCTCACAGGCGTTTACCATTTTGCAGAGGGAGACGCGAACAATAGATGCAGTGGGGATGGTGGTGTGGATGATCCAATCAAACAGCTGCCACGTGTGCAGCAGCTGTGAGCCGTCGATTCGCATCGTGCGGACTGTGAACGCTGCACACACGCTCAGGACTGCCATGCTGACGTGGATGGGATGGGAGGGGGAGGCGGGGAGGGAGGCGAACTTTGAGGCATCAGATAGGCTCTGGCCTCCGTGCAGATTGGGGCACGTGAGGGGGAGAAAGAATTGGTACAGGCTCTGGCCTACGATTGAGACATCGTTCGCGCTGAGCGCACCACGATTGCTGCACACACACACTCAGCACGGCCAGCCTGACTCTGGCGGAATGGAAGAGGGATGTGTAGAAGAGAGGGGTTCAGAAGGGTGGAGAGGTTGGGGGAAAGGGTACTGGCGCAGGGGATTGTATGTTTGCATCGTGCGCACACAAAGGCAGAGCATACGCTCCGCACTGCCTGCCCCTCCCCATCCTTCCAGACCCCTCCCAGGGCTCACAGCATGGGGAGACGAGAGCAGACGAAACAGGCATGAAGGGTGGAAGAAATTCCCGAGGTATACGTGCCTATATCCCTCGCCACCCCTCACCAACCCTCAACACCGTTCCCAGGGCTCACAGTGCGCAGAGAGCGGAGACAACAGGCGTGAAGGGCGGAAGGGGTGTCTGCTCCCCGGTGGGCACAGCAGCATCGAGCATCAGAGGCAGCAGCAGTGGCATCAGCGCGAGGAAAGCAAAAAACTGTACAGCAATGAGAGAAGGGAGATGGGAGATGGGAGGTGTGGGACAGAGGGAGAAAGGCGTTGGTGGCAGAGGGAGAAAGGCGTTGGTGGCAGAGGGAGAAAGGCGTTGGTGGCAGAGGGAGAAAGGCGTTGGTGGCAGAGGGAGAAAGGCGTTGGTGGCAGAGGGAGAAAGGCGTTGGTGGCAGAGGGAGAAAGGCGTTGGTGGCAGAGGGAGAAAGGCGTTGGTGGCAGAGGGAGAAAGGCGTTGGTGGCAGAGGGAGAAAGGCGTTGGTGGCAGAGGGAGAAAGGCGTTGGTGGCAGAGGGAGAAAGGCGTTGGTGGCATAGGCATGAAAGTGAAAATCCGTGCATGGAGGGGAGACAGCTGGTCGGTAAAAGGTGGGCTGTGGTGCGTGCGTTGATGCTTGTGGTACGAACAGCACCGCGAGAGCCGAGAAAAGCTTTTGAGTCGACTCAGAAGTGAGCTCCCTCAGCTGCTGGGAATGGCATCGATGAGCAGGAGTCTTGTTCTAGGCATGTCGACATCGCACCCATCTCACCCCTGTCGCACCCACCACCCCAATCGCCCGTACCACCCCAATCGCCCGTACCACCCCAATCGCCCGTACCACCCCAATCGCCCGTACCACCCCAATCGCCCGTACCACCCCAATCGCCCGTACCACCCCAATCGCCCGTACCACCCCAATCGCCCGTACCACCCCAATCGCCCGTACCACCCCAATCGCCCGTACCACCCCAATCGCCCGTACCATCCCCCATTCTTTCCCCGTACCACGAAGCCGAGCGCCGCTTTGGCCGGGTGGAGGGGCGGGATGCGGATGAAGAGAGCGGAGCTGGTCCTCTCCAGTAGCTGGGGGGGGGGGGGAGGGGTAAGAGGATTGGGTGCAACGGGGAAATGGTTTATGGGCGCAAGGGGGAAATGTGGATTGGGCGCAAGGGGGAAATGGAATGGGGATTAGGGCAGTGGACGGGGGAGAGGAGAAGGGGGGATTGGCGCACTGGGGGGGCGGCAGGCGGATGAAGAGGGCGGAGCTGGTCCTCTGCGGTAACTGGGGGAAGAGGGGAACGCAGGCCAGTGTACCTTACTACAGGCTGGCTTGCTAGGAGGAATTGAGAACGGAACCAGAGTTGGTGAAATGGAATGCATTCAAGGACGGCATTCCAACAACCGGCTACTCAAACGACCCTTGCCCAACCCCTCCCCTCATCTGCACGTTCTCCCTTTTCTTTTTCGCAACACCTCCCCCTCACGGCCCCCTCCGCCCCTTTTCCCCCTACCCTCCCCCCTCCCCGCCCCGCCCCCCCGCACCCCTTCCCCCCCCCCCCCTCTCTCTAATGAGCGCACCACGCGCGTGCCAGCGGGCATGCTATCGCTCAGCGAGTGCGACGGCTCGATCAACGGCGCCTCCATCTCCCCCGCGACTGGCGCCGCAACTGACGCCGCATCTGGCGCCGCCTTTGGCGCTGAGGAATTCGGGCCCTTCACCGCCACCGCCGCATGCGGAGGAGCGAGCGCTATGGAGAAAGGGGCGGCGAGAGCCTTGGTGTGACTTGCGGCTTCCGCCATTGCCACTCGCGACGGGTGCGGCGGCGCGGGGGAACGCGGGGGGTGCGGCGATGGTGCGGTAAGGGGAACGCGAGGGTAGCTTATCCAGTGGAATAGACGGGCTGTATGGGGCACGACTGTGGGTGACCTGAACAGGAGACTGCAAGGCACGAGCGGTGTGGATAATGAGACGCATGAGAGGATTGGAGAAGCAAAGCATGATAAGGCGGGGAGAAGCGAAGGCGGAGAAACGCAAGTCGTTGGGGCAAGGGTTGGTGAGGAAGACGTATGGTGCACGGAGGAATGCGGGAGGGACTGGGGCGGAAGGGAACGACTTTGACCAACTTGACCCTCGGGAAATGCCGTGCTGGATACGCGATATCAGCAGCGATAAAATTTGTGCGGCCATATATTTTAAACACCATTAAGTACTGTAGCTGCTAGGGAAATCCACTGAGATTGAACCAACCCTGGTCCCACTTCTTCACTGCTGGATCTTAGGGCCATATTTCAGAAACCTCTAATCACACATCCCACATCCCATATTTCTTATGCCATACACCCACACCATGCAACATTCACAGAGCATTCCCAAACCCAACCCCTGAAACCTTAAATCCAATGTGTATGTCTAAAAATCCATCAACACCCATACCATTCCCGCATCAATCTCGTGCCCAATTCCCCATCCTCCAAGCCATCGTCGAAGCAAGCGGTCTGACTGAGCACTTGCCTTGCATGCTTCCCCTCACACTCCCTGCTCCTGTGCCTGCCCAGTCAACACAACAATTCACAGCGCTCTCACGCGCCCACTTCCCCGTCCTCCAGGTCATCATCTGCTCGCGAGCGGTGCGACGACTTCTTGGACTTGCTGCTGCGGTGCTTCCTCTCTCGCTCCCTGCTCCTGTGCCCGCTGTCCTCTGAATCACTGTCGCTCTCATGGTCCTGCCATGCAATCAAGGGAAGAATGGGTGGGCGGGAGCACAAATGTACGACATGTGAGATGACTCAAACAACACGCTCCTTGCTCCTGTGCCCGCTGTCCTCTGACTCGCTGTCGCTCTCATGCTCCTGCCACGCAATCGGATGGGATGGGACAAGGGATGGAGGGTGAACGGGACGGACACCGCCGAGCCAGGGTGAAACAATGAATCGAGGGGAGAGCGGGCAGCGAATGCATGCACTCACACGCATAGTGAAGTTGGCATTTAAGAGGAGAAAAACAAGGGTAGGCGAAATCAACTTGAAAGAGACTGGAGCGAAGAGGATGGGAACTATCAGTTCACAGGGTGGCAAGGAGACAGACAGAGAGCCGCCGCCCTTGCCTTGCGGGAGGACCGCCGGTGGTCGCTGCTGCCCTTGCTGCGCTTGGACCTTCGAGCTTCTTTGTCATCCTCCTCCTCCTCCTCATCCTCCTCATCATCCCGATGCCTCCTCCTGTGCTTCCTCTCCTTCTCCTTCTCCCTTTCCTTATCGTCCTTCCCCTTCCCCTTCTTCTTCTCCTCCCTATCCTTCTCCTTCTCCTTCTCCTTCCCCTTCCCCTTCTCGTCCTTCTCATCCTTCTCTCGCTTCTCCTTGGATCGACTCTTTTCCTTCTCCTCCTCCCTCTCCCTCTTCTCCCTCTTCTTCCCACCCTTCTCCCTCTCTTCCTCATCCTCATCCTCCTCATCCTCGCTCTCATCCCTCCTTGACCTCCTCCTGTGCTCCTTCTTCTTCTCCTTCGCCTTGAATTTCTCCAACTCCTTCGCTTTCCCTCGCTCCTCCCCTTCCTCATCAGACCCCTCACCACTCTTCCTCGCCTGCTTGCTGCCCCTTGGCCTGTCCTCGCCCTCCTCCAGCTCCTCCTCCTCTCCCTCGCTCTCATCCGATTCCCCTCTATCCTTCCTCTTCTTCTCCCCATCTCTCTTCTTCTTGTCCTCGGCCCCACCCCTCTTATCCTTCTCACCCTCTTCCTCCTTCTCCTTCCGATCCTTCTCATCCCCTTTCGCCTTACCTTCTTTGCTTCCCTCTGCTTCCTTGCTCTTATCCTTCTTTGCCCTCTCCTTATCCTTGCTCCTCCTATCCTCACTTACCTTTTCCGAGTCACTCTCGCTCTCCTCCCCCTTCCTCTCCTTGCCTCTCTCCTTTGCCTTCTCCTTCTCCTTCTCCCGTTTCTCCCTCTCTTTTTCCTTCTCCTTCTCCCTCTCCTTCTCCTTCTCCTTCTCCTTTTCCTTCTTCTCCTCCTTCTCCTTTCGCTCTCTCTCTTTCCTCTTCTCCTTCTCCTCTTTCTCCTTCTCTCTCTCGTCCTTCTCCTTCTTTTCCTTCTCCTTCTTTTCTTCTTCTTTCTTTGCCTGCAAACTCACAGGCACATGCACATACACAGGCACGGGCAGAGGCAGAGGCAGGCACAGGCACGATGGAAGATGAGGTGGTGACAGGGCAACATAGAGAAGTAGAGAGCAAATGAGAGAAAGAGCAGAAGAGAGAGGGAGAGGAGGAAAGCAAAGTGGAAACAGGGTGGAAAGGGAATGAGGGAATGAAAGAGGTAAAAGGATAGCACGACAGGCAGATGGGATAGCGAAGTTCTATCCAAGCACCGTGGCACAACAACGGCACATATTGAGACGATTGAAAAATATCTACTTTTTTTAAAGAGCATGCAGTGCAGCGTGGTGCAGTGCGGGGCAGCGTAACAGCGACAAGGAACAAAGCATCACCTTCTCTTCCTTCTTCTTCCTCTCCTTCTCCTTCTCTTTCTCCTTCTCCTTCTCCCTCTTCTTCTCCTTATGCAGCAGCCGTGCCACATGCTCCTCCACCACCTTCCGCCTCTCCGCCTCCTCCGGTATCGCCCTGCGGTGAGGAGACAATACCACACACACACAGATGCATTTCATGCATGTCACATACACACAGCAACCGAGGGAGAAAGAGAGAGTGAATAGCGGCACACGATCGTGCAGCAGCCGAGCCACGTGCCCCTCCGCCACCTTCCGCCTCTCCACCAACATTTGAGGTGCCTCAAAAGTTACCTGTGCAACATGCATCTACAACACAGAACCAAGCAGTAAATCGTATGCAACATACGGTATATGCATGCAAGATGCTGCCTCATGTGCAACGTGCTATTGCAACAAACAACACCGCAATTGCATGTTGGAGAAGGATTGTGTGGGAGCACGCCAAGGGGCTGGGAGCACGCTGCACCAGCCACTTGACATTCTCCCATGTCATCTTTCTCCAAAGCCCCCTCATGCCCCTCAGGAAAGAAGAATAGCAGCAAGAGTACGACGGGGGGCCTACTACCACGGGCAACCACGGGCAACCACGGGCAACCACGGGCAACCACGGGCAACCACACAGCATCGCACTTGTATTCTGGAGAATTATTATCAGGGAGCACGCCAAGGGGCTGGGAGCACGCCAAGGGGCTGGGAGCACGCCAAGGGGCTGGGAGCACGCCAAGGGGCTGGGAGCACGCCAAGGGGCTGGGAGCACGCCAAGGGGCTGGGAGAACGCCAAGGGGCTGGGAGCACGCCAAGGGGCTGGGAGCACGCCAAGGGGCTGGGAGCACGCCAAGGGGCTGGGAGCACGCCAAGGGGCTGGGAGCACGCCAAGGGCTGGGAGCACGCCAAGGGGCTGGGAGCACGCCAAGGGGCTGGGAGCACGCCAAGGGGCTGGGAGCACGCCAAGGGGCTGGGAGCACGCCAAGGGGCTGGGAGCACGCCAAGGGGCTGGGAGCACGCCAAGGGGCTGGGAGCACGCCAAGGGGCTGGGAGCACGCCAAGGGGCTGGGAGCACGCCAAGGGGCTGGGAGCACGCCAAGGGGCTGGGAGCACGCCAAGGGGCTGGGAGCACGCCAAGGGGCTGGGAGCACGCCAAGGGGCTGGGAGCACGCCAAGGGGCTGGGAGCACGCCAAGGGGCTGGGAGCACGCCAAGGGGCTGGGAGCACGCCAAGGGGCTGGGAGCACGCCAAGGGGCTGGGAGCACGCCAAGGGGCTGGGAGCACGCCAAGGGGCTGGGAGCACGCCAAGGGGCTGGGAGCACGCCAAGGGGCTGGGAGCACGCCAAGGGGCTGGGAGCACGCCAAGGGGCTGGGAGCACGCCAAGGGGCTGGGAGCACGTCAAGGGGCTGGGAGCATGCTGCCCAGCCACATGGCATTCTCCCACATAACCTTTCTCCAAAGTCCCCTCTATAACTCTCAGGACAGAAGAATATCAGCAAGAGCCCGAGGGGGGGGGATACTACCACCTGCAACCACGGGCAACCATGGACGCTGTAAGTACTACATACTTGTATTCCGGTAGTGACTGGACGAGCGGTTTCGCCTCGACCCAAGTGGTGCTCCCTGAGAGCCCCTTGACGCCCCTGAGCGCGTCCGCCAGGTCCTCTGCCAGCCGCTTCTTGCGCCGCGCCTCCTTCTCCTCCCTCTCCACTGCCCGCTCCACCAGATCCTCCCACACTATCTGGTTACCACGTGACGGTGTTACCATGTGTTGGTTACCACAACGTTCATTCAATATCATTCAAATCGTATTCCCCCGGCAGTTGCGTTGAAAGGAAGGCATGGATGAGGGATTGAGGAGAGCATGGGTTCAAGGGAGCATGGTGTGATATGGGATGAGATGAGGTGATGGTGTGATGTGAGATGAGATGAAGGTGCCAGTTGCAACATTTGATGCCGGAAATGCAAGAGGGCACACGTTATTGCGCGCGTGTGCATGCACAGGCACGGGACATGCAATGCCGGCACATAGGTACACATGCACGCACATGCCATGCCAAGCCAAAACGTCCAAATCACATGCCCGCCCACATGCAGCAGACAGCACATAATCAGCCAAGGACACACACACAACAAGCAGTAGCCCTCCGAGGCAGCAGTCCAACGCACCTAGCCACAGCACACAACACACAGCACACAGCACAAGAAAGGAGGGGAGGGAGGGGGGAAGCAGGACGAGGAGAAAATGAGTGACTGCATTGGGTGAGGGGAAGGATTACGACAAGCAACCCTGCGCTCCAAGAATCGCCACAGGTGCTAGACGCACGCATTGAGGCACAAGAAGCATGTTTGCACTATCATAAACGAGGTTGAACGAAAGAAGGAGCGAAAGATAGAAGGAAAGAAACAGAGAAACAATGCTACAGGAACGGAGAGGTGAATGTGAGGTATGTGGGTTTGAGAGAATCGAGGGAGCAAAGGGGATTGGAGGTGGGTGAAGGCGGGAGGGGGGAAGGGAAGCAGGAGAAAGAGCTGAAAACGGGGAGAGGGGGTGTGCGGAAGGGAGGGAAGGCAGCGATATTCTCCCAAGCAAAGACGTGCTTGGTGCGCCTGCTGCTACACCACATTCACGCCTCCCACTCAATCATACCCTTACCTGCTGGTTACCCTATGGAATGACTGTCAATCGCTGAAGGCTGCTGGTGTCGACCCGGGTTGCTCAACGTACAGACAAAAGATGCCCACCAGGAGTCATCATTGCATGCTCTTGTGGTGTGGCAAAATGCACAGGTCTTACAGGGGATGTGTATTTCTCAGGCAGTATTGAGTGGGCGTGTGAGTGTGGGTGACTGTGTGACATTCCCTCATGCGCTTGTGACTGAGGCGCAAGGGCAAGGGCCTTGGGACTGCAGCAGCATGGGGCGAGACGATAAATGGTGGCTGCAGGGGTGGGGGAGAGGCTTGAGGAGGGAGAGGAAGGGAGGAGGGGCAGCGGGCGCGGCGGGGCAGGGCGAGACATCGCACCTTGAGGCTCATATCGGCGACCTTAGGAGTCGACTCATCAGCTTTCGGTGGCAGCGGTGGCGGTGGCGGCAGCTTCATCGCCTCCTTGCCCTCCTTGCCCTCGCCGCCCTTCCCGTCGCCCTCCTCCGCTTGCTCCTCCTGCTTCACTGCCTTATCGCCCTCCTCTGGCTTGACTGTTGACTTGTTGTCCTCAGCAGCACCCACCTCGCCGTCCCCCTTGCCCTCCTCCTGAGGCTCCTCCTTCACCTTTGCCCCCTCTCCCTCTCCCTCTTTCGCCCCCTCCTCTGTAACCCCATCTTCCTTCTTCACGCCCCCCTCCTCTTTCACTCCATTCATGTCCACATCTCCCTCCTTCCCCTCCTCCTTCGCCTCCTCCTTTGCCTCCTCCTTAATTGCCGTGCCAGCACCAGCATCAGCGGCAGAATCAGCAGCAGCGAGGGCAGGGGGAGGAGGAGCGGGAGGGGCGTAGCCTAGAGCAGCCTTGAACGCCTCGAAGGTGGTCGCTGACGTCACCACCACCTGGGGGGGAATGGGGGAAGGGGGGGAAAGGGGGGAAGAAAGAGGGGGAGAAGGAATGGAGACGAGGGGAGGGGGGAGGCAGGGATGGGGCCGAAGCAGCGGCAGCGGCGGAAGGAACACACGGCATGTTATAACAGGTTGGGGGCTCACCGTTGGGGGATGCAACGATCGTGACACACGAATAGAGGATGAGTTAAAAGGCGATGCGGGAAGATAGATGAATGAATGACTTGAATTGTTTACAGAAATAGTGGGAGGGACACATAGATAGCTGGATGATGTGTTTGAAATTCGGGGATTAGGGTGCAGGGTTTAGGGCAGGTGTGGTTTGGGTCGCGCGCAACGCACCTTCTTCTTCTTGATGAGGTCCTTGATCTTGTCCTTGTCCTCCTTGTACTGCTCCGTGGTGGGAGAGACACCACCACCACCACCATGCATGCACGCAACACACAAGAACCACAGCACAGCACGGCACACACCACCATGCACGCAACACACAGGAGGAGACAAAAAGGCACGGCATGCAGGGAGCAGCAAACACAGTCAGGGAACGGCACACAGGCAGCAGAGAGAGAGTTAAATACTCGTAGCAGGGTGCAAGGGATCGAAAGCGTAACGGAGCACACGTGCATCAACAGGCACGGGAAAACGGGCAGAAGGGGCAACAGCAAGTGGTGAGGGCCGGAAGTGGGACGCAACTCCCACGGGAGAGCAAAACAGGCGACCTTGCGTGACATGGCCCGAGCAGTAGCAGCATACTCACATGCAGCCTTCCCCAGTGGTCACCTCCCCTAGTACCCACCAGTCCCAGCAGCGCCCACCTGCTTGTCGAGGTCGTCAATAACGTCTTCAAAGAGCTCCTTGGGCGTCGACCCCCCCAAGTTGGCTGCCACTGCCATGTATGCCGGCTCGTCTTTCACCTGGTAGATACGATTTAAACAAATGGAGGAGAGTGGTGCCATTGTGTGTGTGCGGTGCGGGCAGTGAGACTGGGGGTTGAGATGATGGCGGGTGGAAGGCAGACAAGAGCATCGGATGCAATGCAAGCACGGCAGCACCAATCCGCCTGGCATACCACGCTGCCTTGTGCTCGTGCATGAGGCCCACAAGGAAAGGGTAGGGTACAGGCTACAGCTACCCCCCAGGCTGTAGCAGCCCCCCATCACCACATGTACCAGCTAACCCATGCCGTACCACCATCACAGTCCAGCACAGTGACAGAATCTGGCACCACCTACCACCTTAAACATACGTGTAGCATAGCAAGGGTTTAGGGTTTCGGGTTCGAGGTTGAAGGTTCAGGATTTAGGGTTTAGGGCACCACCTACCACCTTAACCATACGCGTAGCATAGCAACCCCACGCACGGCATACCACGTTGACATAGTCGCGCCAGCGAGTGCGAGCGGTGAGGGTGAGCGCCGCCTTGTGCTCGTCCATCAGCCGCCTGAAGCCATCGCGGTTCTTGCGCTCCTGCCGCCGCTGTTGCTCCTGGGAGAGGCACGAGGAGTGGAGGGTGGGGGTTGGGATGTGGAAGGGGTGTGGGAGGAGGGGTGGAGTCAGGGAGGTTCAGTGGAGTGTGACTTTGACGAATAGTGACGATTTTCAAAGATGGAAGATGCTGATGCATAATGATGAAAGTGCACTAACGGGGATGGCTTGAGCTTGGATTGAGTAGTAAACTTACCCTCTTCTGCTGCCTCTCCTCCTCCTCCCTCCTCTCCAGCTCACGAATGAATTCCTGCCAGCACCCAACAGCAGCACCCAACAGCACCCAACAGCACCCAACAGCAGCACCCAACAGCAGCACCCAACAGCACCCAACAGCACCCAACAGCACCCAACAGCAGCACCCAACAGCACCCAACAGCACCCAACAGCAGCACCCAACAGCACCCAACAACAGCACCCAACAGCACCCAACAGCACCCAACAGCAGCACCCAACAGCACCCAACAGCACCCAACAGCACCCAACAGCACCCAACAGCACCCAACAGCACCCAACAGCAGCACCCAACAGCACCCAACAGCACCCAACAGCAGCACCCAACAGCACCCAACAACAGCACCCAACAGCAGCACCCAACAGCACCCAACAGCACCCAACAGCACCCAACAGCACCCAGCAGCACCCAACAGCACCCAACAGCAGGCAACAGCAGGCAACAGCAGGGAGTGACAGCACACGAGCAAACATCAGGCAGTGTAAAAAATGGTGACGAGAAAAAGAACACAGCCTTTCAGGAGCCGGCACGTCATAAGGGTTTGAAACGGACCCGGAACAGCCCAAATGTAGAACAAATTAGGTAGAGTTGAAGGCAGCCTAGAGCAAGCACGCACCTGGAAGACTTCAAGGCGGTCGATCTTATCGAGCTTGGCGCAGCTCTCATGCTCCTCCAACCGGTCCTGCACCTTGCGGTAGTGTGTGGCGGACTGGCGAGACGGAAAGGGGTGAGGAAATGGGGCGAGGAAGGGGGTGAGGGAAGAGCGCGCCCACAAGCAGAGGAGAGCAGGGAAGAGACCGGTGACACACACCCAGCCCACGGCATCACAGCGGGGCACTCACAGTGACACACACCCAAGGCACCGCAGCACTGACGGTGACATGTCATGCTTACACAGACAGGAAGAGCACGCCAACCCACCACACGGCACTCACGGTGACATAGGCGCACGTGTGGAGGTGGTGCTTGAACTCCGCCATGTTGCGCTTCCTCTCCTCCCTCACTCGGTCCTTCTCCTGCCACACCGTAGCAGCAAGCGGGGAGGAGCAAAGAACAAGTCAATGTGAAAGGCGCCTCAGAAATCGTTCTCCTAAGAAGGCAGTTCCTTGAGAGAGTTGTTGCCCGCTGCTGCCCCCCAAGGCGCTTAAAGTTCGTTGCCTTAACCACCGATTCAGGGCGGGGAGGTCAAGATGCAGTCAACAGGACAGTCTAGATGCAGTCAGCAGTCAACATGAGGTCAACACAAGTCAACGCAAGTCAACAGGGCAGCGCATCTTCTTGACGAGGTCAACGAGGTAGTCGTCAAAGAGCTCCTCCCTCTCCCTGTCCTCCACTATGAGTCAACACGAGACAACGCGAGTCAACGCAAGGGCAACACAGGTCAACTCACCTTCTTGACGAGGTCAACAAGGTAGTCGTCAAAGAGCTCCTCCCTCTCCCTCTCCGACTCCACCGCCACGCACCGCAGGTCCTTCTCAAATAGCGCCGCCGCTTTTCTGAGGGGGTGGGAGGGAGTGGGGGGTAGGGGTGCAGGTGGGAGGAAGGGGAGGGAGGGGAGGGTGAATAAAGAAGCTGCAGTAGTCGTTCCTCCCTCTCCCTCTCCGCCTCCACCGCCACGCACCGCAGGTCCTTCTCAAACAGCGGCACTGCTTTTCTGGGAGGGAGGTGGGGAGGATAGGAGGTTTGGAGGGATGCGGGAGGAGAGCGATGATGGACAGGAGGATGGAGGCAGCCGAGACAAGAAGATGAGCGAGCGAGAGGAGTGGCAGCAGCGGGAGGTGAGGTGGGAGCGGCACGGATGTGTAGAGCACTTGTGTAAGCGAGGCCCAGGTGAACGACTTGCCACTGCCACGCTCACAAAGAACGACTCACTGCCAGCTCAGCACGACTCACTGCCAGTGCATGGAGGAGGAGAGCTCCTTAGACTCACTGCCAGCTCAGCACGACCCAATGCCAGGTCAGCAGGAGTGACTCACTGCCAGCGCATGGAGGAGGAGAGCTCTTTGGACTCGTCCAGCATGGCGATGAAGTCCTCGCGCACCTTCTTCTGCCTCTGCCGCTTCTCCTCCGCCTCCTGCTTCTTGCGCTGCGTTATGTACTGCGGGAAAGGAAGTGAGGGGAAAAAAAGAAGGGTGGGGAGAAGGCAGGGAGAGGAAGAGTGCTTCAGTTGCTTATCCTCAGCCTCCTGCTGCTTGCGCAGCTTCGGGTACCGAGGGCGAGGGGGGAGCGGTCAGAGGAACGAGTGCGGGAAATGAAAGAGAGGGAAAACGGGAGGAGGTGGAAGAGGGGCAAGGGGGGAGGGAGAGGAGAAGTGCGAAGACATTTTTCCTCCGCCTCCTTCTTTCGTTCGTCAGATACTGAGTGGAACAGGCAGGGAGAGGAGGAAAGGGGGGGAGGGGAGGGGGAACGAAAGAAAGAACTAACAGCACGACTTGAGGCAGGGGAGGTTTGATAAAAAACAGAAGAGTGGAAATCCGGTGGCGGTACGTTGTTGAAACATCCTTGCCCAATCATCCTCGCTCAAACCTTCCATGTCCCATCCATCCCATACCTCATTGAAGGCCTGCTTCCTCTCCCCCAGCGTCTTGAGCGCCCCATAACGCTTGTCGCTGATGATCTTCTTCATCGTCTGCTCCCACGTGCCCTCCGACGTCACCCCCACCGCCTCCAGCAGCTCCTTGAACGCCGCCTTCGCCTCCTGTCATTGGTGGAGAGGGCATGAGAGACGAAGGGAATGAGAGAGGAAGAGAGTGAGAAGCCAGGGCGAGGAGGAGAGCACACGGACTTTCATGACGGTGAGGGTGACAGCAGCTCCTTCAACTCCACCTCCACCTTGGCCTCCCGTCATTGGCGAAGAGGGAATGAGAGACAAAGGAAATGAGGCAGAAAGAGGATGAGGGACAAAGGCGAAGAGGAGAGTGAAAGGCCTTTCACGACCTCCAACGGCTCCTTAACGCCGCCTTCGCCTTTTGTGAGTTTAGAGGAGAGGAATCGAAAGGGAACGAGAGGGGGGAATGCGGGCAGGCGAATGAGAGCAGGGAATGAGGGCAAGACAATGAAGGGAGGAGCATGGCGGCAGGAGAATGAGATGAGAGCCAACACACCAACACACGAAACCCAAAATCTTAAACCCTGGCGCACCTGCTTGGTGGCATAGACAGGCTCGCCCACAGGAGCCGGGGGCGGCTTGGGTTCCGTAATGGGCGTGATGTTGATCTTGCTCACTCCTGGTGCCGCCATGGCCTGGTTGAGGGGGACGGTGGAGGTGGGGGAGTTTGAGGGCAGGAGAGGGCGTGACACGTGATGAACATGTGATCGACATTGATATAAAACGAGTGGTATTCCCTCTTTTCCTCACAATGTTTGGCGTGACAGGATGGATAGAACATCACCACAACACAATGTATATGGTGACTAGCCCTGCCGGGTATAAGGGTACGAAACGCGTTTCATCCAGCTACCCTACCACCATACACCTCTACACCGCACCACACACACCTCTGGTGCAGCTTGAGCGGGTTGCGCCTGTGCGTGTGTGGCGGCCGCAGCAGCTGGAAGAGGCCTGTGTGCGAGCAAGGGAGAGGAGAGGGAAGCAAGCGACAGGAGGTGAGCGGATTGGGCCAGTGTGGCCGTGCCATCGGCAGGCACTGAGGGAGCATGTGAGCACGTGCAGCACAGAAGAAGCAGGAAGGAACTGCATTCAAACATAGGAAGCTTCCACCCAGAAGCTCACGTCCTCGGAAGCAGGAGCGAAGAGGGACAGGAAGGAGAGCAGAGAAGCATTCAGAGCAGCGGCACTTGGCAATGACTGCGCTTGAAGCACTGTGATCCGACCGAAACCATCCAAGCAGCACTCACGGGGTGAGGGCAGCAGCAGCAGGCAGAGGAACACCAGCAGGCGGCACAGGGGAAGCTCCCAGCGGCCCTGCTCCTGGCACCAGCGGCGCCATCCCCGGGAGAGGAGGCGTGTACGCGTACGCAGCAGGAGGGACGGCCCCTGCTGCTGCCATCCCCAGTGCTGCTTGCCCTGGTGCGGCAGCAGGTGGAGGGACGCCCGGCAGGGGGGGTATCCCGGTAGCCATTGGTGCTGCTGCTGCAGGCACTCCTGACATGACTGGTGCTACTGGTGTCACAGGCGCTGCGGGGAGAGCAGGGGTGGCAGCGGCAGCAGTAGCAGCAGTGGCGGCGGCGGTGGGAGGTGCCGCGTTGCCTGCCGCTGCTGCTTGCTCTGCAGCAGCTCTCTCTCGTGCGGCCTGCAGGCAGGCAGAGGGAGACACAAGGTTGCATGGAGTGAGGAGAAGTGCAGACACACACAAGCAAGGGTGCTGCTGGTGGCGCCACTACATGTACAAGCACCGTTGGGAGAAGAGAGCAACAGAGGCAGGAAAAGCAGGCTTCTTGACACAACAGAAACAACCTAGCACATGGGGTGCGCACCTTGAGGTCAGCGGGGATGGTCCACGTGCTCTGCTTGGTGTGCTTGTTGAAAAAGTACTTCCGCCCCTCCGCTGTCGTGAACTCCTTCCATACCGTTGTGGCGTCCGCGCGCTGCAAGGGGTTAGCGGAGCAGGGCGGGGAGGGGTGGAGGGGGGAGCAGGAATGGGGGATGTTGGGGCCGATACGATCCGTACTTTCGCCCCTCCGCTGTCGTGAACTCCTTCCACACCGTCGTGGGGTCCGCGCGCTGCAGGAGGGTAAAGGGGCAGAGGGGAGATGACAGGGGGGCGGAGATGGAATGGGAGTGTCCTTGTTGAAGATGTGCTTTCGCCCCTGTGGAGTGGGATTGTCTACTCCTGCCACTCCCACAGCCACACCCCCCCCACACACCTTCCCCGCAGGCACCCTTCCCCTCGCACCCACGCATGCCCCCACTCCACCCACCCACCCCACGTGCCCCCCCCCCCCCCCCCCTCCTCACCCCCATCCACGCACCTCGCTGGGAGTCATGAGGTCGGTGGGCTTCTCCCAGCTGGACTGCTGAGTGCGCTTGTTGAAGAAGTACTTGCGCCCCTGCGGAGTCGTGAACTCCTGCCACTCCGCCGCCGCTCCCCCCCCGCTGCTGCTGCCACCCGCTGGGCCGGCAGCTGCGCCTCCGCCAGGTGCGGCCTGTGTGGCCGCGGGGGCGGGCGTTGCTGTGGCGGGAGGTGGCATCTGGGGGAGGGGCACCTGCGAGAGAGGAGCAGCAAGGGGGTGGGGAAACAGGGGGTTGGTACGGAGACAGGGGACAGGATCGACGGGGAATGATGGCCTTCTGAATATTGACGAATTCTTATCACTGGGCTAATAAGGTTACGGAAGGCAAGAGTGTTGATCTTGGAAAGTCTGGGAAAGTCGTGGCAGGTGGAAAGAGGAAGACTCGTCACGGACAGTATCTCACTCACCCCTCCAGCAGTGGTAGCAGCCGGGGCTGCTCCCCCAGGCGCGCCCTGCGCTGCTGCCTGCGCCCCTCCCGCGCCAGGCCCCCCCTGCCCTGGCGCAGGCGCGCCGGGCATCTGCCAGTGCGGGTGCTGCTGGGGCGGGTGCTGCTGGGGGGGGTAGGATCCGGGGGCGGGCATGTGGCCGGGCATGGGGGGGTAGGACGGGTACGGCTGCTGCTGATGCTGCTGCGGCGGCGGCTGCTGCTGCTGCTGGCCGGGGTATTGGGGGGGCTGACCGGGAGCGCCGGGGTACTGCGGGTGAGGCTGGTGCTGCCCCGGGTACTGTGGGGGGTGCCCTTGCGCGCCGTAGGGGGGAAGGTGGCCGGGCGGAGCGTTGGGGGGGAGCGGGGGGAAGGGGCGCGGCGGAGGAGCGCCTGGGTACGCCGGGCGAAACTGCTGCTGGGGAGAGGCGTAGTGCCCCTGTGGAAGGCGGGAGGTTGCGCGGGGGGGGGGGCGGGGGGGGGGGGGGGGGGGGGGAAATTGGATTAAAGAGAAGGAGCAGACCGATGACATGACAAGTGAGAAGGAAAGGTAGTCAGGAATGCAAAGGCAAGCGGAAGGGAGGAGGCGGGCTGCGGGCAGGAGGGAGAAGAGATGGAGCTAGGGAAAGAGGGAAGGATCAAGCTAGCGAGGGAGGTGTGAGGCTTTAAAGGGAGACCGAGAAAGAAGGGAGACCGAGGGAGGGAGGGAATGAGGGAATGGAGGAGGGGATTGAGGGAGGGGAAGGACGCAAGTGAGGGGGCGAAGTGAGCGCGCGAGCAGAGGGCGCGCGCACCTGAGGGGGGGCACCAGGGGGAAGCGGGGGGCCGCCAGGGCGAGCGCCATAGGGAGCGCCGGGGGGAGCAGGTCCGCCTGGCCCCGTCGCCCCTGCTGCCGCTGTTCCCGGCGCTCCCAGCGCGCCTGGCGCTCCTGGCGCTCCTGGCGCGCCCAGTGCTCCCGGCGCGCCTGGCGCTCCCGGCGGTCCTTGCCCCTGCGCCTGCTGCTGTCCCGGAGGGGCTTGCCCTGGCGGCTGCTGCGGCGGCGGCTGAGCGCGCCCTGGCGCCGGCGGCAGGTGCGGCGCTCCCACGCCCGGCGCGCCCGGCGGCGCTCCCGGCGCTCCCGGTGCGCCTGGCGCTCCTGGCGGCTCATACTGCAATGAGCGGCGAGCGGGGTCGGATGATGTGAATAAAGACAGTGTAAGAGCAGGAAAGGAGGTAGGGGGTGGAACGGGGGGAGTGGAGGGAAGGGGATGGGAGAGGAAGAGGTCGGGAGGTGCGGAGAAGTGTTTACCTGTCCGCGGCCTGCAGGGCCGGGCAACAAACCGCCGCCGGGGGGCTGCGGGGGACCGCCTATGGGAGGCGCGCCTATAGGCCCCCCGCGACCCGCCGCGTGCATGGGCGGCGCTCCGCGACCCATCTGGGGCGAGGGGAGGCACAAGAGCGGAGGATTGGGATTCGGGGGGAGAGATACGCGGGAGAGGTGCAAGGCAGTCATGCAAAATGCAGATGCAGGGGAGGATGCGCGGGAGGACGCGGATGCGGGGGGGGATGTGGATACGGGGGAGGATGCAGATGCGGGGGAGAATGGGCACACAGATCCACAGCTCATCTGAAACGTGAAACGTCAAACGTCAAAAGTCCAACCGAATAGAGACATCAAAACTCGGTGCGTGTGTTGTGCATGAATGCTGCGATGCGCGTGGTTCGAGTGCAGGATCCTCACGACGGCGGGCGATTTGGAGTCGTCGCGCGCGATCGAGGGAGCAGGCGGGGACGGCGACGGAGCGCTGCCGCCCCCGGGAGGCGCGCCGGTCGCTGGAGCTGCTCCGGGAGCCGCGCTGGCGGCGGGCGCTCCAACTGGCGGCATGGACTGGCCGCCTGGGGCTTATCGGGGAATAGGAGGAGAAAGCGGTAATATCGGATGTGAGTAGCGTGCGACATGGGAGTGCGGAGATCGAAAGGCGTGCGGAGATTGATGAGGACAAGGAAAGCAGAGGAGAGTGATGCATGCTGACATTTTTTTTAACCTACATTCCATGCGTGTCGACTGACCCATCGCATAAGAGCAGCGATCTGTATCTAAGAGAAGCAATGCATGTTAAATCGATCAGGTTTAGGCGGAGAAACGAATGACGCGAACTGAAGGACGCACCCGTCATCCAAGCAGGCAGAGTCATTCCGCGGCCGCGCCCAGATCCCGGTACAGGAGGGACGCCCGCCATGGCGGTTGTCGTGAAGCTATTGCTCGTAAGGACGTGATAGTACGGAGATGCGTTCTATAACTAGGCGAAACCCTAGAAGCTCTGGACGGGCTTTCACCTCGAAGAAAGAAGTGGTATAGGGTTGACACGGAAAGATTCTCAAGCCCCGCATACCCTTTATGTGCCTACCGTATAGCACTGACCTATACGAGGCTCAATGCATAGTGAATTCCAGATATGCAAGAAATCTCAGGGTACCTTTCATTCTTGCATAATGTAACATATCAGAGGTTCTCGCATGTACTGACATTCGAGTTTTCTATTTTTCCGCCGTCTTTACGGATAGACGAGTGAAATCAGAGATATAAACTTGACCTATCGTTTCTTCAAACAGCACACAATCATCCTCTAGAAAAGTAATGCACTCTTGGATATTTTTCGTTGCATAACACAATGAGAGTGTTCGGTGACAACCGTCTTTATCGTCACAACTCTCTGACGAATTTTCTTCGATTTTTGGCGCCAGCTATCGGCTGACAGTCGTCCGATCTGGCGTCCTCCCCAACCCGAGCACCGTCAACTTCCATGCTTCATGATCCACATCGGAGCCACCGCAGAAACCCAACCTAAGGGAGACAATCTCTAGGGGCAACACTGCACTCTCGAGTTTGTCAGCGTGGGCTCCAAAAGTGAATCCCACTCTGCCTCCCTACAACTCCCAGTTCAAAACTCGAACTTTGAATCAACTGCTACTTCCTGTCATCAGTCTCCTCCCCTTCCCTCTCTCTTGTAGCTTAGGCCAACTATAGGTTTGCTTCAACGACAGGGTCTGCAGGATGATGTGAAAGACAGCTAGCTAACCCTGGGTTTCTTGCTCAGCCCTGTGATTCTGCGACGGCTTGCCTGCGCTGCTTTACCGTCGCGTGTAACCACAAGAAGGGCCCTTGGCTCTTATTGCCGTGTTAAAAGAACTCGCTAGCGTCTTCGCCTTGCTGCGCGCTCAGTATCCAACGTGGCGAACGACAGATCTCCCACAATGCGGAATCGCGGCAGTCCAGACGGAGAGCCGCAGGTTTCGTCCAATGACGGCGCGGAAGAGATGACGCTGTCCGGCGAGCCGGTCGCCGGCCGTTACAAAAAAGGCGGCGAGCTGAGCGACGCGGAATTTCTGGCGGTGCACGGCAAGACGAGAGCGCAGATCGCGGAGGAGAAGCGGCTGGTGGAGGCGCAGGGGATGGAGATTAACTACCTCGTGCCGCCGCGGTCGACGAAGCTGTCGGACGTGATCGCAGTGTTCATCGCGCACATGCTGCCGTTCACGCTCGCTCCATTCATCCTCACAATAATAGTCGTGTACACCTCGTACATGTAAGAGATTGTCGTGCACGCAGCGTACATGTCGGCGGAGCGTGATGGGTATCGCCGTTGAGGCTGCTGCATTGACCCCTAGGCCGCTGGAGATGCGTTTCAGACTGTCGTACGCCCTTTTACGCGCTCGCCGCTTCTAGTGAACATGCCGTCGCGTGTCATTCATGGCTCACGATCCATGACGCATGATCCATGACGCATGATCCATGACGCATGATCCTTGACGCATGATCCATGACGCATGATCCATGACACATGACCCATGATCAATGGCCCATGACCCATGACCCATGACCCATGACCCATGACCCATGACCCATGATCCATGACCCATGATCCATGACCCATGATCCATGACCCTCGATCAATGACCCATGACCCATGATCCATGACCCATGATCCATGACCCTTGATGAATGACCCATGATCCATGACCCATGATCCATGACCCATGATCCATGACCCTTGATGAATGACCCATGATCCATGATCCATGATCCATGATCCATGACGCGTATCACCTATCAACCATGGTCCATTTCCAGCACCCTTCAACAATGACCTCTGGCCCTCTGGCCATAACCTAAGGCCGATTGCTCTCCGGGCTTGTTTCTCTGTGACCCATGTGCGCCATCAGACTGCTCGGGTGGCTGGGGCCGCTCATTGCCTTCCTCGTGCTCTTCTACCTCACCGTCTGCCGGATGCATTACGACCCCAACACGCGCCGCCAGTACCAGGTGCGCGCGCGAGTTTACTGGGGCGTCTCTAGGTGCCCGGGGAAACGGAACTACTACCTAACACGCACCGCGAGTACCATGTGCGTGCACGAGTGTAGCGGGATGTCTCTAGCTGCACGGGAAAACGGAACTACTACCTATCACGTGCGTCACGAGTGCACACCGGGATGTCAGCACACAAGGTGCACGGGGAAGCAGCTCCACGACCCCAAACACAAGTACCAGTCCCTTCCTCCTCCGTTTTGCTCGTTCCCCCCTGGTGCCCCCCAGGAGCTGTACCTAAAGATGGCGCGCTAGGTGACGCCCAGGGACCCCATCTCCAACGCACCCTCTTGCTTTCTCCCCGCCTCCGCTCGTTCTTTCCCCCAGGTTCCCCCCAGAAGCTGTACCTGAAGAGGGCACGGATGGCGACGCTTAGGGACCCCATCTCCAACGCACTCTTCCCAACACATTCTCCTCCTTTCTCCCCGCCTCCGCTCGTTCTCACCCTCTTATGCCCGCCAGGAACTCTACCTGAAGATGGCGCGGTACATGGTATCAGTGCGCATGGTGACGCCCAGGGACCCCATTCCCGACGGGCCGTACATCTTTGCGTTCCACCCGCACGGCCGCATGTTCTACTCCACCTCGCTCATCATCCAGTCGCAAGCCCTCTGGCGGAAGCACTTCTGCCCCAAAGGTGCGCGCTGGGCTGCTGGGGTGCCGTGTGCGCTTCTGCCCTGCCCTGTACCGTGTTGTGGGTGATGTGCAGTGCGGTGCGATTCTGTGCTGCACGGTGCCGTTCTGTGCTGTGCCGTGCCGTGCTGTGCTGTGCTGTGCTTTGCAGTGCTGTTCTGTGCTGTGTCGTATTGTGTTGTTTGTGCTTCAAACGTGCTATGCCGAACGCTGCTGCATACGCGCCTGAACCCCTCACCCTCTCACCCCCTCCTTCGCACATCCCGTCCCTACGTGCGCCTCTTTATGGTGCCCCCTGTGTGCAGCATCCTCCTCAACAACCCCTCACTTCCCCCCTCGCACACCCCTCACCCCACATGCGCCTCTCACCTGCTCCCACCTCCCCCAGGTGACTTCTTCGGGTCAGCAGCGGGGGCGTTCTTTGTGGTGCCCATCGTGCGCAACATCCTGAACAACCTGGGGCTCGTGTCCGTGGACAAACCCGCCATCGTGCGCACGCTCAGAAACAAGGACCACGTGAGTGCTTGGTTGGGGCGAGAGGGAGCATGGGAGTGGGCGAAGGAGCATGGAAGTGGGCGGAAGGGGCATGGGAGTGGGTTAGCATGGGAGTGCTTGTCTGAGAGGGACCATGCAAGAGCTTGCAAGCAACATTCTGAACAACCTGGGGCTCGTGTCTGTGGACAAGCCTGCCATCGTGGGTGCTCTCAGGAACAAGGACTACATGAGTGCTAGGTTGGGGTTAGAGGGAGCATTGGAGTGGGGCGAAGCAGCATGGGAGTCGGACGAAGTGGGCGAAGGAGAATGTGGAAGGGAGAAGCATGGGACTGCTTGCATGCAAGCAAGCATTTTGGAGTAGTCTCACAAATCTGTGTTGTGCTGTGCTGGGCTGTGTTGTGCTGTGTTCCCTGTGCTGGGCAGGTGACGATAACGATTGGTGGGGTGAAGGAGATCTGCCTGGGCACCAACCCTAATTACGACAAGCTCTACCTCATGAAACGGTGAGGCACGGGGGTGGTGAGGGGTGGGTTGCGGTGGGAAGGGGCGAGTTTGGCCAGGCAGGATTGGACGTTTCTGGAATGCCTCCTCCTCATTCGTGGACCAACGCTGATGGCACAAGGTGTACCTCGCGAAGTGATGAGACAGGGGGGGTGGTGAGGAGGCAGGGGCGTGGTGGTGAGGAAGGGAGTGGGAGGTGGGTGAAGGGAAGAGGAGAAACCTTTCCCGGAGAGCTGGGGAACACGGATTCCTGGGAAGGGATATGAATGGCATGCCATGTGGCCTTGCTAACCGGGCCGGGGAGGGGGGGGAGGTTGCGGGGGTGTTGGGGAGGGATTACGCATGCAGGGTTGGCACGTGCTATGGCCCGCCGGGCCTTCCACATCAATCATTCCTCTCTTGTGTCTCATTTATCCTTGCTCTCTCACGGCCTTCTCTCCCCGTCGCTTGCGCATTCATCCTTTCCTCCCACCACAGAAAGGGGTTCATCAAAGTGGCGATGGATGAGAAGGTGGGCATCGTGCCCATCTACAACTTCAATGAGAACCAGGTGCGCCTGCTGTGCTGTATGCTGCTGTGTGGTGAATGATATAAGTAAAGAAACATGCTTTGTGCAATTGCAGTGTGCCATGTGCAATGTGCTGTACCCCACACACTCTCCTGCCCACTATTTCACTCCAATTCCTCTCCACTCCAACCATTTCCCACTCCCACTTCAACCCATCTCCCCATCGTCCCTTTCACAGATCTTCAGGCCAGAGCCGCACTGGTTCCTGGCGTTCTGGGAGTGGGTGAACAACTATGTGGGCCTGGGCGTGCCGGGCATGAGAGGCTACCTGCAGCTGCCCATGCCCTTCCGCAAGTCAGTGTGGTGTTGTGCAGTGCTATATGGTGTGCTGCTCTGCTGTGCTGTTTATTGCGGTGCTGTGCTGGTTCTTGGCGTTCTGAGAGGGGGTGAACAACGATGTGGGCTTGGGTGTGCCAAGAACGAGGGGCTATCTGCACCTGCCCATGCCCTTCCACAAGTGGGTGTTGTTGTACGCGATGCAGTGCGGTGCTGTGCTGTACGGTGTTGTGCGGGCCGTGCTGGGCATGAGGGGCTACCTGCATGCTACTTGAAGGCACTCCATCAGCTCTTCCACACCTAGGTCACCGTATCTTTCCACACTTGACTCAACATATTCACTACTCACTACGTGCTCTGTCTGCTCTGCCTGTTCTGCCTGCATGCTCACAGGGATTTGCTCTTTGTGGTGGGCAAGCCATTATTTGCCAAGGAGGGGGAGACTGTAGACGACTTCCATGCGCGCTACGTGGAGGCACTCAAGCAGCTCTTTGACACCTACGTCCCCATCTCGCCCCACCCCTCACACAAACTCGTCATCACATAGCCGTGCCTCAGAGCGTCCCGACACCCACTCTACTGTGCCAGCCCTGCCATCATCATCGGCTCGGCTTCTGACCTTCCATCATAGGGTTCCACGTGCTTACGTACCGTAGTGGTTTCTTGCCTTGTGTGCTGTGGTACTCATAAGTTGCGCTCTATGTAGTTATACTTTAGCTTTTGCCAAGTAGTGATGCTAGTGTTACGCAAGTGTAGCCCCCCCACCCTCGCGTCCTGCCCCGTCAGGTGTGTCGCACGTCACTCCGCAGGGGCGAGCTGCACACGAGCTCTGTGATCTAGTTTTGCACCATTTGAGCAGTGGTGCCAAACTTCAGGCTAGAGGCTACATGTACGTGTGGGCCGTAGGCAATATTGGACACATGTAGGGTGGAGCTTGGATTGCATGCTAACTGATAAGCCGACTGCATCTGTGTGCCTGTCTCTGGTTCCCTCCCTGGTCACCTCTTTTGTGCTTGAAATAAGAACAATAACGTACGGCATTATAAATGACATTACATTGTGAGTGTACGGTGCAGAAGCTTTGTGAATGACTGTGCATGGCAGGCGACAGCATTGCCCTGGCGGTGACACAGCAGCACCTGGGTCAGCAGGAGATGTGGCTGGCTTGGACAAGAGGAGTCAGGGTTTGGGGCGCCAGAAGAAGCCGAAGAGGCAGTGGGTGAGGTAGAGGGGGAAGAGCGTGGCGAGGGCGAGCTCACACGCCATGAACCCCGCCGTCATGCCCGTGAAGTCCCCCCCCATCGCCTCCTCGCCGTACCTGGTGGGGGATGAGTGTTGGGAAGTTGTGAGGAATGGAGGGGAGGGTGGGGTGGGAGACGAGGGGTAGGGGGGGTGTTGAGGAGCCCCAGGAAGAGAAGCCATGAACCCCGCCCTCATGCTCGAAAAATCCCCCTTCATTGCCTCCTTGCCGTACCTGGGGGGGTGACGGGAGAGAGGGAGGGGATGAGGGGAGAGAGGGGGGGGATGAGGGGTGGGAGAGGAGGGGTAGGGGGGCTGTTGCGAGCCTGAGAAGCAGAATCTACCCTCATGACTTTTGAGTCGACTCAAAAGTCAACCCTCATGGTCACCTCGCTGTACCGTGGGGGGAGGGGGGAAAGGAAGGAAAGTGGGGATAGGAAGGAAATGGGGGACGGGACGGGAGAGGGGGGGTAGAGTGGAAAGGGGAGATTGAGGAGCCTCAAGAACAGAAGAAATGGTCACCTGGCTGGCTGTAGCGAGGAGGAACGAGTGTGGGAGGAGGGCGGGGGAAAGGGCAAGAGGTGGAGAGATGGAAGGGGGTACTTTGTCATTTCCGCGTGAGGGGGTACGACTTCACCTCATAAGCGGGTACTGCAGCGGTGTGGAGAATGGCCCTCATGACGCAAGAGAGCCAGTAGAGGCAGCCAAGGACAAAGAAACGAGTAACCCTTGTGGGGAATGGGGTATCTAAGAAGTCACCTCACCTCATAATGGGGTATTGCAGCAGCACGGAAAATGCCCCAATGAACCATGTGAGGCCGTAGAGACAGCCGTGGACAGGATGCGAGTAACCCTCATAAGGAATGGGATATTAAAGCAGTCACCTCACCTCATGAGGGGGTACTGCAGCAGTGCGGCAAAGGCTCCGATGAACCGTGTGAGGCCGTAGAGCCGGCCAAAGTTGCGGAAGCCAAAGAGCGAGGCGATGAGCGCTGCCATGGTGCTGTAGATGAACGCCCTCGCGATGCTGTAGGCTGTGAAACTCACGAGCTGTGAGAGACGGAGGAAGGGGACAGGCAGAGAGGTGGGAGGATAGAGAAGGAAGCTATGAGTGTTGCCATGGTGCTGTGGATGAATGCTCCGGCCACGCTGTAGGCGGCGACACTCAGGAGGTGAAGGGCGTGGGTGTGGGCGGAGACGTGGGGTGAGAGAGAGGGAGGGCAAGCAGCGAAGAGATGAGTGGCGCCATGGTGCTGTAGGCCGCGAAACACAGGAGCTGGGAGCGAATGGGCGTTGGGAAAAAGTGGGTGGAGAGGTGGGATGAGCGAGAAGGACCATGGCTTAGATATGGCATGAATGGTGGTACTAGACAGGACGACCATGGCATCATGGCATGAAAGCATTAGAGGCATGGCATTGTGGCACCAAGGTGGGATAACAGCATGGCAGCATGCCATCATGCCAGCATGCTAGCAAGGCAGCATGGCAGCATAGCACGGCAGCAAGCACTAGTGGGCGGGATACCATGGCGTCTAGCGGAAGGCAGGGGGCGAGGAGCAGCAGCAGGGAGGAGAGGAGCGACAGGGCGGCAGTGATGGCGAAGGCGGGCGGCAGGCCGAGGGAGTCGATGCTCCAGCCGGCCAGAGGCACGCTGAGACAGCCGCCCAGCGGGAGCAGGCAGTTGAAGGCGTCGATGTAGTGCTGCTGCACTGCTGCTGCTGTGGGTGGTGGGTGGATGGCCTTGGCGTGCTGCAATTGGGGTGGGGGGGAGAAAGATGGGAGGCAGGGAGCATTGGCATAGGCAGGGAGTAGGCAGTTGAAGGCGTTAATGTAGCTCTGCTCCACGGCTGCTGCGGTTGATGGTGGGTGGATGGCTTTGGCATGCTGCAATTTCACAAGGAGCATTGGAAAGAGGCAGGGACAGTGGCACAGGCAGGGAGCATGAGCGGGTGAAGGCATCGCTGTGAGGCAGCCTTGGGTGCAGCAGAGCAGAGTACAGTGGGACAATGGCCCTGAGCGTTTCTGTGGGAGAGAGTAGAAAGAGGGGGAGCGCAGCGAGAATCGGCATTTGAAGGCACTGATGAACCTTGGCGTGGTGATGGCGATACATGATTTGGTAGCTTTCTGGTGACCGTGCAAGTGTAGGGATGCGCGAAACACTCGTTTCACTCACCACAGCGAAGCTGATCTGGTCGTTGACAGCAGCGATGTACACGTTGGGCTGGAGAGTGCAAATACGAGTTGACGATATCGTTGACTGAATCATCCCCCCATCTCCCTCTCCCCCCCTCTCCCTCACCACGGCGAAGCTGATCTGGTCGTTGACGGCAGCGATGTACACGTTGGGCTGGAGAGTGCAAATACGAGTTGACGATATCGTTGACTGAATCATCCCCCCATCTCCCTCTCCCCCCCTCTCCCTCACCACGGCGAAGCTGATCTGGTCGTTGACGGCAGCGATGTACACGTTGGAGCGCAGCACGTAGAAGGCTGCCACCCCCACGTGCACCCAGAACAGCGGCGACCTGCCGTTGTGAGTGAGTGAGGGCAGGGAGGCGAGAGGCAGGGAGGGGAAAGAGATGGGTGGAGTGAGAGGAGGGAGGCGTGAGTGAGTGAGCTCGGATGTACACATTGGAGCGCAGCACGTAGACGCCCCACGTGCACCCAGAACAGGGGTGACCAGCGGCAGCAGTGCGGGGGAGAGGAGTGGGAGTGGGGGTGTACTGATGCAGACAAAGCCACACAGACGAAGGGCGCCACCCCCACGTGCACCCAGAACAGGGGTCACCTGCGGTTGTGGCAGTGGGGAAGGTGGGGACATGGGAGTGATGAAGGCAAAGCCGCACCGAGGAAGGCCGCCACAACCACGTGCACCCAGAACAAAGCGACCTGTGGTGGCAGCACACACATGGGATGTGCACCTGAGCTGGTGAGGACACCTGAGCTGGTGAGGACACCTGAGCTGGTGAGGACACCTGAGCTGGTGAGGACACCTGAGCTGGTGAGGACACCTGAGCTGGTGAGGACACCTGAGCTGGTGAGGACACCTGAGCTGGTGAGGACACCTGAGCTGGTGAGGACACCTGAGCTGGTGAGGACACCTGAGCTGGTGAGGACACCTGAGCTGGTGAGGACACCTGAGCTGGTGAGGACACCTGACCTGGTGAGGACACCTGACCTGGTGAGGACACCTGAGCTGGTGAGGACACCTGAGCTGGTGAGGACACCTGAGCTGGTGAGGACACCTGAGCTGGTGAGGACACCTGAGCTGGTGAGGACACCTGAGCTGGACGACTTTTAAAGGGGTCTCACGGGGCACCTGAGCTGGGTGGCGATATCGGCGTTGTAGATGGCGGGAGGGGGCGGCAGGCACGGGGTGCTCCTGCCGTGGAGCCACACGATGGGCAGACTGGGAGACAGCGGGATGCTGCTGCCTCGCCCTGTGACACCTGGCAGTGCCACGTGGTGTGCTGACGTGGTCAGCTCGTCGGCAGCAGCAGCGCTGCTTGCACCACCGGCATCCCCGCCAGCAGCCTTATCACTGCCAGCAGCGCCCATGAGGCGCAGCAGGTATAGCCGCTCCAACTCCCCACTGCGCCTCGGCCCCCTCGCTCCCTCTCTCGACCCTCCAGTTCCCCCCCCTTCCTCGTCCCTTCGCCCCATTGCTGTCAACCCCGCTCCTATACCCTCTCTCGCCCCTCTCATCCCCTCCTCCTCCCCGCATGCGTCCTCATGTCTCCCGCCGCTCCTTTCCACAGCGGGCCTCGCTTGCCCCCTCTCCCCTTCCTCCTCATCTGACTGCCTCTGCGGTGATTGCTCCTTGCTTGCCTGCCTCTTGCTTGAATGCTCCTCGCTTGCAGGTTGCAGGAGAGGAGCGGTGAGCAAAGAGAGCGGGTCGGGATGCGGTGACGTGGAGGAGGGGGAGGTGGAGGTGGATGGAGGAGTGGTGTGCGATTCTGAGGTGGGTGAGGCGCCAAAGGGACTGCATAGACGACGGAAGGAATGGGGGTTGAGGGGGAGGGAGAGAGACGGAGAGAGAGACATGGGAAATGGTGGGAGGGCGATGTAAATGGATGGTGATAACGGATGGGGTAGAGACTGAGCATGGGGATAAGAACCTCGGATGCGAGCTCACAGGGTGAGTTTGACAGCAAGAGGCAGCGAGGGCGAAGAGGAAGAGCACAGTGACAGACACAAAGCACCACCCTCCCTCAAACCCGTCTCGCACACTCAACCACACTCGCCCCCCCCTTCCCTCAGACTCGACTCATCGCACACATCGGGTAAAGTGGCGGCGGCGACGGCAGCAATGGCAAGCGGCACAGCGAGGTAGGCGAGGCAGACGGCAGAGAGGGCGAGGTGAAGGCGAGAGACGGCGAGGGCGAAGAGGAAGAGCACAGAGACGGACAGACACAACGCAACCACCCTCCCTCAAAACTGTTTCGGACATACAACCACCCTCCCTCACACCCATCTCTTACACGCAGCCTCATTACCCCCCACCCCCTTCTCCTTCCCCCAAGAAACCGTTCATCGCACACATCGGGAAAAGTGGCGGCGGCAACGGCAGCAATCACAAGCGGCACGGCAAGATAGGCGAGGCAGACGGCAGAGAGGGCGAGGTGAAGGCGCGAGACGGCGAGGGCGAAGAGGAAGAGCATGGCTGCAGAGGCGTCAAAGGCCCCGCTCTGTGCCGCTATGACTGCTGCTGCTGATGATGGGAGGAGCTCGGAGAAGTTGATCTGAAGGGGGATGGGGAGGGGGTGAGATGGGTATGGGTTACGATTCACGAACGCAGAGGGGATGGTGAGGGGATGGGGAGGTTACGGGGATGGGGACAAAAAAGGATGGGGTGGTGGGAGAGTGGTGGGCATGGTGACTGATGGGCAGGTGCTGGGGTTGGGAGAGAGGGCTGTGTGTGAACTGGGCAGGCAGTAAAAGGACCATTCGCTCTGGGGATTCATGATGCTAGGAAGAAGGTAAACAGGGCGGAGATGCGTAGGGAATGCATGCATTGAACTGGGCGTACCATGGGTGTGAGGATGAAGGGTCCTCCAAGCGCCAGCAGGAAGAAAGCCGCAAAGAAGCACACCCCAGCAACTCCAACTCCCTTCTTTACCCCTCTTAACCCCCCTGCCACCCATCCCAACCCCTCTGTCATCCCTCTTATCCCCTCTCCCCCACTCCTCGCACCCTCTCCCCGGGTGGCCATGCCATCTTCATCCCATGCATTGTCCCTGTCCCCTGGGGCCCCCACATGGCGCCCTGTTATTGGCTGGGAAAGATTGTCTGACAGCTCGAAGCGATGGGGGCAATAGTGCAGTGGCCACGACGGGGGGAGAGGGCGGAGGAGGAGGGGGGAAAGGGTCTGGTGGGGTTGATAGGCAGGGAAGGCGGAAGGCATGGAGAGCAGGGAGGCGGAGGGGGAAGGCGCGGGCAGGGCAGGGGGAGGAGCGGGGAGGCCCGGGTGGGAGAAGGCGGAACCGAGGGCGAGGGCGAGGAGGCCCGCGGAGAAGACGAGGGAGCCGGTGATGGCTGTGGTGCGCGGTCCATAGGCGTCGAGGAATGCGCCCACTGGCAGCACACACGCGCTGTTGGTCACCATGCCTGGTGGGAGGGACAGGGGTGCAGGAATAAGCACATTCTCACATAAGCACGTGAGTGCATAAGCACATGCCAATGCAGGGGACATAGGGGCCATGGGGCCTCAGCAGCAACAGGGTGCACACACACATGCCACATCACCCCTTCGTTACAGTCACGTACTAAGAGTGTACGCGGCGTTGAGCAGGCTCATCTGGGCGGCGCACGGCACGTCCTCCCCCGCCCCGCACGCGTCGCTGAACGCGCCCACCTCCCCCACCAGCACGGGCAGGATGCCCGAGTACCCGTAGATGATGCCTGGCGGGGGGGGGGGGGGGGGGGATGGGGAGGAAAGGACAGGGGGAAGCGGTGGACTGGGAAAGCGGTCACGCGGGTGAGCGGGCAGCGGGATTCAAGCAATGAAGTGTTTTTTAAGGGATGGAGATTTCGCAAGTCACTGGCGCCATTGACGGCGTCGTCAGTACCGGCGGTGAGCAGAGCGGCGAGCACGGAGACGGAGACGAGCAGCAACCGCCTGCCGCGCGACAGCTGCGCCTCTTCTTCCGCTCCCCTTGCGCTCGACGCCATTTCCGCGCGCAGATCCGCTTCTGATTACGCGCCGTCACGCGCGCTCCTGGCTATCAACCCACGGCGTGCGAATGCGATAACGAGAATGGCGGGTAACAAGACTGCGTGGCGACCATTTTGCGATTGCTGAAAGGTGTGGGCTTTGGAACCAAAAGGCCTGTCAAATGCGGCGGGATAGCGACGGGAAGCATGTAAACGACGACGGTGGATTTAGTGTCGAGATTCGAGCAGCGCAGACTAGAGAGAGAGAGAAAGGCAGAGGGGTGCGGACAATCACGAGCATGTGAGGGGGGGCGTATTGTTGAGCTGCGTGGCACGGTTTGTGAGCGCCACTTGGATGGCCCTGGGATTGGTGTCTGGGAATCCCGAGGGCGCTCCGTGACGCGCGATTGATTGGCTCTCTCCAACGGGAAGAAAAATCCACCTTTCGAAAATTATATAAGCTTATTAGATATTATAAATATGTTATCTGCCATTTGAGGGCTCAATCCCCTTTGCCTTACTTGTTCTTGTGATCCTTGGCAACGGTCTCCAAAAATAGCCGTACATGGCTACTGAGAGGTAATATGGAAATGTGGCTGTTAGGAGTAGTTCTATAGCGAGGAAGACTCCATTCACGAGTACGAACTGTGTGCCCATGGATGACTCACAAGCACTGCACATTGACAAAAAGATTGGGATTAATTGGTGGCAAGTTAGCAAGATACTGCAGCAATCTTCTTGACTTTTCCGGCAGCATTACTTTCAATTTCGATTCTTACCTCATCAAAGGGTATTGTAACAATGTAAGGAATGCGCCTCCTAGCCGGTTGATCCCATACAGCCGCCCGAAGTTCCGGAAACCGAAGAGAGTGCCGACGTATGCCGCCATGGTGCTGTAGATGAAGGCCCTGGCGATGGCAAAGGCAAGGAACGCCACTAGCTGCAGCACAGGGCCAAGAACAGGGAGATGGAGAGTGAGTGGAGGGGGGAGAGGTGGGAGCTGTGTGGATAGGGGATCGTACCACCAGCAGAACACACGATAAGGACAGAGAAAGCAAGTTAAACAGAGGGACGAGTGTGTCCCTTTGTAACATGCACAGCAATCGAGTTCACGCAGTATGGCACACGCCCTACCTGCATGGAAAGCGGGACCCAAGCAGCCATCATCTGAACAGCGGAGCAGAGCACGCAGAGCAGTGTGGTGAGCGCGAAGGAGAATGGCAGCCCTGGGCGCTCCATGCTCCACCCCGCCAGTGGCACGGCAAACACCCCCCCCGCTGCCAGCACGATGTTGAATATGTCAATGTAGCTCGTGACTTGGGCGGCAGCATCGGATGGGAGGTCGGTGGTGGCTGTGGAGGGAGGGATGCTGAGGAGAGTCGTCTGATGGGCGTGGCGGGGGAGGGGGAGAGGATGGGCGAAGATGGGAAGGAGGGAGATGAGGAGAGGGTTGGATGGGAGGCTGGGATGGGTGGGGTTGCTGCGAACTATACATGTGTGGATTGACAGGATGGCATGTGACGCATGCTATGTATCTCATAGCACATATCACATTGCACATAACACATGGCACACGGCACACACCACATGACACACAGCACGCACCACGGTATAGCGAATGTGGGTGTTGACAGCAGCAATGAAGAAATTGGAGCGCAGCACGAGGTATGCTGACACTGCCACGTGCACCCAGAACAATGGCGCCCTGGTGTAGTGTGGTGGGAGGGGCGAGGAGGGGTGGGGAGGGGTTTTGTAAGAGCAACTGTCAGTGGTCGAACGAGGGACCGCGGACATACAGCAGAGGCACATCACGATTGGTGACACGTGACAAGGGCAAGACATGTGTCCTGTGAATGGATACGTACTGAAAGGGACCATAAAGGGGCCGATAGTGTGCAAGAGAGAGGAGAAGAAAGAGAGAGATGAGACGGACGAGTGAGAAGACACGAATAAGAGAGAAACGTTGGACATGAGCGAGGAGACGTGAAAGAAACATGTATTTGCAGCTGCAAGGAGGGGCCATGTGGGCATCGGTGCGCACGGCGAACCTGAGTTGGTGCTTGAGCGGGGAGTTGAAGATGTCAGGTGGAGGAGGAATACCTTCCGTTTCTCCTTCCTCTCTCGCTTCCCTTGCACCTGCCGTTGCTGTTGCTCCTTCTGCTGCTCCTGCTTCTTCTGCTGCTTTTGCTACTGCTGCTGCTCCTGCTGCAGCTGAAGCTGCTGCTGCCTGTGCCAGGCGCAGAGAGTACAGCCTGCCCAGCTCGCCCTTCTCCCACTGACTCGCCTCTTCCTCTCCCCTTCCCCCCTCTCCATCCCCCTCCCCCTCCCCCCCACCTTCCCCTCCATTCTCCCCACCATCGTCACTTGAGCCAATACTGTACACCATAGCTATCACGCTATCCTTCCTCTCCCTCTCCCCACTGCCCATCTCCCCTCCACTCCCACTGCTGCTGCTGCTACTGCTGCTGGAGCACTCCTCGATCCCTTCGTCATCAGCTATACCACCTTCGGCTGCTCCCATTTCTCCTCCTACTTCCTCATTTGGACGTGCCACCAATACCACTTCCCCTTGCCCCTCCCACTCCCCTTCCTTCCCCCTCACCCCTACCTCCGCCCCATCCCCTCCCCCTTCCCCCTTGACGAGCACTCCCGCTCCTGCAGCGTCCCCCAAGCCCCCATCCGCGTGCGTATCCCCTGTCCCACCACTTGCACCACTCTTTGCGGCGCCAAAGGGGGAGTTGGGGAAGGCAGCGGCAGCGAGGGCGGCGAGGGCGAGGGGAACGAGGCAGTAGGCGAGGGCGAGCGCGGAGAGGGGCAGGTGCAGGCGCGTGACGGCGAGGCCCAGCAGGAAGAGGATGAGCGAGGACGCCTCGAATGCGCCCGCCTGTGCGCTTATGATGGCGGACGAGAGGCGCGGGACCAGTACACAGAAGTTGATCTGGTGGGGGTGCGAGAGGGGGAAGGAGGGGAGGGCGGAAGGGACCAAGGGGGAAAGAATGGATGGCGGAGAGGTGTGGGACAAGGACGCAGAATTTACTTTGGCATTGAACGAAGTCGGGATGGCAGAAAGGAGAAGAGTGAAGGAAAGAGGGAGAGAGCGAGAGGACAGCGCTTAGAGGCTAGGGACGGTATAAGGCGTGGGAGTGGAGGAGGGGAGGAATCAGGGAGAGCGAGAAGGTGGGAGGCGGGGCACGCACGGAGGAGGTGAAGATGAAGGGGCCACCAAGGGAGAGCAGGAAGAATGCGGCAAAGAAGAGCACCCCAGACGCCTCCTCCTTCCCCCCACTGCTCCCCTCTGCCGTCCCCCCTGCGCTCCCCTGCCCCTCCGCCTCAAGCTGGCGCCGCTGCACCCCGGGGTCACTGCGCATCACCTGCTCCCCCGGACAACCTCCACTCCTGCGCCAACAAGCATGTCCTTCACCCCACCCTGTCCTCTCCACCCGTGCTTTGCCCATCACCTTCACCGTGCGCGCAGCTTCTCCCGCCCCATGCGCCCCCCTTATTCCCCCTATCAGCTGCGCCCACGAACCCCCTGGTATGGGCAGTCCCCCGTTCAGCCACGCTGCTTCGACCCGCATCAACCCCCGTTGGGGCCGCGCACCTGTGACCGCCACGGCAGCGGCGCTCGAATTCGCGGGTTCTGCCGCGGCTGGCACTACCACAGTGGCATTCGCGGTACTGTTACTATTAGTACCATTAGTGCCGCTAGGTCGAGTCGCGCCGTCGGGCGCGGCGTCATTATGGGCCCCGGGCGCGAACGCGCCGGCGCCAGCGAGGGCGAGGAGGCCGAGGGCGAAGATTGCGGTGCCAATGAGCGTGGTGCGGCGGGGTCCAGTGCGGTCAAGCACGAGACCCACCACAATGGCGCTCGCGCTGTTGGTGAACATGCCTGGTGAAGGAGGGGGTGGGGGGGAACCGGCGGACGAAGGGATTATCTGGGAAATGGAAGGGAAGAAATCCGGGTGGTTCCGGAATGGAAACCGGAAGGCGACCATCGCCTGAGAACATGAAATCTGAGTGGAGGAGGCGCTGAGAAAACTCGTGTCGTTCATTGCAAATTGCGGATTAACCTTGGGGGCATCATGCGAGTTGAGTAGGTAGGCAACGCACTGAGGGTGTAGGCGGCGTTGAGCAGACTCATCTGCCGCGCGCACGGCACGGGCTCGCCTGTCGGACACGCGTCGCTGAAGGCGCCGACTGGACCCGTCAGCGCGGGGAGGAGGCCCGAGTATCCGAACGTGACGCCTGGCGGGGCGGCGGCATGGGAGGGGAGAAAGACTACGATGAAATGCGTGGATGTCGGTTCAACCGAGCGGACTGCGTTTTGGTATACAATCAGTGAGAACCAAAAACGGCGACCTCGAGACCCAACACTAGCAGCGGGAAATGAGTGAAGCTAGTAAATTGGACAAAGGATGCTAAGTGGAGGGTCGAACCTGCAGTGAGAAAGGCGGCGACGATGGAGGTAGTGACGAGCAGAACACGGCGACCGCGAGACAACTTCTCTGGCCGACACGCCATCGCGTCGCAATGTCACCCAATTGTTAGCTGGGACGGATTAATCCCGAAATTGGTATCTACGGGTCGTCTGTGCATCTATCTTGCGAATAATGCCGAGTCCTAAAATGCGCCCGAAGTTCCAACCTTCCCTGGATTCCAACTTGAAGTCAGGCGAATCCACATAGTTGGTCCTCCAGGGTTGTTACTGCGACGAATGCCATCACGCATCACATTGCTGGTGTTGATTTCTGAGGGACCGCGTCGCGCAGTGGTTGGATTGGGAAGTCCCCGTTATTGGGGAAATTGGGCCAACTGCTGAATTTCGGACCTCCAGGTTGTGCCGCTTTCGCGAGGCTGTGGATCTGGTTTGGTTTTCGCTTTCGCTCCGCTGCCTCTTACACCGCCATAGCGCGCCACTGACAAAGCTGAGCCGAACGTGTCAGAACCAATCATAAAGCTGGTTAGCTTGGCTCTTGGCGGTGGGAAGGCCAGCGCATAGGTCGTTTCGGCAAAACTGGCACAGCGTGACTGGAGCCAGATGGCGTTGGGTTGTTGGTGACGTTGTGTGGTCACCGCACGCGTCAAACACGCAACAGATCAAATAAATACCCAAACACCTGTTGGGGAACGTTAGGATAACTACAGCAATATCGCCACCAGCACAAACAATAACACTTTCATGCACATATATTGCTCGTCCAGTCAACAACACCATAACTGCTCAAATAAACATTAGGAACACTTTAGACAAAGTAAGGAGAACCGCACCACTTTTCAAGAGGCGGGCGCAGATGGCTTCATCTTCTTCCTCTCGCGCTTCTCCTTGCGCTTGAGAGAGTCCATGTGTGCCTTGAGTACCAGTGCATACGCCGCCTGAAACTTGGCATGCTCCCGAGGTCCCAGCTGCAGTAAGAGATACAGCATCCAGAGAGCACAAAACAAACACCCCCAACAGCTCACGTCAATTCGGCAAGCAGCAACTATTGCAGAAAGCATGTTGAAATGCATGGGGAACGCACATGCATGGGCGGAACCACACACTCACCAGAGTGCTGATCTTCCTCTTGCCGTCAGTGGCCCTCACCACACACCGGTACTCCGCAGCACTGCTCTCGTCCTCCTCCACATCATCCCCCCCTGCCTTCTTCTCGCCTCCCTTGGGCTTCTTGCGCAGATTGGCTGCAGAGGATGGGGTCGACAGGAGCAATGCAGGAACGGAATAAGCACAGGGGGGTTTTGATATAGAAGAGAAGCACCACTGGCGTGCAATCGCTCCCAGCAATCCATCTGCTGATTCCTGGAAGCAGGTGTCACTTCCACTCACCTCTTGTACACTTCAACCCTTCCACCCACACCTGTTTAACAAGCCCCGTCACCCCCACCCCCCCACGGGCACTCACAGCGCTTGAGAGTGACCCACACGGTGCCGGCGCCCTTGTGGCGCTCGTACAGCTTCGTGAGCTCGTTCAGGAAGGGGTCCGGCTCCAGCAGCATCTGCCCTCGCAGGGAGGAGGGGGTGGGGAGCAGCGGGAGGATGAGGAGATGAGGGCGCAGGGTAGTGGGGGTGGGCAGTAGGGTTAGGAGCGCAAAGACACAGCTTGGTGAGCTTGTTAGGAAGGGGTCCAGCAGCAGCATTCGCCACGCAGGCAGAGGGTGGGGAAGGGAAGAGAGGGCAGGCGGCAGGTAGCAGGGACCCAGGGCGGAGGGGCATGAGCAGCGGCGCCAAGGGCGCAAGGGGATCCTCAAGGCATCCAAAACAACTTGCTGAGCAAGTTCAGGAAAGGGCCCGGCATCAATATCTGCCTGGTAGGCAGGGGGGAAGAGGGGGAAGAGGCGGGCGGGCAGAGGGGCAAATGGCGCAACGGGAGGAGCAGAAAAAAAAGGGCAAGATTGCAGGGAGGGGGAGTGGAAGGCTGCTCAGTGAGACGTGACTGAGTTGCTGATCGAACTTGAGAGAAGGGACAGGCGCAGTGAGAAAGGGGTGTTGTGAAGTGGGAGCAGGTGAGAAAGGCGGTGGAAAAGAAGGCGTGTGTGGACTGGATTGACGAGACCAAGGAGGGTGGAGAGAGGGCGGCCGACGACGGGAGCGGGGGTGAAGAGTGAGAGGAGATGGAAGATGGGAGAGGGGAAGGATGTGGATGTAGAGGAAGCATCAGGAGCTGCACTGGAGTACAGAGCGATGGCGCCGGGGGGGAGATGCAGAATGGAGAGTGGGGATGGGGTGGGGATGGGGTGGGGAAGGGGGGAAACGTGGAGTAGGGGTGGGGGGGAGAGGAAGGGGGAGTGGGGGGGTGAAGGAGGTGAGGAGGGTTTGAAGAGAGGCAAAAAGGACAGATCAAGTCCGTTGGCCATTCATTAAGTAATAAAGTACAGTCACACTAAAGAAAACGAGGTAGAGCAAAACTTCTTAAACGTAGCGCCTGCAAAATTGCTCCTGCTGCTGCTTCTATATCACTACCAGCCAATCCACCCCCTCTCTGGGTTACTCCTGTCGTTTCCCCTCTACCGCTACTCCTAGCAACGCCTGCTCCTCCGCCTTCTGCTGCTGCTTCGTCACCGGCAGCGCAGCAGCCGCAGCAGCAGCGGCGGCCTTTTCCCGCTCGACAGCCCAGCTGTACGCGAGCATGCCGAGCACGGCGACAGCCATGCCCATGAGGTTCTTGGCGGTGAGCGGCGAGTGGAAGAGCGCGGAGCCCAGCACGAGCACGAACAGCGTCTTCATGTGCCCCAGCACCTGGAACGACACCGCCGAGAACTTTCCGATGCAGAGGTACATGGAGAGGTTGACAAAGAGCGCGAGCACGCAGGAGAGCAGGATGAACGCCACGGACACGGGGGTCGGGTGGAAGGCCAGCAGGCTGCGGCGCGTGAGGAGGTAATCCACTGTGGGGCCGGAGATCACGAGCAGCACGGCTTGATACGGCGCCGTCTTGCTGAGCAGGTCGAACGACCCCACGCTGTACTGCTTCTGTAGCGACCCGATGAAGATCTGCTGGAAGGTTGTGGAGAGCACCGCGACGATCGCAGCGATCAGCCCGGCGGTGTTGACGGTGACGTCAGTGACGGTGCAGATGCCCACGCCGATCATCACGCCCACCACGGCGGCTTTCACGGCGGGCGAGAACGTCTTGCGGTGCAGCAGCGCCTCGAAGAGGCAGCAGGCGGGGATGATGGAGAGCTTGGTGATCTGGTAGAACCCCACGGAGTTCACCATGAGGGACACGTTCATGCTCACGACAGCCAGGCTCGCCACGCACGCGAACCACAGCAGCGTGCGCGCCGGCACGTGCTTGCTCGGCGCGAGCGCACCCGCGGCGGTGGCGGCGTTGCCGACGGCGGCGGTGGTGATGAAATGGAGCGCGGTGAGCGAGGTGGCGAAGGCGAAGCCGTAGGAGGTCATGAGGGCCTTGTTGACCAGGATGATCCCCACCGACGACACCACGTTCATGCCCCACGCGCCCGCCCATGACAGCGCCGCCGGGTCGTTCAACATCGCGGCGGACGGGAGGAGTCGGGCGCGGAGGGCGCGAGCGGGAGGGGGGAGGGCTCGCGGGCGTGTTGCGTCTGCTGCAGATTACGGCTGCGCGCTAAGCGTCGCACGGACTACGCGTGCCGACTGGCTATTGTACAGCCACTAGCGACCGGCTTGAAGTGTTCATGGAGCAGGCTGACGAGAATAGGTTGTCGCGTGGTAAGCGGTGGGTTTACCGCGACAGTACTGCTCGGCCGAGACCAATTCCGATGCTGGATCTTTGAAAGAGCGCACGAGGAGGAGGACGGCAGCGAGATCGCACCCTCTACTCTCTAACGCCGTAACGTCGCTATCCTCCCCCGTGCTGATCGAACTGTTCTTGCCGCTTCGCGTCGCAAGAACAGACCCCGAGCCTGCAAGGGCAACAGGCAGGGGGGACACAGACGGGGAGGAGCGGTTTTTTTTTTTTTAATCTGGAAATTTGGAAAGGGTTCGCAGTGGAATGACTGTTTTTTGTGCCCATTCAAACTGCTCGCGACGATCCGGCACGAATTTCAGTCTCAGGCATATGGACGCATGTGCTGAAGCCAGATGGTGAATTAGGTCAAAAGGCCCACTAGACAATAGCAAGATTCGATTCTTGCAGTTACCGCGACAAGCGAAGGCCGTAATGGTTTGAAGGCCAACATTTGCCGACCGTGGAGATCGATGGGATGGTTACTAGACTCCGTGACGCCGAATTCATGAATCCAGCAATAAGTTTTTTCATTCGACATCTTTCGATATCGGAATCCGAATATTGAAGCGCACCAGGTTGCGCTTCGATACCTAGATTAAATCACGCATCCTGGTAATTCTCACCTGATTGCGCGTCATCCCTCAGTGCTGTTACAGTGACGAAGAGCGAACACACCAATAGCAATAAGCTGGGTGAGGGTTAATAGCAGCGGGAGCTTACCTTGTGAATCTGCGGGGATCTAAAGCTAGCTGGTTGATCGACGGCCGCAGCTGGTTGGCTAGCTTCGAAATAGCAGACTAGGAACACAGCAGTTTAGTAGAGGTGGTGATATTTGGAAATGATGAGATGATGCAATGCAGTGCCAAGCGAAGCACAGGTGTGCACCTTGGGATTCTGTTCTGACACGCAGGTGCTGAGCGGAGGCACGGAGGCACAGTGGCACGCGGTGACGGTGGGCGGAGGGAAGCAGGCGCGCGGTTCAAGCGCGGCGGGGATGGCTGGGCAGATGAAGCGGGTGCGACGCGGTGCCTGAAAGGAGGGGTGCGGCGCGGATCAAGGGAAAAGCGGGAGCCCCATTCTGAGGCGTTGGGGGAAAGGAGGTAACGTTCAGGATAAATTTCGTGTGGTTACCGCTAACGAAGCTATGCGAGCGGCCACAAGGGGAAATCGTGGGTAGCGACGAGAACTACGTACTCTCTATGAGCGAACCTGGCAACAGTTTGAAGCACAAAAAGGTGGCCACACCGCTTTTTTGCGCAAAGCAAGTGTACACAGATTTCTGGTGGGCACGAATCGGCCCTGAACCCTCGGAACCGAGCCAGACTGCTCCCGCCACAGAGGCACTGGAGCGTGCCGCCGTTGGCTGATAAAAAGGCACACCGAGCCTGCTTCAAACCGGACCTGCCACCATCTCCCGCCATTCCAAACCAACTTCAGACCATCAGCTATCATACCTGTTTCTCCTCCCGTCCTCCCTAATCCAGACCGAGTTTCTTGCTCCCCTCGTCGCAGTCTAGAATTATCCTTGATCGTACTGTGGACCCGTCTCACTAATAACTCACCGACTCTACAACGCTAGGCCTTCATGCAGACTCTATCTTGCCGTGTCGCGCGATCGTGCAGCACATCCATTCCACGGCTGGAATCCGCTGGAGTAGGTGTGGTTGCCAGAGCACAGATCTCGTCCGTTCCAGTATTTTCCTGTCAAACCACACACTCGTCCTTCCCCGCATTGCGATCAGCTCGAATAAGTTCGCCAAGTCTAAGACATGTAGGGTGCTCTGTAGCCGTTACTGCCCGTAATTCCGCTTTCTCCATTTCCCATGGCTCTCGTAATCCCATCCAAACTTCCTTCCGCGACTCGTTCACTCCCTGCGAGTCGCTATCGTCCCAGGGCCTGACGGCTCTGCTTCCTTCCTCGCGCTCGCGTATCGGCTATTCGTTCCGCGTGGTCAGCCCGTCGCGGCGACCAGTTAGGGTTTCCGCGTCGTGGAAGTCCGGCAAGCCCAAGGTCAAGGCCAAGGCCGGCAAGTCCAAGGGCGCCGCGGCGTGGCAGTCCGCCTACAGCAACGCGTCGCGGAAGGGCAAAAGCGGCGATCAATCGCGGCGCAGACAGCGGGGCCGGCGTGGAGGCAGAGGCTCGAGCGAGGGGGATAACGATGGCAACGGCACGCTTGCGTACGGGCGGGGGGCAGGGGCGGGAGCGGAGGCGGCGGGGGCGGGTGACGTGTCGTCGTCGGCGTCGTTCGCGTTCTATCACGCGGGGCTGGGCGGCATGCCCATCGCGGCCGAGCTGGTGAGCGCGCCGCTGAGCGCCAAGAGCGGCGGCGCGGAGGAGGCGCTGCAGTCACCGGATAATCTCGCCATCCCCGCTAAAGGCGGTCTCGAGGACGCGGAAGCCGCGGTCGCCGCCGTGGACAGGTGTGTGCTGTCTTACGTGGGCTGGGTACTTGCTGATTCAGAAAGATGGGTGTTTGCTGGCGTGGCTGACACGGTGGAGGGAAGGCGGCACACTGCTCGTCGACTCGCGCTGCTCTCCTGTTCGGCACACGGCCGCTCGTTGGGGAAGAAAGCGTGGGGGGGAAAGGGGGGGAAGGTGGGGGAGGGGATGGCATGGGCGCAGCTGCTATAGCGCAGAGTGCGCGAGTGCTGCGTATCGCGGGCAAGCGAGCGACGCCAGCGGCTTCGAGCCACTCAATCCCCCGCCATTTTTGTCTACTACGTGTCTTTGTGTGCGTGTTCGTGCATGGTCGGACGCACGACAGCGCGGCGGCGGCAAGCAACGCGCTGCAGCTGCTGTCGGGGGCGTGCGTTCTGCCGCACCCCGACAAGGCGCACAGAGGAGGCGAAGACGCCTTCTTCATCCTCGATGGCGCTGCCGTTGGTCAGTGCTGCCTCTCTCTCGCTCTCGCTCCCATTACTTACTCACACCCCTTCACGAATCTATTCCGCAATTCTTCATGCTCTTTCTCCCCATCCGCTCACCCCTCCCACCCTCTCACCCTCATTCCCCTCTCTCTCCCCGCTCTTTCCCCTTCTCCACGCACACCCCGTTGCGGCGAGCAGGGGTGGCGGACGGGGTGGGGGGGTGGGCGGAGATAGGCGTGGACGCGGGGCTGTACGCGCGGGAGCTGATGGGGCACGTGCAGCGCGCCGTGGAGGACGAGCCCAAGGGCGGCGCGGACCCCATGCGCGTGCTGGAGAGGGCGCACAGCAGCACCGCCAGCTACGGCTCCTCCACCGCCTGTGTCGCCGTGCTGCAAGCCGACGTGAGATGCCATGCGCTGTGTGCGTGTGGATTTGCACGCTAGCGTGACTGACTCTCGTTTTATCCTCTCTCTCACCCCAACAATTCCACTGCCTCTTCTCCTTGCACCATCCTAACCCTCACTCACACCCCAACCTCCAACCCCCCCCACTCTTTTTCCGCCCGAGCACGCGAGCAGCAGCTGTAGGCAGAGAATCAGGGTGACAGCAGGTCTATCTGTTTCTCTTACATCCTCACACCCCACCCTCCACCCCCCGCTTCCGCCTTTCCCCCCCCCCCACCCGTGCACGCAAGCAGCAACTGCAGGCGGCGAATCTGGGCGACAGTGGGTTTCTGATCATCCGGCACGGGCACGCCATATTCAAGTCGCCCTCGCAGCAGCACGACTTCAACTTCCCCTTCCAGCTCGGCAGCGAGGGCGGCGACTCGCCTCTCTCCGCTGATGTGAGCCACTGTTTCGCTGCACACCACACGTGGCCTGCGAATTCTGCATGCTTCTAGGCGCTTCAGAACGAGTCCTTTCTTGCTCTCTACCTCTCCCTTCCACTCTGTTTCATGCTCAATGTTAAACCTCACCATCTCTTCTCTCCCGTTTATCATTCCCCTGCTGCCCACCTGCAGGTCTACTCTCTCCCCGTGGCACCAGGAGACGTGGTGGTGATGGGCACGGACGGGCTGTTCGACAACGTGTTTGACAACGAGGTCTCCTCCCTCGTCTCCCACGCACTCCTCCGCGGCCTCTCCCCCCAGTCCACCGCTGAGCACCTCGCTGCCCTGGCCCGCGACCGCGCTCTCGACCGCTTCCGCCTGTCTCCGTTTGCACGCGCGGCGCAGGAGGCGGGGTATCGGTACATTGGGGGCAAGCTGGATGATATCACTGTGGTGGTGTCGTATGTCACCGAGGGGAAATAGCGTGGTGTGGTGGCGCATGCAGCCTGTGGCGGTCGGTCACAGACTCACATGGTGTGGCTGTGGCATGTGTGTGGTGGAGCAAGGAGAGGGGGGGGTTGATGGGAGGCCTGCTGGGGAGGCAGGCCGTGTTGCTTGTACGTAGATATATGCAGTTAGTGTATTCCCTTCCTTGGGAATGTATGCGATACTGTAAATCCCTGGTTAGTGCATTCACATGCAAACAGAGGAATAATGATGGATTGGGTTAGGCTGTAGTATGTAATGCATTTTCAGGCATACAATGCATGCTACGCAGAACAGAGTCTGTTCAACAGACCACCACCCCGGCATGCGTACGGTAATATTGTTTGATTAAAAGCAGCATGGTATCATGTGAGGAATGGTGCTGTGGTGGTTGGAGCCAGCCAACAATTTGTCAGACGATTCAAATGGTTTTGTTAGACGGGAACGGAGGGTCGGGCAAAGGAAGATCACAGTGTGGAATGGTCATTTCACGCAATAGCCATCCCGTGGATTGGCAGCACATGAGGAAGGGGGTGTAACAACAAAGGCAAAGGAAGCTCATGCTGTGTTGCAGGTTGTGTTGTGAGCTGCAAAAGAGGGACGTGTAGTGTATCATGGCTGGGAATTAATTGCTCAGATACGGTATACATTCAGCCATTGTTACATGGAATTACAAGGACATGACATGCATGAATGCACAGCGCTTTGAAGGGCGTATCCTCAGCACTGCACCATAGTACAGACTTCCACCAGACTGAACCATGCGAGCAACTATTTGCACTGCACAGCACCGTTTCGGCACGGAGCAAGCCTGTACTGAAGTGCAGGGACACACCACATCATTATTAAAAAGCACGATATATAGTATTGTTGGAAAGAAAGCTGTAACCAACCAACCTCTCAGCCTGTATACATGGCGCATGTGGCCATCTTGACCAGACTGCCCTTTCCAGCAGCTGAACGCACAGCTGCACTCAGTTTCGTCTCCAAACCCTTGCCCCCTCAAGCTTCCTCTAACCCCCCCTCCCACCCTCCCTCTCCCCTCACAGACTGCTGCTCTCCTTGCCCCACTCCCCCTTCACGTCCATCCCCAAGCCCTCCTTCCCCCCCGCCCTCCCCCCTGCCCCTGCGCCCTCCCCCCACAAGGCGGCCCCCATGGCCCCCCGGGGGCTGCCGAAGTGCGCCAGGACGCGGCCGAGGGGGGAGAGCATTCCAGGGGAGAGCAGGCGGGGGGACATGGTGCGGGGGGAGGCGGTGCGCGGCAGGGGGGAGAGGTTGGGCCCACGCGAAGAGGGGGAGATGGTGCAGGAGCGGGGGGAGCGGTAGGGGGAGAAGGCGGAGAGCGACTGGTTGGCGCGCAGGGAGGGGCGGGGCGGGGCTTTAATGGTGAGACCCTTGAGGTGCGATGCGCGCCCCTTCACACCCGCACACATGCCCCTCGCCCTGCTGCCTCCACACGGGGACATACTGTGGCTGGCTGTCAGCGCGCTGCTGCTAGGAGCACTGTGTGCCGATGCCCCTGCTGGTCCTGCTGCTGCTGCAGCTGCTCCCTTTTCCTCCCCACTCTCACTCTCACTCGCCCCCCTGCTGCCCTCGCCCCCCTCGGTGCTGCGCCTGCCCCTCTCCCCCAGCCGGGACGGCTGCCTCTGTCCCCCAGAGAACAGCGCCCGCCTCCCCCTGCCCTCGCCCCTATCCGCCCTGCCCTCGTGGCGCGTGGGGGGGCCGGAGGGGGTGGAGGAGTTAGAGGCCTGGCAGGGGGAGTCCTGGGCGGGGAGGAAGGAGGAGCAGGCATGCGGGGGCAGGGGGTAGGGGGAGGCTTTATCTGGAGGCGAGGCATAAGCAGGGAAGGTCTTATCTGGGGAAGCGTCGATAAATGGTGTTGCGTCAGCAGCACCATGCGTGTCGCTCGCCCTCCCTCCCTCTCCCACTGCCCCTCTGCCGCTGCTCCTCTCCCCTGTCTCGTCCTCCCTTGCACCTTCTATCCACCCCTCCTCCTCTCCACCTCCCTCCCCTTCCTCCCCTCCTCCGCCCCCCTGCGCCCCACCCCCCGCGCCCCCCAGCAGGGGAGAGCAGGCGCACTGTTCCAGGGCGGCCTGGGTGCCGGGGGAGTCAGGCAGAGCAAAGGAGGCCGCGGAGGGCAGGGCAGGCGGAGGGGGAAAGGGCGGAGGGAGGGGGAAGGGCGGAGGCAGGGGGAAGGAGAGAGGGGCCGCCACACACATCTCTTCCGCTCCAAACCCCCCTGCAGATGCACCCAGTGGCCCTGACCCCCCCACCCCTGCGCCTGCGACGGCAGCGGCAGCAGCAGTAGCGGCGGCGGCAGCAGCGGCAGCGGCAGCAGCGAGGGTTACAGCAGCGGGGGCGATGGTGGCGGCGGCAGCGGGGGGGAAGAGCTTGAAGGGGTCGAGCAGCGGCATGGCGGGCAGGCCGGGGCCGGGCGAGAGCGAGAATGGACTCATGAGCGGGCCGAATAGCGGGTCCGCTGCAGGGGGGCGAGATGGGTGGAGGGAGAGGTAAGTTTAGGGCGTTGGGGAGGGGAGGAGGAAAAGCAAAGGCGAATGGTGCTTGAAATGAAAACGAAGGAGGGGGAATGGCAAAAATGGATGGAAAGGTGGAGAGATGGAAGGAGGGGGAGGTGAGAGTGGAGGGATAAGTGGAGCCATGGCAGTGGCAGCAAGCAGGAGGTGAGCAGAGAGAGGAGAAGCGGGACGCACCAAGTGGGGAGTTGAAGGGAGACAAGCTCCCTTGAAATGATTCCTCCGATAGAAGGGCCGACAGCTGTTGGTGCTGGTGCTGGTGCTGGTGGTGGGCGTGGGTGTGGTGCAATGGGTGGTGGGGACGGTGGTGGTGCGGGTGCAGGGAGGTGTTGATGTGGGCGAGAGGGAGCGATGGCACTTGCAGGTCCGCCGCATACCCATCACCACATCCCTTCACGCCCTCCTTGCCATCCCGATCCGCGTGCCCATCCCCATGCCCATGCCCACCCCCTGACCCATGGTGCTGCCCCTCGTGCATCCCCTCCCCCTCCTCCTCCCCGTCTGTCTCCATCTTCACTGCGTGCTGCAGCGGCTGCTGCCACGTGCACTGCTCTGATTGGACGAGGAACTCGGCCGGCTGCTCTGGGATCTGCTGCAGGGGCACGTGGCGGTACAGCAGCGCTGATTGGTCGGCGGATTGGCCCGTGAACTGGCCGGTGAACTGGCCGGTGGGTACCTGCAGTGGTGGTGAGACGAGTAGACAGGGAAGGAGAAAGGAGAGAGAGGGAGAGAGAGGGAAAGGAAAAGGAGGAATAAAGGGGCGGATAAGCTCATAGAGGCATGAGTTACAAGGGCGGATAAGCGGCAGCACACGCATGCTCAGGCCAATATGCACCTCCGCCAACCACCACGTACCATTGCACTCGCTTCCCCATATGCTGCTGCTGCCTCCTCCCCTCTCTCGCCCACCCCACATCCAGCCCCCGGCATGCTTGGGGCTGCAAAGGCGTCAGCAGGAGGGCGGCTGTAGCAGCCGCTGTAGCTCTGGCTGTAGCTGAGAGTCTTGGGCGGCAAAGCGTGGTGGGGCGTGGAGAGGAGGAGGGAGGAGGAGGAGGAGGGGAAGACGAGAGGCGTGGTGAGGTAGTGGGAGAAGGAACCAGGGGGGTGCGCTGGTGGTTCAGAGGCAGAGGCAGGGAGAGGAGGGGCAGGGGGAGGAGGGGGAGCAGGAGCGTAGAGAGGAGAGGGAGCAAGAGGTGCAGGAGGGGCGAGCACAGGAGCAGGGCGAGCATCTGTAGCACCAGTGCTCCACGTGGCTCCCTGACTCATCATCTGCTCGCTGCTGACGTGGCAGCCACTGCTGCCTGCCATGGATGAGTCGAGGGAGGGCGATGGGGCACGGGAGGGCGCAACTGGGGCGGGTGATGGGGCAGGGGAGGGCGCTGCTGGGGAAGGTGCAGCTGGGGAGGGGCGGGGTGCGATGGAGGGGGAGGAGCGGGGTGGCAGGGAGGGGGAGGGTCGTGCGGCAATGGCAGGCGAGCCGTGTGCTGACATGGCGCTCGTTGACCCCACTGTGCCAGTTGGCGATGGTGCTGACGTGGAAAACGCTCGTGGCGACGGTGATGGCATGGCTGCCGCAGCTGCTGCCGCCCGGGGGGAGGGGGAGTGCGCCACTCCGCCCGTGGGGGAAGGGATGGGGAGAGAGGGCGTGGGGGGGAGCGAGCGGGGCTTGTGGGGGCCTTGGGGGGAGGGGAGGAGGGAGGAGGGGGAGGGGCAGAGGAGGGGCGCGGAGGGCGAGGGGCACATGCGCCACGAGGGCAGGTCGTGTGCCACGTCAGCGACCGGCGATGTGATGAACTCGTGGCTGGCCTTGCCCCGCCAGCGGCGCGGTGCTGGCGAGAGGGAAGAGGCCGGCGGGAAGAGGAGTGGCCTGGAGGAGGGAAGGGGAGAGATAAGGAAGGGGATGGGAGAGAAGGGGAGAGAAAGGGATTGAGTGGGGCAGTGGAGATGGGGAAAGCACGGGCGCTCAGATGCAGGGTGGAAGAGCGGCGGAGAACGGCAAAAGCGGTGGAGAGCGAGTGGAGCAGAGATGGGCAGGGGAGGCGCGGGTAAGTGAGGAGTGTTACCCGGCGGGGACGTGCACGGGGGCGAGGAAGGCGAGCTTGGACGGCAGCTGCAGCCCGTTGGACGCCAGATGCAACCCGTGGCTGCTGTGGTTGCCGTGGCTGCCATGACTGCCCTGCCCTGCACTGCCGTGGCTCGCACTGCTGCTGCTCGCATTGCCGTTACCGCCGCCCCTGCTGGCAGTAGCGGCGCCGGGGCCAGCGTTGCGGGACCGCTTGCGAGAGATGCTGGCAGGACGGAGGGCAGGGGAGTGGTGGAGAGGAATGGAGAGGCATGGAGATGAGGCGCATGCGTGCGTGCTGGCATGGGCGGGAGTGCACTGAAAACATGTGCGTGTGATTGCGTGGCGTCAGTGGCATGGGGTGGCAGCAAGAGCAGGAAACCCAGGCAGCAGCAGCTGGCAGGGAGCGGCTACCTGCGGATGGCACGGGAGTAGCCGGGGGCGACGAGCAGAGGCGAGCCGTCGGCGTTGAGGGGGGTGGGGGCGTTGAGGGGCGTGGCGGCCGTGAAGCACACGGCGAAGAGGCGGTTGTCACACTTGGATGACAGCACCGACAGCGCCAGCTTGAACGTCGCTCGCCCTGTGGGTGGGAGGAAGTAGGGCAGTTGGGGGTGATAAGAAGGGGCGGGGCAGGGTGATGCTTAAGTGGACTTGAGAGAGAGGCGGTTGCTTGCCACACTTGGATGACAGCACTGACAGCGCCAGCTTGAACGTGGCCCGCCCTGTGGGGAGGAGGGGGGGCAGAGGGATGGGGGAAAGAGAAGAGAGGACGTCCGTTACGGTGGATCCAGGGGCAGCGGCAAGGAGAGCAGCGTAACGGCAGGGACACAGACAGGGAAAGTACTCTGAGCACATGTGGGGTTTACGTGTGAAAATGTGTGAGGGGCGGAGGTACACCTGCGAGCATCTGCGAGGGGCGGAGGTGTGCGGGGAACTCGACGCCGTTGAAAGTGGTGAAGAGCGGTGGCTCCACCATCGCCTGCCCCTCCTCCAGCTTCACCGCGCTGCTCATGCGTAAGGGGGGGAGGGGAGGGAGGTTGTGGGGCAGAGGGCAGTAGCGAAGGGGATGGTAAGGGATGGGAGAGTGGGAGGAGGAGAGATAAGAGCAGGTGGCGGAAGGAGAGAGGCGTGGAGGAAGAAGGAAGAGCAGGTGCATGAATGATTGTATTCCTCGAGAGGGTGAAAGAGCGGGCTGATGAGAGGGAGAGTGAGACGGGAGAGGGCGGAGAGGGGAGAGGGCGGAGGGGGGAGAGGGCGGGGGGGGGGGAGAGGGCGTGGGGGGGAGAGGGCGGGGGGGCGGAGAGGGCGTGGAGGGGAGAGGGCGGAAGGGGCGGGGGTACCTGCAGTCGTGCGAGTAGGTGAGCGAGGCCGTGACAGCGAGGTCCTTGCTCACCGGGTTACCCTGCACGCACGGGGCCACGGAAAAGGAGTCGAGGCGGACGTGAGGCGAGTGGAGGAAGGCGGGGGGAACGGCAGAGAGCGTGGGACAGGTGTGGCGCAGATCAGATGCTGCCTGCACGCGCACTGCGTGACGCGACCCCCCCCCCCTGCGCACCTGGTCGTCCGTGAGCTGCACGTGCAGGACGAACTTCCGCCGGCACGACGCCTTGCCGCCCAGCACCGACATCACCTGCACCAACCGCGCGAACCGACGTCACGCCACGTCAGACGAAACGACAACCAACGCGATAGTGCTTGAATTTCGAGAGTTAACGGCGTGAGCGCGAGGAGCCGGCGAGCGACGTACCTCGGGCGAACCGGGGCTGGCGTGGCCGTCCTTGCTGGGGCTGCTCACGACCAGACGATGCGTGCACACTGCCGTGGAAGGCGGCGCGGGTTGCGCGTCATCCATATCGTGCTCCATGGCGTCCGGCGCCACGCGCGGACCCCTCCTCGCGAGAGATGATTGATTTTGTTTTAAGAATGTCGTGCGGACAGGCAACGCTCCTCACAACATGCTCGCGGGGGAGCAAGGGGCGCGGCCGGTGACGCGTGCTGCTGCTACGCACGCCGCGAGACGAGCGGCGACGAGCAGAGAGCGGCGAGCACGGAGAGTGGATGCTTGCGAGGCGAGATGCGAGTCTAAGGAGACGAGGAGAGAAGGTGCGGTGGGAGGAATCCAACGGCGTTCAGCTGAAGTAATGCGTTCTCGCGATCAGCGGAATGGGCTTTAGAGCACGCGAGCATGCCGATATTGCACCAAAGCAGCGACGCCTTACAAGCCTCTGGGGGAGCGGGAGAAACGTGACGACGACGAGGAGGATGCTGAAGGACGCTAGCTGGGTGCGTGGAGGCAGATGCGACACGAGGAGTGCCGAGAACAAACTGACTACAGCCAAGGGGAGACCGACGCTGTGGGTGGACACGTGGCGAATCCAAGCCACAAAAGGCGCCACAGGATAGTTTGGCGACATCGTCCGTTATTCGCGCGTTGAACGACCGCCAGGTCTTGCTTGCAGAGATGGCACGGAGGTTGCGGAGAGAGGCGCTTCGGGAAAAAAGGATTTGATGCTGTAAGAACATACGACAAGTGAGTGCAACGGCTAGTTTGTGGCGCGAGGAGCAGGACTGGCGAATACAGTAGAGCAGCCATTGCCTTGCCGTGCCCTGCCGACGAAGTGTCGGCGGAGAAATAAGGGAGAGACAAGCCAATAGCGGAGCGAGTCAAGCTGCGAAAGCGAAGCAAGTGGATGAGAAAAAGTGCAGAAAAAGGCATTCTCGAGGCGATTTTTTTTCGAGAATGCACCGCGACTCGTTTTGGAGACTAGGGGGGTCAGAGCCACACGATACGTGTGACTGGAAGCGAAATGAAACCTCTTTTACGTCCACGTGGCATTGAATGTGATGGTGCCCGAAACAAACATCTGGCAGTGCGCTGGGGAAACTATCTAGGTAGGCTAGCGTGCTGCTGGGAAAACCGCCTAGAAGTTGTGGTTCCCCAAATATCCCACAAACCGCTGGATGGAAAATATCGGAAATATCGGAAACAAAAGCAACAAAAAGTCAACATCGAAATACGCTGCCCTGTATATCGAGTACTACAACTGTGGCTGATGGCAACCAAAAAAGCATCTAGACGGTTTCTCCTAGCTGTGGCAACATGCGGTTGAGCTCCCTTCACTAGCACTGGCTGCGACTTGCTCAGATCGCTTCTCCCACCGCTGCGCTCCCCCATTGCTTGCCACGACCAGGCCCCGTGCTTGCCTCGACCTGCCCTCGCGCCGACCTCTCCGAAACGGTCTCGGCTTACTACCTCGTGGCGGCAGTTAGCAGCCGACAGCGGGAGGCACGAGAGACGACGTACGAGGCAGCACGTACAGCCACGCTGCGTACGCAGCACGCGCACGCAGTTAGGAATCCGCCGCTCGCCGTTGGATTCCCCACAAGCAGCGCCACCTGCCGCCAGCTCTGGCTGCTGCTAGGGTGGTTCGTGGCTCTCCTGCTGCTGTAACCGCCGTACGAACTCTAGACTTAGCGGCAGTGAGACGAGGGGTGCTGAGACGACCCTGTTAGGTGCGACCCACGCAGCGCGTTATACGCGCTACTGAGTGCTTCCGCGCCGTTACCCCCACCTGGATTCGGTTCCGCCGTCCGCGCGTCCATGTCTCTCTGCGTCTCTCTCGCTCCATCCGCGACACCGTTGTCTCACATCTCTCGCTTGCCACTTCGCCATTCTTCGCCACGATGGCGTCAACAGCTTGACTGGTAATAGCCGAGGCGCTATTTCGCGACAAGCCACCCCTCGTGCGTTATCCAGTTATGCCGCATGCCCGCTGACCGATACATCACCTTAGGTGCCACGTGGAATCCCAAAGCCCGCACGCGTTGAATTTCCTCCGCTCTTCCTTACCCTCCCGCCCCCCTGTCCCCATTCCTCTGCGCGTTCCTCCCTCCGCCAGCGGGCGGAACGCAACTCTTCCGCCCTCCGCATGGTTCCGCCAGTCGCCGCACGGGTCGCCGCTGCAGGGGCTTCGGGGGCATGGCAGGGGGGAGGTGGGAGGGGGCGGGGCGCGGAATTGGGGGGGGAGGAGCGCGGGGGGTACGAGGGGGGGAGTGGCGCGGGCGAGCAGTGGTGGAGGGGAAGAGACGGGCAAAGATGGGCTGGCGGATGAGGGGGAGCGATTGAGCACCACCCAGGTCTGTTGTCTGCTGGCTGGGGCGTATGGCATGCATGGTGTGTGGCATGCATGGTGTGTGGCATGCATGGTGTGAGCCATGCATGGTGTGTGGCATGCATGGTGTATGTTGTATGCCATAATGCCACACCCTCTCCACCTCTGCCACTCTCTTTCTCTCCCCCGTTCCCCCCATTCAGCCTCCCCCCCACCCTTTCAACCTCACTCCTCCTCCCCCTCTTCCTGGATTCCCGCTCTCTCCTTCCACCCCTTCGCCCTCCCTCTCGCAGCGCATAATGGCGGCGCTGCCAGCGGGGGAGCAAGCAGGAGGGGCGGGGGGGCAGGTGACATACGCGGACCTGCAGAGGGCGGACGCAGCGTGGCTCGCCCTGCGCTCCGCTCCGCCTGGTGCGTGCCCACCTCCCTTGCTCCCTCCCTCGCTGCACCGCATAAACAATGAATCTCGTTTCCCCATGCGCCATGCGCCATGCATGCGTCCTCATGTGCTCTCACGACCATCCCTCCCGTGCCACTCTCCATCACTCCGTCCAGGCTCTCCCACCAATGCCGCCCCTCAAGTCGTCGTGTGCAAGCCAGGCAGCAGCAGCAGCAGCGGCAGTGAGGGAGGAGGGGCGGCGGGGGTGGGCGAGGAGGTGGAGGTGGTGGTGTGTGGGGGCACGCTGGGCGTGTTCGTGGCCGTGAGCCTGGCGCTCAGAGGGCAGCGCGTGGCCATCGTGGAGCGCGGCACTCTGCGTGGGGTATGTGCGGCGAGGACAGGGAGAAGGGTTGGTGGAGCGAGGGCGAGTGAAGGGGGGTACGTGGGGCAAGGGTTGGGTGGAACTGTAGGAAGGGAGGTTGAGAAGGGTGCACGGTATAAATTGATGGAGGGTGGCGAGTGTACCAAAGGAGTGAGGGCTGATAGTGCCTACCTGCTGGCCATTGCATTGGAACCACTCTCACTGCATCATGGCACTCCTCTGTCCGCCCCGCGTGTCCCCCCATGTGCCCCCCCGTGTGCCCACCGGTCCGCCCCCATGTGCGCCCCTGTGTGAGCGCCTTACAGCGCGCGCAGGAGTGGAACGTGTCTGGGAGGGAGGTGCAGGAGCTGGTGGCCATGGGGGTGCTCACCCCCTCTGTCCGCCCCGTGTGTGGTCACCTGTGCCCCCCTGCGCGCCCCTCTGTGCCCCCCTGCGCGCCCCTCTGTGCCCCCCTGCGCGCCCCTCTGTGCTGCCCTCTGTGAGCCCCCAACAGCGCGCGCAGGAGTGGAACGTGTCACGGAGGGAGGTGCAGGAGCTGGTGGCCATGGGGGTGCTCACCCCCTCTGTCCGCCCCGTGTGTGGTCACCTGTGCCCCCCTGCGCGCCCCTCTGTGCCCCCCTGCGCGCCCCTCTGTGCCCCCCTGCGCGCCCCTCTGTGCCCCCCTGCGCGCCCCTCTGTGCTGCCCTCTGTGAGCCCCCAACAGCGCGCGCAGGAGTGGAACGTGTCACGGAGGGAGGTGCAGGAGCTGGTGGCCATGGGGGTGCTCACAGCCGCTGAGGTGGACGACGCCATCTCTGTCACCTTCAACCCTGTCAGTGCACTGCTCACTGTGTTTGGTGGAGATTATTAAGGCTATGGTTGATAACCGAATCCTCTCACCCCATGTGTGCCTGCCTCACTGCCTTGTACTGTGCACCGCCCTTGTCCCTCACCGCCCTTGTCCCTCACCGCCCTTGTCCCTCACCGTCCTTGGGGCTACACTGACGAAAAGTATTTTCTTATTCCATGTGTGCCTGCCTCACTGCCTGCCCCTTTGCACCGCCCCTCTTGTCCCTCACCGCCCTTGTCCCTCACCGCCCTTGTCCCTCACTGTGCTGTGTGGCAGTGTCGCTGTGGCTTTGCGGGGGGCGAGGACATGTGGGTGAGGGACATCCTCAACCTCGGCATCTCGTCAGTGCCCTCCCTGCTGCCACTGCCGTGCCGTGCCATTCCATGTGACATGCCGTGCCATGCCATGCCATGCCATGCCATGCCATGCCATGCCATGCCATGCGTTCATATCATGCCAGCAGTCAGCAGCTTCATGCCAGCGTTTATCACAGCCTTTTCAGACTAGAGCCTCAGCAGCTGTGCTGCCTGCCCCAAAGCCTCTTGCATTCCCTCTTGACTTTGAGTCCACACTCCTGCTCACAGCCAACGTAACGAACCTCCACCAGAAGCACCTGCATGCATGTATCAGGACCCCATCAATCCACAGCTCCTCTGCTACCTCCTGCCTCGTGCCCCGCTCACCAACTATGAAACCCCCCTTCATCTCCTGCTCCCCACCCTTGTCCACCCCTCCCTGTGCGCCTGTCTGTGTGCTCCACGGTGGGCGGGGCGAGCAGTCCAGCGCGGCTGATAGAGACGGCGAAGCAGCGCTTCCTCGCCCTGGGAGGGGTGCTGCTGGAGGGCGTGGCACTCGCCTCACTGAACGTCTATGATGACTCTGCCGTGCGTGCCTCACCTCACCTGCCTGCCCATGCTTGTACACTCTGTGCTTGCGTGCATGCACCTGTCAGTCACCAAAGTGCTCCTGCTGTCTGTGGCCATGACTGGTGCGTTCACATCTCCACAGCATCAGCAACACACAGCGCCCTGTGCGCTCACACCCCTTGCTCCAGTCCCTTTAACACAGCCCACCAACCCGCTTGCACCGCCCGCCTCCCAACCCTGCCCCATTGACCGCCTCCTCCAGGTGCTCCGCTTCGCAGACCCATCAGTGCCGCCCCTCAAGGCGCGGCTGGTGGTGGACGCCATGGGGCATGCCTCGCCCATCGTGCGCCAGGTGGGTGCTCTTGAGCCTGCTGCTGGTTCGAACTGGCACGCAGGTGACTCCTTGAATATGTCCGTGATGCTTAACCATGGCACACAGGTTTTGCAACTTATCCCACACAGGCTACCAACCCTGTTCTCAAATGCTCACATGCTCACATGCTCATATCGCCTTATGTTATTCCCATGTGTCCTGTGCCCTCTGCCCTGTGCCTTGTGCCCTGTGCCCTGCCCCCTGTGTGTGCGAGTCAGGCACGGTGGGGGCAGAAGCCGGATGGCGTGTGTCTGGTGGTGGGCACGTGTGCGCGGGGCTTCCCCCCGGAGGCAAACACTACAGGCGACATCATCTTCACCACCTCGCCCACCATCTCCCTCGGCCAATCACCACTGCAGCTCTTCTGGGAGGTGCGCTCATGTGTGTCACTTATTTCTCAGCTTAACATGTCGTGATGCATAAGCTAACTGTTGCTACTACTGCCAGGCTTTGTACATGGCGTCCTCTACAAACTTATCAGCATTCACTCGTGGTGGGGCATGGTCTGACTGTAGGACTCTCTTCTTGTCTCTTCTTCCACTTCCCCGTGGTTTCTGAGCACGCCTGTTTGTGTACCATGCCTGCACATCTCACAAGGCCATGTACGCCTCTCCCTGCGTGCCCTTCCCCCACCTCACTCTCCTCTTCTCGCTGCCCCCAGGCGTTCCCATCGGGGTTGGGTCCCAGTGACCGCACAACGTACATGTTCTCCTACATGGACGCCCAGCCTGAGCGCCCGTCACTGGGTTTCATCATCCAAGCACCTCCCCTCTCCCTCACTGCCAGGCGTTCCCGTCAGGATCAGGTCCCACCGACCGCACAACGTACATGTTCTCCTACATGGACGCGCAGCCTGAGCGCCCGTCACTGGAGGCCTTGCTGGAGCTGTACTGGCAGCTCATGCCGCCCTACCAGGTCAGCTGCTGTGCTGCTGGACCATGGGAGACAGGCCGACGAACTGCTTGTGTGGCAGGGCGTTGACTCCGTTGACTGCGTGTGTGGAATGGCGTTGACTCCATTGACTGCGTGTGTGGCAGGGCGTTGACCCAGTTGACTGCATGTGTGGCAGGGCATTTACTCAGTTGACTTTGCGTGTGGCAGGGCATTGACTCAGTTGACTTTGCGTGTGGCAGGGCATTGACTCAGTTGACTTTGCGTGTGGCAGGGCATTGACTCCATAGACTCAGTGGAGGTGCAGCGAGTGCTCTTCGGCTTCTTCCCCACCTTCCGTGACAGCCCTCTCCGCCCCGCCTTTGACCGTGTCATCCAGGTGCCCTCTCCGCCCCGCCTTTCACCGTGTCATCCAGGTGCCCCCACCGCGCATCACCTCACCTCACAACCTGAAACGCTTTTGAGTTTTTTTAGAGCCATCACCTCACTTCACCTCACCTCAGCTCACTTCAGTTCAACTCAGCTCACCTCCCCTCGCCTCTTGCAACTGATGAACAAATCTCTGAAGCAGTTAATTGTCCGTGAGTCACTCCACAGTCGAGCGTCACCTTACATTCGTGTCCCGTGCTCCCTGTGCTGTGCCGTGCGATGCCGTGTGCGCCATGCATGCATGAATGCATGCAGGTGGGCGACGCCAGTGGCATCCAGTCGCCGCTCTCCTTCGGTGGCTTCGGTGCCATCACTCGCCACCTCGGCCGCATCACCGATGGTCAGATTCCGTGCTGCCTGCCCGTGTCAGCCCATGCTGCTTGTCACTCCTGTTCCCTGCTCTGCCATCACATGCAATCCCACGCCATCACATGCAATCCCACGCCATCACATGCAATCCCACGCCATCACATGCAATCCCACGCCATCACATGCAATCCCACGCCATCACATGCAATCCCACGCCATCACATGCAATCCCACGCCATCACATGCAATCCCACGCCATCACATGCAATCCCACGCCATCACATGCAATCCCACGCCATCACATGCAATCACACGCCATCACATGCAATCACACGCCATCACATGCAATCACACGCCATCACATGCAATCACACGCCATCACATGCAATCACACGCCATCACATGCAATCACACGCCATCACATGCAATCACACGCCATCACATGCAATCACACGCCATCACATGCAATCACACGCCATCACATGCAATCACACGCCATGACATGCAATCACACGCCATCACATGCAATCACACGCCATCACATGCAATCACACGCCATCACATGCAATCACACGCCATCACATGCAATCACACGCCATCACATGCAATCACACGCCATCACATGCAATTACACGCCATCACATGCAATCACACACCACAACATGCAGTCACCGCTTCTTGTGAGTCCCACTACTTACTGCCGTTATCTTCTCATTCCCCATGCCGTACCTCTCATTCTCTTCTTGTGCCCCCTGCCGGCATCTAATCCCTCCCCCCTTCCTGCCTGTTTGCCTGCCTGCCTGCCTGCCTGCCTGCCTGCCTGCCTGCGTGCCTGCAGGCCTGGTGGAAGCCTTGAGTGCGGACCTGCTCACACGAGATGCGCTTGCAAGCATCAACCCGTACCAGGTGCATGCACCTCTCAGCAGTAACCTCACAACACAAAACTGGCGATGCAAACCCCACTACGTTGATTCTAACACACATCGATCCCATGCCCCTCTCTTCCCTCCCCCTGCCCTTCCTCTTCCCCCTCCTTTTCCAGCCAAACCTGAACAGCACGGCTTTGGTGTGCCTCAAATTCTTGCCATCGCCCTTCCCCCTTTCGCTCCCCCGGGCAGCCGAACCTGAGTGGGGCGTGGCTGCTGCAGCGCGCCATGTCAGCGCGCGTGGGGTCGACCCCTCCGGCTGACTTCATCAACACGCTGCTCGCCACCAACTTCGCATGCATGCAGGTCGTGCCCGTGTCATGTGATTGCTGCTGGATCTGCTGCTGGTGCTCATGCTGCCATGCCTGCACGGTCATGGTATCACGTTCCCAAGCTCTGCTCTCCCTGCTCGTCCCATCTGTACCGTGCATCCCATCCTCGTCCATTCTTGTCCCCTCCATCCTCCCCTCCCGCGTGCCCTCTCTCCTCTCCTCCGTCTCTCCCCCACCCCTCCCTCCATCAGAAGCTAGGCGACCCCGTCGTACGGCCGTTCCTGCAGGTCCATGTGCCACACCTGCACCTCACTGCCATGCCGTGCACCACCCTTGCACCCATCACCTTGCCTCACCACAACTTCCACACATCGCAGCACACCACGAAAATCAACCGCCAAATGCCCCCTGTTTATTCCTGTTCCTACCTCTCACTTGCCTCCCCTCTTCCTTGTTCCTCTTCTCTTCCCCCTTTCCTTTTGTCATTCTCCACCCCCCCCCCTGCGTGCGTGCACCAGGACGTGACACAGTTAGCCCCCCTGGCACTCACAATGGGATCCATGGTCGTCACGCGCCCCTCGCTGCTGCCCACCATCTTCCTGCAGGTGCCCTTTCACTCCTGCTTTCAGCCTCAGGGCTTCATGTTACGGCCTAGGTCTTCAAGCATTGTGCTGCAGGCGAGGCGTAGGAGATTTGAGACGTCTCAAAACAGGGTTTCAGGTTACGACCTAGGTCTTGAGGCATTGTGCTGCAGGCGAGACTTTGGAAAGCCATATCCACCTGTGCCTCTTGTTGAGCCCCACCACACCACACCACACCACACCACACCACACCACGCCATGTGCTCTCGTTCTGTGCTGCCAGAAGTGCTGCCATCTCCCTTGGCATACACGCCATGCCTCGTCATCCTCTCGCCCACCACTCACTCCCATGTGCCGCCCACCCGTCTCTCTCTTCTCCCCGCTCTCACCAGGTGGGCCCTGTCCCTCTGCTGGACTGGATGCAGCACTTCATCGCCCTCGCTGCCTTCTCCGCTCTGCACCACCTCGCCTCTGCCCTCTCCCTCAGGTGCGCCTCTCCCTCTCACCTGCCTCTCTCCCTCACCTGCCACTCTCCCTCACCTGCCTCTCTCCCTCACCTGCCTCTCTCCCTCACCTGCCTCTCCCTCTCACCTGCCTCTCTCCCTCACCTGCCTCTCCCTCTCATCTGCCTCTCTCCCTCACCTGCCTCTCTCCCTCACCACCCTCTCTCCCTCACCTGCCTCTCTCCCTCAGATGTGTCCTTCAGATGTTCTCTCCTCAGGTGTTGCTCTCCCTCTGCTGCCCCTTGCTACTGCCTACAGCCATGCCTCCCCACCCCCTCATCCCACCCCCACTGCTGCCAACCCCATCCGCCCCTCCCACCTGCAGCGAGGCGGTGGCCTCTCTGCCGCCCCGCCAGCGCTTCTTCTGGCGCCGCCGCCTCGAGGCCTGGCAGTTTGGGTCAGGGCTCGACTACCACCTCTAGCTCTGTATCCCGGTCAACCAGCTGTACAAAGTGGAGTTTATCAACAGATTGTCTATCCTTTATTCATCACATCTGTTAGACAGCACTGGCCCAATAAGAACGACCTGGAACATGCACCATTCTTTCATGCATACGAAACAAGGGCGCACTACATGCAATAAGGTGCACATCGTTGCCGGGGGTTCCAAACGGAGGGGAGGGAGGGCCCTTGAGCGGTTTGATGCGGGGAGGGTGGGGTGATTGAGAGTCAGAGCAGTGCGGGCGGCAAGGGAGTGAGTGGTGCGCGAACGATGTCTTCCTGGTGGGCGAAGGAGGGGTTGAGGAACGACAGCAGCCCCTCCCTCAGCAGTATCGGGCCCCATGGGGTGTGCGTCACACACTCGGGCCGCGGCACCGGGACGCGAGTGGACCTGCTGTACGGCTGCTGGGAGGAGGAGCTGTCGTTGAGGTCGTGGGCGGAATAGGAGGGTGGGCGCATGAAGGCGCGCGTGGGGTGCAGGCAGGCGGCGGCAGCGGGGGGAGGCAGGTCGATGGCTTTGAGCCAGCCCTTGAGGCGGAAGAGAGCTTCCAGCTTGCCGTGCACGTCCCCCCCGTGCGTTGTCACCTGCACCCGCCTCACCACCCGCTGCACTGCAGGGAGGAAAGTGGGGCAGCATGGGGAAGAGAGGAAGGGGGAGTGGGCAGAGTGAGGAAGACATGCGTGTCATTCCACCGTAAGGACGCACGGCTGTCGAGGCGCACCACCACACACGTGCAAGGACAGGCCAGAGCCATTCACAGGATACAGGTCACTGGCACGGCATAGCACCGCTTGCACGCGCTAGCGAGGAAGAGCTATCGAAGCAGTGGCATGCCGGGCATAGCGCGGGAGGGGTTGGGGTGAAATGAAAGCAAGGGAGTGACTGTGGGTGAAGGCATCGGGGTCATCAAAAGCAAACTTCTCAGCGCGGTCGGTGTCGATGTCCAACAGGTCACAGCGCGGCAGGTGATAAAAATGATGTTGTGAGACGTCTCAAAACACCACTTTTATCACCTGGAGGCAAGGCAAGGGACTGACCATGGGTGAAGGCGTCGGGGTCATCGAAGGCAAACTTCTCAGCGCGGTCGGCATCGATGTCCAGCAGGTCGCAGCGAGACAGCCCCGCCAGCACATCCCCCACCGTCGCCCACCTGCCTGGCTCCCTCTCCTTCACCTCTCCGCCCCCTACCCACACAGTCTCCAGCACATGTGGGGTGCAAGGCACATGGGGCAAGAGAGAGGAGAGGGCATGGAGCAGCAGGGGCGAGAGTGCATGGCACAGCAGAGACACATGATGTTGCGCAAGTGATGCAGGGCCACGGATGAAAGGGGCTGAAAGGGCGATTTGGAGGGTGGGGGCATTACCCAGGGGCGCATGTGGGGCGCATGTGGGGTGCATGGTGCATGGGGCAGCGGAATGGAGAGGGCATGGAGCAGCAGGGGCGAGAATGCATGGAGAAGCAAAGGCACATGATGTTGCGCAAGTGATGCAGGGCCACGGATGAAAGGGGCTGAAAGGGCGATTTGGAGGGTGGGGGCATTACCCAGGGGCGCATGTGGGGCGCATGTGGGGTGCATGGTGCATGGGGCAGCGGAATGGAGAGGGCATGGAGCAGCAGGGGCGAGAATGCATGGAGAAGCAAAGGCACATGATGTTGCGCAAGTGATGCAGGGCCACGGATGAAAGGGGCTGAAAGGGCGATTTGGAGGGTGGGGGCATTACCCAGGGGCGCATGTGGGGCGCATGTGGGGTGCATGGTGCATGGGGCAGCGGAATGGAGAGGGCATGGAGCAGCAGGGGCGAGAATGCATGGAGAAGCAAAGGCACATGATGTTGCGCAAGTGATGCAGGGCCATGGATGAAAGGGGCTGAAAGGGCGATTTGGAGGGTGGGGGCATTACCCAGGGGCGCATGTGGGGCGCATGTGGGGTGCATGGTGCATGGGGCAGCGGAATGGAGAGGGCATGGAGCAGCAGGGGCGAGAATGCATGGAGAAGCAAAGGCACATGATGTTGCGCAAGTGATGCAGGGCCATGGATGAAAGGGGCTGAAAGGGCGATTAGGAGGGAGGGGGCATCACCAAGGGCAAGGGGGATGTGAGTGAAGTGCGGGACGGCGTTGAGGCGAGCCAGGGCGTGCAGCTGCTTGGGCATGTCGGGATGCACCACCACCAGCGCCATGGCGTCGTATGGCCGCACCTGCCTGCCGGGGGGAGGTGGGGGGGAGGCAGGCGAGGCACGCAGAGGAGCAATGGAGGGGGTGTGAGGGACACAGAGACAGTGGTAAAAGTGTTCAGTGGGGAAATGAATGGTGCGGGTACGAGCCCATGACGAGCGGACTAGAGTGGCAGAGCACATGGAGTCACCTGTAGGCGTGGGCAGCAGCGAAGGCGGTCATGGCGTGCAGCAGCGGCCCAGCAGACACCACCGTGAACCGCCCCTCGCCCCCCTGCTTCTCCACACCCCGCCCATGGGCCAGCGCAGCAGCGGGCAGCAGATGGGAGCGCAGCACGGCCTCGAGGGTATCCAGCAGCTCCACATACGCCCCGTCTGCCGATGGCAGGTACCCCGCGTACTCCCCCACAGCCGCTCCTCCGCCCCCGCCACTGCCCGCACTGCCCCCCTCCCTGCCCGCACTCCCCTCCTCACCGTGTGCCGCCCCGCCATGCGCGCTCGCCCCGAGGGGGTCCGAACTCATCCCCCCCGGGTGGGCGTCCGCCTGCTGCTCGCGGGCCAGGTGCGCGGCACACACGCGGTGCCGGGACTCCACCACGGGCATCTCCTCCTCCCACCCGCCCTCGCTGCTGCCCTCCTCCCACGCCCCGCTCACCACCCTCGCGTCGTCACTCACCTCCTCCTCGCCCCCACTCCCCCCCGCACTCCCATCCTGCACCCCCCCGCCCCCCTGCGTACCCCCGTCCCCCTGTGCGCCGGGGTGGGCGAGGTGGGGGCAGAGCCACTCGAAGAAGGCGGTGGCGCCGAGCCAGTCGTGCAGCAGCCCGGGCTGGAAGGCAGAGGAGTACCGCGCCAGCAGGTGCACGAACGCGTGCTGCTGCAGCTGCACGTGCGGTGCTAATGGGTTCAGCAGCGGTGGCAGCGCGGGGGGCAGTGGGCTGTCAGGCTGGCGGGGGGGGGGGGAAATGCATGGAGAGAGAGGTGGGAGTCAGAAGACGGCTTGGGTTTGCAGTGGTTGCACTGCAACGGCGCTGCAAATCGCGATTGCTCCTGGTGCGAGCGGCTTGTGCAGTGAAAGGCTTGTGAAGTGCGCAGGGGAGTGAAGCAGGTGGGATGAAGTGAGGGGTGTGAGCAGTGCGGCGGAATGAGAGCCGAGGAGGCATCAAGGGGGCAAGGCGGCGGGAGGGAGGAAGTGACCTGGAAGTAGTCGGTTAGCGGGCGGTGGATGAGCGGTACTGGCAGGGGCTGCACCGCCACGCCACATGGCAGCACGGGAGAGATGAGCGGGCCAAGCGGAGCAGGGAAGAGCAGAGGGGGAGCAGAGGGGGAGCAGGGAAGAGCAGAGGGGGAGCAGAGGGGAACAGAGAGGCACACATGAGGTGAGGACGAGCGTGACAAGCGAGGTAGGTTGGGTAACAGTCAAACGCAAGATTCAATTCCTGCGACGCCGTGGAGCCGGCTGTCGCACGGCGCATGACCTGGCGGGCGCAGCGCGGCTGCGGGCGCACGAAGCGCAGCAGGCGCGCTCGTGGAGAGCGGGCGCACGCTCACCTCGCACTCGCATACAGCGTTCGTGCTGCTGCTAGTGCCGCTAGCACGCGCGCAGAAGCAGCGCGCGCAAATGTGATCTACGTTTAGCCACCACGCGAGCGGCGCGAAGAGGAGCAGGTGAGAATACCTGTTGAAGAAAGGGCGAGCGTAACGACGCTGCTGGCGGCGATGGTGCGGAGAGGAGAGAGGGAGAGAGTGGAAGATGAAAGCGAGCGATTCCGAGCAACACAACTGCCGCCAACGCCACAAGCAGAGCGCCTCGACTCCGCTGCAGAATCGCAGCCAACGGCCTCCGCTGGCGAGCAGCAGCAGCCATGGGACGTGAGGAGAGTGGAGCGATCCATGCTGGTGTGGTGACGGAATTTGCTGATAGCAGCCTGGCGCGTCACGGATTCCGTAATACACACGCGCTACAAGGAGCTGGGAAGTAAACACTATGGCAGTAAGGACAGTAATATCTTAAAACATACAGATATCTGATTAAGTCTCATGTGTAGTTTCTACGTATGTTTGTATTCTAGTTCAAAGCAAGAGATAATACCATAATTAGTTTGATTGTATAGAAAATCGACAGCTCATTTATGAGAAATTAAGGCTTTAGCAGAATGAGAAGTACATGATTTTTTTTTGTGTGATTATGAACTCTTGGGGAGGCATGAGCATACACTGTGCAGTGTCCATGTCGGATCAGCGGACGCTTGGAGTCCCAGACTCCTGACTCCCCATTGACAGAACAGAAGCATGCGCGTAGGCAACAGCACGAGCTTTCGCGCTCAATTAGGGTTTAGTCGCTTGGAAACTGCTATAAGTTGCAGCTGGTTCTACCAGTCTGGATGCAAACGTGCTTCTAGGAAATGCCATCAGCGGTGGTCTCTGGCCACCCAAACATGGCGACGACAGAAGTGCAGGCGGCACAGCAGCGCGCTGTAGCGCTGTCTATGTTTCGTCAGTGGATAATCAACGCACTAATGTCCAAGTCTAGAGTACGTGCCTCAGAAGCCTACACCTGTTCGTTAACGCCTCAAAGCTCTCTATTTTTTCTCACCGTGTTCATCGGGCCGCGGCCAGAGTCATACATGCATTTACTCGAGTAGATCGTGAAGACTGATTTGTCGTCTCGCGGCACATGTCCTTGCGCATGAAGTATAGGCGCGTGTCTTCGTACCATACGGAAAGTCCGCTCGTAGCTCACCCCAATTGCACTGCTCTGTCATGATGCGTGTCAGGGCGACGGCACGGCGTACTGGCGGCTCAT